CCGTTCTCGAAAATAATCCTCGTCTGGATTCAGTTCCCCCCCCCGCCCCTCCCCCCCCCCCCTCCTGCGCGAAGCGCGGAAGCTTTTACGTTTCATAAAATCATTAGAGAAAGAAGACGATTCGTTGTTCCGTTCTCGACTCTTAATCCTCGTCTGAATTCAGTTTCCGCCTCCCCTCCCGCGCGAAGCGCCTAAGCTTTTACGTTTCATTAAATCATTAGGAAAAGAAGACGATTCGTTGTACCGTTCTCGACTTTTAATCCTCATCTGAATTCAGTTTTTCCCTTCCCCCCTCCTGCGCGAAGCGCGGAAGCTTTTACGTTTCATAAAATCATTGGAGAAAGAAGACGATTCGTTGTATCGTTCTCGACTTTTAATCCTCGTCTGAATTCAGTCCCCCCCCCCCCCCCCCCCCTCCCGCGCGAAGCGCGGAAGCTTTTACGTTTCATTAAATCACTAGAGAAAGAAGACGATTCGTTGTTCCGTTCTCGACTCTTAATCCTCGTCTGAATTCAGTTCCCCCCTTCCCTCCCGCGCGAAGCGCGGAAGCTTTTACGTTTCATTAAATCATTAGAGAAAGAAGACGATTCGGTGTACCGTTCTCGACTCTTAATCCTCGTCTGAATTCAGTTCCCCCCTTCCCTCCCGCGCGAAGCGCGGAAGCTTTTACGTTTCATTAAATCATTAGAGAAAGAAGACGATTCGTTGTTCCGTTCTCGACTCTTAATCCTCGTCTGAATTCAGTTCCCGCCTCCCCTCCCGCGCGAAGCGCCTAAGCTTTTACGTTTCATGAAATCATTAGAGAATGAAGACGATTCGCTGTACCGTTCTCGACTCTTAATCCTCGTCTGAATTCAGTTCCCCCCTTCCCTCCCGCGCGAAGCGCGGAAGCTTTTACGTTTCATTAAATCATTAGGGAAAGAAGACGATTCGTTGTTCTCGACTTTTAATCCTCATCTGAATTCAGTTTTTCTCTTCCCCCCCCCCTCCTGCGCGAAGCGCGGAAGCTTTTCTGTTTCATAAACTCATTGGAGAAAGAAGACGATTCGTTGTACCGTTCTTGACTTTTAATCCTCATCTGAATTCAGTTTTTCCCTTCCCCCCCCCTCCCCCCTCCCCCCTCCCGCGCTTGCGTGGAAGCTTTTACGCTTCATTAAATCATTAGAGAAAGAAGACGATTCGTTGTACCATTCTCGACTATTAATTTCTTTAAAAAGGGGGTGGGGTTTTTTCTCTCTCTCTTTGGACTCCTGAGAAATGTAAAAAGGAGGTTATAAAATATCATGAATATCATAGAAAATTGATCAAATCCCGGGATCAAATTCCTGAAATTCCTGCTAGCTTTGAAAGCTCATTCAGGATTATTTCATTTTGAAAAGTAAAAGCATTGGCCCCCAGTCCCCCTCGATCGACTAGAGCTCACCTGAAATTTGGGGGGGGGGGTTGTACATTTAGCAGTGTTCCGGATTTTTTTTTTTTTTTTTTTTTTTGGGGGGGGTCTTCAAGGTAGGAAAAGCCAGCGAAAAGCCGGCGAAAGGGGGATTCAGAAATGTTGGCAGTCCTGAGATAGGGTGGGGGTTGCTTTCAAAGGGCGGGAACGAGCGTACGCGTACCCTAAATAATACTAAGTGGGGGGAGCCGGGCATCTACTGTACATGATTGCACTTTTTAAGCGCTCGTGCGCTGGCGCACTTTACGTCTGGGCTATAATTTTTTTTCTCTTATCCTCAAGCGAGGTTTTTATTTCCATAATAATAATACATTTGTACATTAATATCTCAATGATTGGGTGTAACCTAACATAGGCTAAAGATTAAAGTACATTCAACAATTCTTCCAGCTTAGTATTATTTTCTTTGCTAACACATTCATATCTTAAACATGATCTTAGCAACGACTTAAATTCAAAAAACAAAGTATGTGGGTAGTAAACAGAACCATTAACAATCTTCTTAACGTAACATTTATAAATTGCATATTGCGCATAATTTAAAATAATATTCAGAAGTGAATATTTTTTGTTTCCAATATCCTTACCTACAACTATTATCTTCTGGTCTATTTGTATTTCTATTTGGAATAGATTAAATATCAAATTACATATTATTTTCCAAAACAAAGTCACATCCTTGCAATATAACATAAAATGAAAAGTTGAGTCAACTTGTCCACAAGAGTTGCATAAATTATTATTATCAATTTGCCATTAATATAAGTTTTCTTTTGAGGCAATAAACCTATGAATCATCTTGAAATTAAATTGTTTAACTTTATTATTACGAATTTGCTTTAATTTAAATAAAAATACATCTTTCCAAACAAAGTCATTGTCCAAATCTAGAAAGAAATTCCAAAAGTAAATGATATTTGGTTCTTTTGACTTTTTACGTAATAACAAACTATAGTAATCTTTCACCTTCATAACAAAAACATTCACTTTATCCCCTGTTTCTATTTCTATCATATTCGAAATATCACATTCTTGTTCAAATTCATAGCTTAATCTATCCAACCAACACTGTGGAAATGCTTTTTTTTAATTTTGTATATTTAAAATCAAATAAGAGTTGATGTGCTTTCACTTTTGTATTTAGTGTTGTAGAATCATTCCAAATACCATTTGTAATCAAATTATGAATTTTCAATAAACCAGCCTCTTGCCATTCTCGATAAAACAGTATTTTTTTCTTAAAGGTAATGTTACTATTTTTCCAAACAATTTCATTTGGAATATTTCTTACTTTAAACATATCAATGAATTTTAGTTCTGACCAAGTACAAAAAAGATCTACATAGAATTCTGGCAAATTATGTTTAGAGCATAATAAATTCATATCCTTTATGTTACAGTTGAAATGTAAACATAGTGGCAAACCCCCTATTTTTTCGGACCAGTATCTAAACAAATTTTTCCAATAAGAGCCATCATCATTAAAAAAACGAGATATCCATGCTAAACGAAGTGAAGATATTTTACTAGCAATATCAATCATATTCAATCCACCATTTTCAATATCACTTATAATTACATTACGTTTAATTTTATTTTTTTTGGAGTTCCATAAGAAACAAAATAGTAGTCTGTTCAATATCTGTGAAATATGTGTTGGTACTGGTACAACAGTTGCGGTATATACAATTTGTGACGCCGCTAACATTTTCAAAACAATTATTCTGCCAGAAAAAGTAAGATCTCTCATTTTCCACATATTTAATACATTTCGAATTTTATCTATTTTTACATTCCAGTTTAAATCTTGTAACAATTTCTTATTTTCGCCTACATATTACTCCTAAATATTTTACAGGTTGATCAGTATATATAATGGCACTATCATGAACAAAATTATTTACAGTATTCAGTTTCATAACTTCTGTCTTATTCCAATTTATTTTCGGACCTGCATAGTCTCCAAAATCGTTAATTTCATTCATAATATATTGTATATCATTAACAGATTCCACAAATAATGTTGTGTCATCTGCATATTGAGAAATTTTTAAACTATCAATACCTAAATCAACACTGAATATATCAATCCCTTTAATGTTTTTATTTTGTCTTATTTTGCATGCTAATATTGGCACTACTATGTTAAAAAGTAATGCCGATAATGGGCCACCCTGGCGAACACCTCTTCCAATAACTAACTTTTCTGAAATCCATCCATTATTCATTACACGACCGATGGCGTCAGTATAAAAGGTCTTTATCCAGGATATAAAAGATTCTTTAAAATTGAATTTACGTAGTACATGAAATAGGAAAAAATGAGAAACATTGTCGAACGCTTTTTTAAAATCCAAAAAGAATATAATTCCCGAACTATTGGATGTCTTTAAATAGTCGATTACATCTTGTACTAATCGTATGTTTTCTGCTGCGGATCTTTTCTTTATAAAACCTCTTTGATCAGTTGAAATGATACTTGATAAAACACGTTGAAGTCTTTTAGACAGTACTCTCGCCGCAATTTTATAATCATTATTTAATAACGAAATTGGTCTCCAATTATCTAAATAACCCCTATCTCCCTTCTTAAATAACAAAGTAATAAGACCCTGCCTTTGGGAAGAAGATAATTTTTGTTTGTGATACCCCTCATTTAAGCTTGCAATAACCAAATTTTTAATTTCTAACCAAAAAACCTTGTAGAACTCGGCACTTAGACCATCACTTCCAGGGGCTTTGTTATTACCCAATTGCAATGCGTCTTTACATTCCTTTTCACTTAGCAACCCTTCACACTTCGATGCCTCTTCATCGGTCAGAGTACTAATAATTAAATCTTTAAAATAGTTATCTACATGAACATTCGTGCATTCTTTAACATACACCTTTTCAAAATATTTATGAATTTCCTGTAAAACCTTTTCATCATCATTAATAGTTTTCCCATTCACATATAAACTTTCTATTTCTTTTTTCTGTCCATTGCGCTTTTCCAACTGTAAAAAATATTTGCTTGCCCTCTCACCCTTTTCAATCAAAGTCTGGGCTAGGCTATAATAATACCTTGCAAAATAACGAAAAATTATTCTAAAGTTTATGAAATGCTTGTTCGCGCACGTCGCGCAACTACTCTTAATGATCGTGACATACTATATCCGTGTAGGCTATACAGTTATACTTACATTAAAAAAATAACTAATTTCTCATATAATGCTAAAATTGAAACAATTACATTTTTTTCTTCTTCTTCTTCTTCTTCTTCTTCTTCTTCTTCTTCTTCCTTTTTTTTCTCTCTTTTTTTTGTAATATCAGGGGGGATGATTGTACAGGCCATCCCCCCTACTTCGAGCCAGGGGGATGCAGCCCCCCCCCCCCCATCCCCCCGGGATTTACGCCCCTGTAGGGGGCCTAGTCTTTTATTCCAGTTGCCACCGGCACCCGGGACGTACACAATTTTCTTTTTCCTTTTCAATTGGACTTCTGGAGACACTATAGAACTCCCAATATTGTTCGTTGATTTCCTCCTCCTTATATTTGTCACTGGCTCATTATTGGTCGCTTGTTTCTACCAGCGGCTTCGACGTGGAACTCACACACTAACACAAACAAACACGAAATTGTTTGGGCCGAATTTGCTGATCTGTCTTTCTTTTCTATCAATCTGAATAGTAATCTACAAATCAACGGATACTTAGTATTTTGAAGCAAAAACATTTTACATCGATTAACCTGGAAAGATGGCAGAAACTACCGGATTGATAATTGATGTCGATGAGGTAATGTTAAAACAGGTCCCACGCGTTCACTTTTGTGTAGTATATTATCTCGATGGTGTTAAATTGCAACAAGCGAGTAGAAGGAAGGGGTTTTCGGCCACTTAAGACAAAATCCTATTTTTAGGACTCTTTACTTCTAATTTATTATCATTTCGGCGCTAGTGTAGTTCCGTATCCGTTTTTTTTAGCAGTTTCATATCGATTCTTAGCAAAGGAATTTTAGCCCAATTTTTTACTAATTTTAATCATAATCATAGAGTAAAGGAGCCGGTTTTCGGCCACTTAAGACAAAATCCTATTTTTTAGACTCTTTACTTCCTATTTATTATCATTTCTTGTTCAAATCATGAAGCAAATATTATTATTATTTAAACCAAAAAAGAATCCCAGAAAAAAAACACGAATTGCCATGACAATATTCATTTCAATTTTCACTGTTTTGGAGCCAGTTATCGGCCGAGCGTTTCAGTTTACGGCCGCATGTACAAAGTCAATAGGAAGCGCTCGCGCGCGCCGTGCGTTTCAGCGCTGATGTACAGCACAAGCGGGCGGAGCAGGTATCCCACGCCGGAGCTCCCTGGTGCTCGCCTGGCCGAAGACAGGCACAGCGGTGATCGGAAGTTGGAATCTGAATTAGACAGACATATCGTGTGTGCGTGGCAGGGTCCGGCTGCATTGATTTAATACATGCGATGAGATACTTTTGAGCTTGCGACTAACACAAAATCGGGCTCTAAATCTGAAAAATACTTGAAATAAAGCTGATTTTATGGTACCCATATTTCTTATATGTATACACGCGTAAGAAACTCGATTTTTCAGATTTGGGTAGCGGGACCGCCGATTACATTGCTAAAATTTAGGATATATTTTCCATTGCAAATGTGGTTTTTCAGTGACTCTGGCATGGTATGGTATGTGTGGGATATGTGTTGTGCTATTATGCGATGTATTTTAAAGGGATTTTACCATGCATCCAATGGATCGGCCGAAAACTGGAGCTGTCCGATTACCGGCTCCTTTACTCTATATTGCATTTTCCACCTGAATTTAGATCGCATCCGACATCGGGAAGCCTCCGTTTAGGGCTTCGATGTCGACGTCGTCGCTCAGTACCGTCTCTGCGCTAGGTTTATAGCTCTGCAACTCAAACTGAAGCTATCAATCTTAAATTATGCAAACTTCGCGTATGCTTTATGGTATCGTGCATGTGCGTAATACCATAAACTATACGCGAAGCTTGCATAATTTTAGACTGATAGCTTCAGTTTGAGTTGCAAAGCTATAGCGCGGAGACAATACTGAGCGACGACAACGACATCGAAGCCCCAAACAGAGGCTTCACGATGTCGGATGTGATCCAAATTCAGGTGGAAAATGCAATATATGATTATGATTAAAATAAGTAAAAAATTGGGCTAAAATTCCTTTGCTAAGAATGGATATGAATCTGCTAAAAAAATGGATACGGAACTACACTAGCGCCATCATTTCTTGTTCACATCATAATCATGAAGCAAATACTAGACTAGAGTCTAGGGGGCCGTTTCTCGAAAGCAACTCCATGACAGTCGTCTTTGTCGCCGACCTACGGAGATGTCATGAAGCGGATAAAGCGTTTCACAAAGCCATGACAGACATGATATCGATATATCGCGATACTAGCAGCTCAAGAACATAGTCTTTGTCACGATCCATTTGATTTATCAAGAATAACCCAAAACAAGTTTTGGGGCTAAAATTGTTCAAAAAGAAATATATACATAGAGTAAAGGAGCCGGTAATCGGACAGCTCCAGTTTTCGGCCGATCCATTGGATGCATGGTAAAATCCCTTTAAAATACATCGCATAATAACATATCACATATCCCACACATACCATACCATGCCAGAGTCACTGAAGAACCACATTTGCAATGGAAAATATATCCTAAAATATCACATTTTAGCGATGTAATCGGCGGTCCTGCTACCCAAATCTGAAAAATTGAGTTTCTTACGCGTGTATGTAAGAAATATGGGTACCATAAAATGAGCTTTATTTCAAGTATTTTTCAGATTTAGAGCCCGATTTTGTGTTGGTCGCAAGCTCAAATGTATCTCATTGCATGTATTAAATCAATGCAGCCGGACCCCGCCACGCACACACGATATCTCTCTCTAATTCAGATTCCAATTTCCGATCACCGCAGTACTAGTTTTTGGCCTGGCGAGCTCCGGTGAGCTCCGGCGTGGGATACCTGCTCCGCCCGCTAGTGCTATAGATCAGCGCGGAAACGCACGGCGCGCGCGAGCGCTTCCTATTGACTTTGTACATGCGTCCAAAAACTGGTTCGCTATGCCGATAACCGGCTCCAAAACAGTGAAAATTGAAACGAATATTGTCATGGCAATTCGTGATTTTTTTCTGGGATTCTTTTTTTGTTTAAATAATAATAATATTTACTTCATGATTTGAACAAGAAATGATTATAAATAGGAAGAAAAGGGTCCAAAAAATAGGATTTTGTCTTCAGTGGCCGAAAAACCCCTCCTTTACTCTATGTTGTTTTGCTAAATTTAACTAAACAGCTCCATCGCGCAATATGCATGCGTATGCATATCGTACGCATGTTGCTAAGCTGAATGAGCAACTTGAGCAAATTGTCTATAATGTGCATTCACTTCCGGGTTTCTTCGCCTAATACACATACGCGGTCCATATGCATGTGCAGATATTACGCGTTGTCACCATGGTTTGGACTGAGCGGAGCGCACGCCTCCTTATTAGCTGATCCAACTAACGGGGGGAAGGGTATTTTCAAACTGTTATTGCGTGTGATCTCTTTGGGCTAGCAAAAAAATAAGTGCATAGATATTTTCCTTACGTCTAGCCCAACATAAGCCTGGGGGGCGAGCTTCAGGAAAGTGGTAAATTTTGGAGCTAGGATGCAAACAACATTTCAATCGCTGTTTTGACCAAGATATTTTTAGAATTCCGGGGGCACCCCCTTTGGGAGAAAAACCTGCTCTTTCATATGACACCTCATTTATTGAGTTTCACCTTCAGGATCACAAGCAATAAAGGTTTGAATTTCATTTTGTTCATAAAATCATTGACCAATTTTGCATGGTCGCGCAATGCACATAGACTGCATAGGGATGCGTGCAATCTCTATGGGAAGGATTTTATCACACAACATCGGGTGCACGATCAGACGACCTAGTAATCAATTGTCACTAAAGTACAGATTTTGAGTGAACTCAGTTGGGTTTTGTACAGTGGTGTTTGAAATGTTGAGAATCAATAGAATAGTTTTTGATACACAGCCAGGATAGTAATGCAGCTGTGTGTGAGTCCCTACTAGTCCCTACTCACACATACATGTAGCTGCATTACTATCCTGGCTGTGTATCCTGGCTGTGTATCCTGCCTGTGTATCCTGCCTGTGCAGGTACGTGAACAAAGAAGTAGAATTCATTGAATCTCCTTAAAAAAAGTAACTTTCGAAAGAGCATGATAAACTCATCTAAAATAATACCAAAATCATTACCCTAGGTCAACAAATAGCGTAATAAGTAATAACGATAGTTTCATGTTAAAAAAACACCCATTTTTGGTCCCCCCTTAATGACCAAATCCATTATTTAAAAAAATTACTTTTAATAAAAGCAGAGAAATCAAATGTCCTATTTTGCATGAATGGCAACCAGTCCAGACTGTAATAACAATTATTCCTTTCAATGTTCTCATTGTTTCCAACTATACAGGATGATGATCAGACAGATTTAAATTTCCAAGGTAAATAGATGAATGAAATGTATCTTGAAAAATAAACTATGTATGTACCGGTACCTACAAATGTAATTGCAATGACGACCTTCGTCATTGCCTTGTTTTCGTTCACATTCTGCCCCATTAATATTCTTCTTCTTATATTCGTCAGGAAATCGCATTCGTTTTGCACGTAGTGCTTGTTATTCCTAGTTAGGTGCTTTCATCATGTCCATTTCCTTTCACGCATATCGTTGTGCCACGATTGCAGGTCTAGTTTGACTTTTTTTTTTATGTGGAAGCAGTTTATGTGGATGAGTATTGTATGAGAAACTATTCATTTCAAACATTTGAAAAGGTTGATGAAATTTAAAATCAAGTATGTTGTTTCCAAATTTGCCATTTTCTTTACTTTAGTCCTGAGACAATAAAGGTATCGTAAAAGACTTAAATTTTAGAGCATTGAACAACCAAACAGGTTATGTGATAGTGTATAGATTTAGTAGAGACTAGATCCAAAAACATACTAGTATAACATTGATATACATGTTCAGTGTATATCATGTTATCATTGATAATGGTATTACATCAACATTGTGAAAGGTTTTTTCTACCCTCAAGCTTTTCAAATGTAATTTAACCATAGCTGCATGTACCTAATCACTCTCTAGTTATGATAATAACATTGAATTAAAATAGTTGTGGATTGAAATTGAATTGTGTCAACTAAATGCCTTGCATAAAGAAAATGATCCACAACTCCTATGTATGAGAAAAACACAAAATTTAACTGTTTATGATACATTTCCTTAAATCCATAAAATGATTGATACTTGATAGTGATGAGGATAATCTGAATCTCTGTTATTGTTCTTCAAGATTTTGGAGATGCTTCTCTTCTTCAGGATCTGAATGACACTCCAACCAAGCCTGCTCAAGTACATACTTTCCATGATGATGACATGGATGATGAGGGTGATACAGAGGTATTATTCCGATTCTTATTCTTATTCTCAATCTCAATCTCAATCTCAATCTCAGTCTCAATCTCAATCTCAGTCTCAATCTCAATCTCAATCTCAATCTCAATCTCAATCCCAATCCCAATCCCAGTCCCAATCCCATCAATCTCAATCTCAATCTCAATCCCAATCCCAATCCCAATCCCAGTCTCAGTCCCAATCCCATCAATCTCAATCTCAATCTCAGTCTCAATCCCAATCCCAATCCCAATCCCAATCCCAATCCCAATCCCAATCCCAGTCTCAGTCCCAATCCCATCAATCTCAATCTCAGTCTCAATCCCAGTCCCAATCCCAATCCCAATCCCAGTCTCAGTCCCAATCCCATCAATCTCAATCTCAGTCTCAATCTCAATCTCAATCCCAATCCCAATCCCAATCCCAGTCTCAGTCCCAATCCCATCAATCTCAATCTCAATCCCAGTCTCAATCTCAATCCCAATCCCAATCCCAATCCAAGTCCCAGTCTCAGTCCCAATCCCATCAATCTCAATCTCAATCCCAGTCTCAATCTCAATCTCAATCCCAATCCCAATCCCAATCCAAGTCCCAGTCTCAGTCCCAATCCAATCAATCTCAATCTCAATCTCAATCTCAATCTCAATCTCAATCCCAATCCCAATCTCAATCCCAGTCCCAGACCCAATCCCATCAATCTCAATCTCAATCTCAATCCCAATCCCAATCCCAATCCCAGTCTCAGTCCCAATCCAATCAATCCCAATCCCAATCCCAGTATCAATCTCAATCCCATCAATCTCAATCCCAGTCCCAGTCTCAGTCCCAATCCCATCAATCTCAATCTTAATTGATGAATGTCTACTTTCAATAAATGTTGCTCTCTATCTACAGCTGTTGTCTGGTCAGAAGAAGCAGCCTTCACTGTGGACATTTGAGTATTACCAGCAGTTCTTTGATGTGGATACATCACAGGTGGGTCGTCGTCTCCTGGGCTCCTTCATACCACATCCTACTAAGAGCTTCCTGGATTCCCACATCAGACCGTCCCCTGATCTCTATGGTAAACAAACACTCAACAAACTTACTCCAAAGATTAGGCAATGTGATAATTACTTTAAATCAATAAATAATATGTTACTAGTCAAGTTACTGAACAAATGATAAGTGGTATAACATATAAATGAGAGTGAAATGTAGTGGCACAAATAGATGCATCCAGAATGCAGAAGGAGTTATAGTAATGTTGGTGAATAAAAAGTACCAATTTGACATGTCTGAATTAAGTACAGGTAAATATTAAACCTAAGGAAACTTGTATATGGATTTACTAGCTCTATATCATAATGGTATGGTTCTAATCTTCATGAGATAAAATTATAATTTTCAATAAACTATGTATGTTGCATTCTGAATGCATCTGTGTGCCACTACATTTTGCTTAGCTACCCAAGTTGTTGAAACGAGTTACTGAATGAATGTTACAAATGCTGTATTGAATGAACTGAGCATGTATGCAGCTTTTAGATTAAATCCTTTTAAAAATTATGTTACAATCTTATTGTAATGTCTCTTTTCAGATATCAAATGATACATCTTGGCAAGAATAAGTTGAAAGACTCATTTGACAAAATCTTTATATAGTGGGGAAGGCAATGAAGAAATGGGTCATGTCCTTGACTGATGTACAGTGTATTTTAATTTCATATTTCAATCTTTTTTTCTTCTCTTTTTATCAAGAAGTTAGGAATAAATGGGTTTTTTTGTTGTAAGTTAAGTCATGAAATGTGAATTTTTTGGAGAGTTTTTTAATATAATCTTTCTTTTTGTTAATCAAGTTTAATTGATCTTTGTTTGCATTTTACATCAGTCTCTTCTCTTGTGATAGAAAGGTCCCAATTTCTATTCAGTCTCATTTTGTTACTTTTTTCTCCTATTTATTTAGATTCTTGATCTGAAATATTGATTAATATATTTATTTGTTACCATCATTACTCCAGGTCCCCTATGGGTATGCATTACTCTTGTCTTCACCATAGCTATCAGTGGGGATATGGCTGATTACATCGCTAACATGCATTCATCCTCCTACGTATGGCATGCACACTTCTCAAATGGTAATGTGCATTAGACAGATGAAAGTTACTGATTAGATGATTTAGGTTGTCTATGAAGAATAGTAAATACATGTACTAGGTATAGACACAAGAGGAAGAAAAAAATTAAGAAAAAAGAAGAAGATGATGAGGAGAGGAGGAAAGGAAGGAGAAAGAGGAAGAGAAAATGGAGAGGGAAGTCAAATAAGAATGGAGAAGAAAAAGGGTGTTACCGAAGATGATTTTCATGATAGTAAGCAAATATTAATCGACTATGAGGGTAATGGTGCAAACTATCATCCCGAGCCGCAAGGCGAGGGATAATGGTAGCCCCGAGATCACCGAGGCGATGATAATTTGTATCCATTGCCCGAGTAAAGGAGGTTAATATTTGTTTTATATCTCACATCGGCAATAAGGGCTATTTAAAGTGAACTTTACATAATAATAAGAACTGATTCTGCAGACAGTTTAGCTTTAGCTAGATTTTACAAAGCGCAACATGCATACATGTAATACAGTCGATGCATGCTCATTTGACATTGACTTTGACATTTCGCGTAACCTACTTTGCTATGTGTATTCAATGGGCAAGGGTGGGCAAGTGGGGTAGCAGCAAAAAATTACTTTACAAAAGTACTATCTCAGGTAGATAGTACTTACCTATATTTTATCATGTGACCTTGTTTAGACCAATCAGATTGCAAGATTCTTAGTATGCGGGATATAACAATAGATATTGATGTTCATGATATGTAAATATGGTCTGTTGATAACAATCAGCATTGCTATGATATAATAAAATGTAGATAATGTGAGGTTTATGAACTTTGTTACACATTGAAAATCTATATGATATCACCAAATGGCAAAATCAAACCGTAATCACTCTCTCATTACCACTCATTATCTTTTTTTTTACTTCACAATGTTGTTGTGATAAATGCTTCCATAAGTTTACATTCTTGCAACATCTGTATTTATCATAACTTATCATTCCTTTCTTAACAGTTACAATAGCAGCAGTAGTCATCTTTGCCTATGCTTGGATCATTCCATCATGTCTGTATGGATTCTTACATCACAGAGGAAACTTAGGGGGATATACCTTCTTAGAACTAGTCTGTCTCTACGGTTACTCCCTCACCATTTATATTCCTATCTCGGTAAGTGTTGTTGGTGAACGATTAATAGTATAGTTATTGTTTTTCGAGGCATAAACTTTATTTAGTCATTTTGTGGTGATTAGTTAGAACTGTGGTTTGACCCTCAGTCATTGGTGTAGGTGTGTCTGTACACAAATGTGACTACTTGAATAAGGCTTTGGTCTGAAATATAGACTGTCAATCAATTCAGGACTATAATTTATCAATACCTGCAGTGACAACTGGGAATGAAAATAACATGATATACTTTCTGCCTTTGTCGTATCTTTCATTTATCAATGATCAACCCAACGTTTGTTTAAATGCTTTTGCATGCATACAATTAGTTGCATTCTTGTGATTATCTACCTTATCCCTATTGGTGTTTAGTATTATATACACAAAAATGTGTGTTTTTTTTTAATATGCCCAATCTAAAATACATAAAGCACATTCATACAAGACAAACATAAGTCTATTTATTATTTTTGTTGGTCTCTCTATAGATGCTGTGGATGATCGATGTAAACTGGCTGCGTTGGGTCTTGGTCCTGATTGGTCTGGTCCTGTCTAGTGCAGTCCTTCTCCTGGCCCTTTGGCCATCTGTCAAGAACGATGAGAAGAAGTTTGCTGCTGTTGCTCTGTTTCTTGTCTTTGCCTTTCATGCTGGGCTTGCTATAGGTTTTAAGGTTTGTTTTAATACCTTGTGTTATGATCTACCATGAGCATAGATCATCCTAGGTTTAGTGGATATGTTAATCTGCAATTCCAAGGTGTTTTGTTCACATATACATTGTAGGGTAAATGATAACCATATCAGAGTGTGGATGAGATGGAGTTCCAAATACAAATACATTTTCAGTATCCAGTTATGTTCGTCCATCCAAAAGGACAAATACCCTAGACTTGGGATTGACTAGGTGTAAACCCTTTCCATGTGAATCATCTATATTCTGTACTGTGAAATTGAACACCAATTCGTTGTACCATGATTGGGTAAAGTTATCAATTTTTTACAATGCAGTCACTAGGGTTTGATTTGTGTGTGTATGCACTGGTTGCATAAACATTTACTTGATTCCTATGTACAACTACCGGTAGTGAGATGACATGAAACCAATATGGAGCAATTATTGAATGCATTTTTAAAATGTTTTCTCGCATCTTATTCTCTCTTAATCCCCCCCCCCCCTCTCTCTTTCTCCCTCGTCTCTCTTCCTCTCCCCCTCTCTCTCTCTCCTTTTCCTTTCTTATAAATACACGTATACATGCCAGGGGACTGATTTCGCTCTCTTAAACATATTTTCATTTCAGATGTATTTCTTCCATGTCGGACACATTGTCGATCCTACAATTGCCCCTGTCACAACAAAACCATCCATCCACAGCTTAACAGCAGAGCACATCAAAACAGCTTCTCTAACAGCAGGACATGTAAGGCCAGCCACATCTGGGCACACCACCTTTCACTGACTGTGCAATCACCTCAGATCAACAAAAAGAAGCATATCAACAATTATTTATGACATATTTTGATATTCCCTTACATGGGAATTGTAGCTTCTTTGATTACAGCATGTGAATGATCTTTTACCCATTGGAAACAGTTCCATTTCAATATAACATGCATTTTCAGAGATGGAACGTCATTCTTGGATTCAGTGTTCAGCAGCAAGCCAGATATAGCCCAGATTGACATGTATTTTGATTTGAGTACACCATCATGGTATCCAGGGTAGAGATTTATGTCCTGTGTTTTGGTACAGAGGTACCCGTTGTTCTAAAGGAGGGGTCTGCAAAGGGGAGATGGAGGAGCATAAAAGCTCCTCAACATTTGTTGTAGTTTACTTAACCCACTACACTGGATATAATAATTCCTGACTATAAAAAGATTTAGCCCCACCAGTAAAATTGTTTGTAAAAACGGCCTACCTATGCTCATGTTATGAGTTAATAATAGCAAGATTTTATGTTTCAATTTAATTAAATTAATTACTCACAATTTATACACAAACTGAGCTAATTCTTTTTGTTTCCAATAATGATAGCGGGAAGTAGACTCCATTCCCTATTTGCACTTTGTGTTAAAGCCCATCTGCACTAGCTTGGCATGGAGGGATTAGACCTCCCTGCGAGGTCACTGACAGGTGGTTATCTCATCAAATCAGTTCTCAATTACAAACGTAAGAAAAGGGGCAACATGTACCGCTTAAGCATTGTTGGCTGTATAGAGGGCGCAAGTAGCTACAAGTAGAGCAGAGGGACTTTAACAAGCTGGGTTTCATGGGTTCAGGTCTGTATTTTGTCTGTATAAAACATTCCAAAAAGATTCATATTAAAGTTATATTTATGATCAATCTTTGTTCCATACCTTCCTTTATGTCATTAAATTTGGCAAACAGGATCAGTTCAATATAATTTATGAGTGGCTTTATTAATTCATAAACTATGAGTTCGCTATACTTTTTAATTTGTTCTCTCCAACTGAAGAGAGAGATTAGATATCTTGCACTTTGATCATTTTACTGGAAAAGGGAATTTCATGATGCATCAATCATGCAAAAGTTAATCATGAATAAATTGCCTCCACCCATTTTGCATGGCAAAAAAAAGGACATCATCAAAGAATTTCAGTTATATGCTGCAATTAACAATTCTTACACAACAAATCACTCATTGTTTAGAGGTCAAGGAGGTATAAACTAAACAAATATTTAGATATATCATAATTTGTGGAAAATGAAAAGGGTTTTAATTAGCATATTTGATTTCATGTTTTTATTCTTTAATCAGTTATCATCCTAATTCAGTAGAAGAAATTAAAGTCATACCTTGATCAACATAGCTTATCTTATTGTTTAGTGAATGTTAATACCAGTATTTTTTTAATTGGTGCAGAATTTATGTAAGGTTTAGCATACATGTACATGTTGTATTCACGTCTTGTATTTTTCTATGTGCAATATACATGTAGATATCTTGTGAAGATTAATGTACCACACAAACCCCATATCATGCTTGGCTCACCCTGTGTGGGTTCCCATGCTATTAGTTATTGCCTCATAATTGATAAGCATGTCTCATACTTGGTATTTCAATGCAGATGTTCACAGTCACGAAAACAGAGGTATGAACTATTGAGCAAGAACTTCAACAATCATTGTCAGTGAGTGTTAAAACAACATTCTATTTGCCTCCAAAAAACTTGTGTACCTGTGAGACTTTTGATGTCTGATTGAACCATCCACATGAGATGGTTAATCACTTTTCAGCGTTATTCAAAGTAGGGCTGCGACGTGTAGTCGAATGCTCAAGTACCTGCACGGTTGACAACTACTCTGGTACAATTTCTCATACCCAAATATTCGGCCACAAATTTTTTTTTTAAAATCTACCAAAAAAAAAAAAAATCAACAAAATTATTAAAAAACATGGCGTCCGAATATTTGAGTATTCGCTTGTAAGCCTGGGAGTGTACTTGGGTACCTCATTACACTGTTGTGCACAGCCTTAATTCAAATGTTTATGAAGTGTGCAGTCTTGTCAACTTAGGAACAGAATTTGGACATCATCTGCAAAAGGACAGAAGGACGTCAACTAATATCGTTAGAATGAATGCCTTTCTGACGTAGTCTCTGTCTTGATTACTTGAGATATGTCTTTTTTCATTTGTTCATTTATCAGTAAAGCAGTAACAATTGTGTTATTTCAAATTGTGAATGTAATAGTAATGTTGAATGAACTAAAATAATGTTTTGAAAATGTGTCCTCTTCCAATATTTAGTATTATATTTGTAATTACTCATTTTGCTTTTAGACCTTGCTGTACCACAGGACTAAACAATGACAAAATATCTTTTGTGGGATTTAGAATGATCATCTGTGTTTTTTCTGGAATTGTGATGTGTGTTTATAACCCTGTCTCTCTCTATCTCTCTCTCCTCCTCTTCTGCCTCTAAAAATATCTTTCTAGGTTTGTCTCTATCATACTACACACATCTAATTCCATCTCTTGATGTTTACAGTACAAATAAATAGAAACATAAATTATTGCAAAAGCTGTCATTGTTGTCATATCCTGTAGAATACATAACTGCATGGTCCTGCACATTTCATACTTGCCATGTTTTAACAAAAGTGATTTATGATTTATAATTTGACGAGAGAAATAAAAGAGGAAGCATACAAAGAATGGGTGAAAAGTAATGAGTAATGAATTTCCAAATTAAAATATATATGTGCTGGCTCTGTGAAAGGTTACATAATTGCTTAACTTTCAGTCCAAGTTGAGGCAAACAATCACAGACTAGTCCCACCTGTTGTAGGAATGTTTTCATTCTAATGAAACTGAAGTGTATGCAGGAAAAAAGAATACAGTAGTGGCTATGAGATTTATATCAGAAAACAAGAAAAAATCTTCACCTATTTGCCCAAAACTATATTTTGCGTTTGGTTCCCTTATGACAGGCCTTCTCAACTGGTTTATTAGAAGTGCCAAAACAAATATTTATTGAGGTTGAAGTGCCAACCTGTATGTTTGGTGACTGTGTTGTGTGGGAGCGTAGCGACCGATCCGATACTGGGTGGGGTCCAGGGGGCGAAGCCCTTAGAAGTGGCATTTTTAATACCTTTTTGTTCCATAAAAACATCAATCATAATTTCATATTGATGTGAAATAATTAGTACAAGTTACCGGTAATTTATATGTAGTTATTTTGGTGCAATAAACACAAAAAAATGTCAAAAATTTTTAAATTTTTTCTTTCTTTAATTTTTGATTTTTAACTTTTATTTATTTTGTATTCATTTTTTGGAACAGCCGCGCGCCACTCCGACTGACCGCGCGCGCCGCCAGTTGAGAAGGCCTGCCTTATGACTTAACTCAGAATACCATAAATCTATGAAGATAAATGTAAATAAGAATGAAAGTCACTTCATAGTTGGATCTTTCTTTGTTGCAGTGTGGAATGCAGTTTGTAAACAATTTTTTTTTTAGGAATAACATGTCGCTTCATATGTGCTGTTTGCATATATGCTGTTCATATCTTAGACTTGGATTGGTTATATCATTTAGATGTTATTACCTGTAATAATAAATCAAGTACGGTTAAAATGATCAATAATATAGGCCGTTGATATACAAGGAGCACGATCAGGGGTCAACAATATCTGCATATTTCATTATAGCTTTGAACAGCCCAAAACTATAATAGTTCAATATAAATAGTTGATTGATAAAATCCAAAATATTGCATGGTCACTTTAACAGAGACCTTACATACTACATGTATAGAAAAGGGCATCATTTCGTTTTAAATTCAACACAAATACAATGGAAGAGGGTATTGTGTTTTTTCCCCATAGGATTATCATATACTACACATGAAATTTGTTTACTTATCTAGTCTACATATAGGATTATCATACACCATCTGAAGGTTGACCCTTGGTCCAAAGAGGTCACGGATGTTGTCCATTCCATACTTGATCATGGTTGGTCTGAAAATGCGAGACAAGAAACACATCATAATGGTAATAATGAATAATAGTAGTCTGTCTATAGCACATGATACACCATTTCATTCAGAAACTACTATTCAAATCAACACACAGAATGAACTGGTGGCAGGAGAGGAATTAGGGATATTGAAGATTATTTGGTTATATGTTATTTTGGCATTACAAACAAAAAGGTTCCCATAGCTAAACATTCATTCACTTTACATGCAGTTCAGGATTTTTGTATGTGGAAGATGGCATTTCAAGGCTGGTGAATTAAAAGTATTACAATTAGAAATTTCTCACTACTTTTACTTGTTTTTTAATGAATGCATATAACTACAATATAAACAAGTATGTTGTGTTGGTGGCATGTTTTGTTTTATCAGAATCTTGCAATTACGCGTATGCGCAGTCATGGACACTCTTGCCATACAAAAAACAATGGCAGGAGTGGGATAAAAATAATAATACTCAGCTTTTATAAAGCGCGAATTACAATTAAGTCTCTAAGCGCTTCCAAACTTGGAGATTATTACCCCGGCTTTTAATAGCTGTGCTGCCATTACAGCGCTCTAGCATTTCAAGGAATTAATTCCTGCCAGGTAGTAGGTACCCATTTACACCATCTGGGTTGAGTGTGGCAAATGTGGATCAATGTCTTGCCAAAGGACATTAGTGCCGCGGCGGGACTCAAACCGCGGACCTTGTGATCGACAGTCCAACGACCACTCGACCACGACACCTCTCCAAAGCATAAGGGTAATAGGAAAGCATACCTTTCTAATGACAGCCCCCAGGCAATGACCACCACATCTTCTGGTAGACCCATAGGAAGCAGCATCTCTGGTCTGAAGACTCCTGAGTTACCTAGCTCCACCCACTTCTTCAGTCCTTCATGATAGCCAAAAATCTCCATGCTTGGCTCGGTGTAGGGATTGAAGGCTGGCTTGAAACGTAACTTATACATGCCTACACAGAAAACAGTCATAATAAACAAGTTCATAGATACCATCTTCACATGGGCATACAAAGGTAATTGGTACAACCCATTGAGACAAATAATGGATATATGTTCATGTAATTTAGGTAATAATTATTCTATAAAGCATTGATGGTACAGTCAATGATACACAGGTAGAAAGTATTCTTTTCTTTTCATTATCAAAACAGACAGTACAGGAATAAAAATACAGAATATCTAAAAATCAAGGAACCTTAAAAAGAAGACAAAAATTATAATAAAATTGTTTAAAAGGTAAAGCTTCCAGCCCGGACAACTGCTCTGAACAAGAATGATAAAACTGTTTACTCAGACAGGTTTCTAGCGAGTATCGTACAAATTTCTTCAAATACATTGTTGGCCTTGTTTTAGTACGAGCACTGACATATACATTGCTTTTTATACAGCAGTTCTCAGCTCAACAGATTTGTTGGAGATGTCCAAGCTGTGGTCTTGACTTATGCTCATGTATATAATAACCACCTGTTCATGAAAACCATTTCCAAACATGCAGGTTTATCTCACATCTTACCTAGTTTCTTGAAGAATTCATAGATGATTCCAATCAAGTCACCCAGTGTAAGGTTGTAGTCTGCCACCAAACCTTCCACCTGGTGAAACTCGGCTAGATGAGTGGCATCCAAACTCTCATTCCTGAACACTCTATCGATTGAGAAGTACTTGACTGGTGTGAATGTCTCCTGTAATACAAAATAATCATCACAAAAAATATAACATTGTATCCTTATCATCATCATTATAATCAACAAATCATCATCATCATCATCGTCGTCATTATAACCATCACCATCATTATCGTCATTATCATCATTTTCATCATCATTGTCGTTATCACCACCACCATCATCATCACTTATCATGAAGGCGTGTTTTGGAGCAATCATGAGAACACGCTATACACATATAATGTACCAACTGAGAAAAAGAGAATGATGTATCACTTTTAATGAAAACATTATTAGCTGCTCATTGCTGAGTCTTGTACAACACATAACTAGTTTCCAAGAGATTTATCAAACTAGATGGAATTTTGACTGCGCGCAGTCAAAAATGATGCCTCCGCCATAGAGCAACTTTACAAACCAAAACGGAAGCAATTTTTAAAATTCAAGTTTGATTGTAATCCATCTGTCGGTTTTAATAATAATGCATTCACAAGCTATTTATAGTCATACATAATGAGCCCCATGACCTTTGACCTGATGACCCTAAAATCTAATCAGTTAATTGGCTCTGCAAGATACATATATACATGTCTTGAGTTTGATAGTAATCTGTCTATTGGTTCTCATTATAATGCAATCACAAGCTATTTGTGCATACATAATGAGCCCTGTGACCTTTGACCTCGTGACCCCAAAATATAATCAGTTCATTGGCTCTGTTAGATACATACATGACCCAAGTTTGGCAGGAATCCATTGACCGGTTCTTGAGATAACGCGATCACGAGCTATTTTTGTAGACATAATGAGCCCTGTGACCTTCGACCTCGTGACCCCAAAATCTAATCAGTCCATTGGCTCTGTTAGATACATACATGACCCAAGTTTGGCACGAATCCATCGATCGGTTCTTGAGATAACGCGATCACAAGCTATTTTTGTATACATAATGAGCCCTGTGACCTTTGACCTCCGACCTCGTGACCCCAAAATGTAATCAGTTCATTGGCTCTGTTAGATACATATATGACCCAAGTTTGGCAGGAATCCATTGATCGGTTCTTGAGATATTGCGATCACAAGCTATTTTTGAATACATAATGAGCCCTGTGACCTTTGACCTTCGACCTCGTGACCCCAAAATCTAATCAGTTCATTGGCTCTGCAAGATACATACATGATCCAAGTTTAGAGAGAATCCATCAATTGGTTCTTGAGATAACGCGATCACGAGAACGGGACGTACGGACGGACGGACGGACGTACGGACGTACGGACGGACGGACAACCAGAAAACATAATGCCTCCGGCTACTTTGTAGCGGAGGCATAAAAATTAAACATAATATGAAGTGAGCAATGGTTTACATATCTTTCTGATATGGCACAAAACAAATTATATTCATACTATCAGCAGTATAAAAATAATGTTGTGTAAGACACTATGGCTACCATATAATGGTTTACCTGTTGACCAAGCTTGTACAGCATCCTTGTACTGACGGCTGTGGTGTGTGTTCTCAGAATGTTCTTCCTAGCTTCTTCTATCTTCCAGTCATACTGGTACCTGCAATACAAACCAACATTTACAGACAATTCTTAATGCTATCACCGTATTTGAGGATGCGAGATGGCTCAGTGGTTCAGCAGTGGTCTTATTACTGGGAGGACCCAGGTTCAAACCAAGTGACTTTGCTACTCCCCTTTGGTCCTCATAACCAAGTCCCTCGCATAAACATGCAGTCATGTAAACAAAAAATTAAACTAATAAATAAAAACCTTTTTTTGCATCACTGGCATTCCTTTTTTTTCTGGAATTACATTTATACACTACTTCCAAATTCCATGAATATAAACATCCTATGGTAAAGCTGTTTAAATTTAAATATAAAACATCTTTCTACTTTGAATTTTTGACATCCATGTTGCTATTTTGGTTACCTTGGACCAAGCTCATAATAAAGAGTAATGGTAATACAGCACTCTTCACAACATGGTGATTTAGCAGTCTCTTTTCTGTGTATTCTAATTTCATCCCTAACATAACAAGATAATTCCCTGTCCTCAAGGAAATGACACAGAGAAGAATAATAAGCCAATGACCAAAAGATAGAAATACAACATAGAATCAAGCAAAATCAAAAGCCCAAGACAGAATGCTGTGGAGGAATATTGGGGATCAATGTCCTCCCCAGGACGGAACAATCTCAGGTATGCCTCCGTTACAATCTCAGATAACAAGCTATTTTGCATACATAATGAGCCCTGTGACCTTTGGCCTTCGACCTTGCAACTCCAAAATCTATTCAGCTCATTTTCTATGCAAGATACATACATGACCTGAGTTTGGCGGTAATCCATCATTCGGTTCTTGAGATAACGCGATCACAGGAAATGCATCTTAAAGTGACTTGGTAACATTGTTGAAGGTTGATGAAAAAAATTGCTTAATTTTTGTATAAAATGTTACTTACTATATTCCTTCTACTGTACTAACCCTCTGACATGCAAAAAATCCTGAACAAATTCTCAAACCACGAAGATATCTATGGTTTTCTTTGAAGGTGACGATGTACGACACCCTCTAACAGTGATTAACAGTAAATTCTCCCAACCACTTTTCAATTTTCCCAACCGTTTTTCCATGAAAACAAGACATTAAACAGGCTATAAAAAATCTGTCAACACTTAAATGTCTGGAATGGAATGTAGAGCCATTTTATTGCTTTGTAAGATTTCCACTCACCTAAAATGTAATTAAATTGTAATAATATAGTTGGGAGAATTAAGGAATCGATCAGATCAGTTTTCCCAATTTGTACCATGAATAATGGTCTGTTTTCACTCAAATTTTTTTCAGATTATCTTTAATTGTACATCTAGCATTGAAGTCACTACCTTAGTACCACTATCTCTCATCTGAACAGTGTTACAAAGTCCCTTTAATGCCTGTACTCCTTTCATGGACTTACCCCTGTGAGCCATAACCTCCCTTGGAGTGCACTGTCTTCACCCTCTCAAGATAGTCCATGGGAAACTGAGTGGCATTCGCAGGGTCTGTGTACAAATCAAATAGGTTACACTTGTTTGTTTCTGATGCAAGTCATCAGACAGGGAATGTGATTAATCCAAAAACATAGATGACAAAAAATAGACAAAGAATCAGAGAATAATATCAGAAAAATAACTTACAATCAACAGATATGGAGAGTGGAAAAAAGGTTATACACAAGCACAAGACAGCAAGATAAAACTAGAGAAAGACAGATAGTGAAGGAGAGACAACTAGAGAGAGAGAGAGAGAGAGAGAGAGAGAGAGGGTTACAGACAGACAGAAAGGTAGAGAGAGATAAATAGATAATACAGAAAGAGAGAAAAAACAGAGACTTGCAGACAAAAACAGAGAGAGAGAGAGAGAGAGAGAGAGCATGCATGAGAGACACTATGAACATGTCTGACAAAGAGAGCGGACAAAATATACAGTTCCTCAGGTAGACAAAGGAACATCCCTTCACTGCTATTATGTAAAAATGTGTAGAACTGGTGTCACGTGCATATTCACCTTTTTACATAACAGCAGTGAAGGGATGTTCCATTGTCTACCTGAGGAACTGTATATTTTGTCCGCTCTCTTTGTCAGACATGTTCATAGTGAGAGTGAGAGAAGAAGAGGGCGAGAAGGAGCTTTCAGGAAACACAAATACAAAGGGAATAGAGGATGAGAAAGAGAGAGAGAGATGAAAAGACAGAGAAAGAGATAAACATAAGAACAATTATGAAATAGAGATGGAGAGAAATTACCTTTGATAAAGAAGGTATCATGGCTATCTCTGGCTGGATGTTGCTGAGGTTGGAAGAGAGCATCAAAGTTCCAGAATGAACTCTCAATATAGTTGTTGGTTGGCATTTCAGAAAATCTAACACCATAAGTAAAAGAATGAAATACAAAATTCTGAAATGTGTCATGAAAAAGGACATCTGCTCGTCCAGAAATATATTCACTTTTATCACAAATTCAGCAGCTTATGAGTAGTATCTCCATTACCCCTAAATATTCTACATTGCACAAAATACACTATTTCAAACAAAATTCAGTCTCATCAGCTACATTTTGTTATAACAGTTGTATGAGCTTCCATAGCATTTCAGTTCAGTACACTTGTTGCCAAAAACATGTAAAATCAAATTCATTAATTTCTTCTATAAAGTAATTTTCCCAAAATATGGGGCTGAGGGAACTTGAGGGATAGATCATTTGGAAAGTATCGGAGTTCTGCAAAGTAATTAATATATTCCAATGTTTTACTGTTGATGATGACAGGGATTTTCATTGAGAGAGAAATTCATGATAAAATGGAAGGGATTTCACATCAAATTTATGATATTTTTCTTTGCTGCATGGTCAAATTGAACCCCAGCCATCCCACTGAGCATTTGAATAAGGTTAACTTCCCGTTCTAAAACATGAACAATGAAAATGATCAAATTTCCAATAACTTACCCCATTTCAAGGAAGATCTGCCTGAACTGTGACCTGACCTTGAGGAGAGGGTGAAGGTGACCTGACGGGGGCATGACCCCAAGAGCTTCAAAGTTATAATCCTTGAACTTATGGTCTTTCCATGTACCCCTGTAGGAAGATTAATTATCACAAACATGTATTAGCATTTGATTTTTATGGTATAAAAATGGGTTTGTGTCAATTTGGAATTCCCGATGTGCACTTCAAGACTTTTTGTGCATTTTCTAGTGATGATTCTTTTTAATGTTCAGCGTTCCATACATCAATATAATTTTACTTGAATTGAGCAATATCTCAAGTACATGTATGTCATGAAATTTGAAACCCAATTTTCTGTTTTGTTACATTACTGACTAAAATGTTATGCATATTGAAAATGTGGAGGCCATAATGATTCACATTGATTTATCATGGAAATAATGATTTTTAGAAAGATTCATATGGGACATAACAATGCTAGAAAACAAGGACTGCATTTCGGTAGGAATCATCAAATTCAATTTTTATTTTTCTTGGTTTGTGTTGATTTCAAATTTTGACTCAAATAAAACTTGTTTAACAAAAAGCATGATTATCCCTTAATCAAATTGTTACTACTGAATTTCCCATTCCCATAGGCTTAATACGGGAGTTAAAAGGTTAAAGATAAACTCCAGTTCTGGTAAAAAAAAAGAAAATGGAATTCTCACAGAATCAAACGAAACTTACACTGAATGTTCAAGATTACAAGTAAATGACATGTGCCAAACAATTTTGGAAGAAAATGTATACTGGCTGAGTAATGAGCATAGAAAGACAAGGAAATCAAGGTAGTACTAGACCCGACACCATGTGTGTTGTCCCATATATACCTTTCTGTGTACAGTGCTTGTTACTTTACCAAGACTCAGTCAAATTTATTATGATTTTGATGACTCCAGAACCTTGCAGTGCACACCAATACTTACATGCTACATTTATTTATTTATTTTTTATTTATTTATTTATTTATGCATGTTCACAATTTCACAATTCATTGAAGTTAACATCACATGAAAATTAATATAAGATGACAAATCATTTTCAATTTTACAATACATTTGAATTAACTTCACGTGAAAAAGAATATAACATTGTTTTATCAAAGACAAGTTGCAACTTATATACAGTTTGAAAAATGAACACACAAAGGTGATGAAACATAAGCAAATAGAGCTTGAATCGTTACAACACCTTTCAAATATATAATATATGACAAATAAAATTCCTAAAGTTTTGTAGTGAACTATTTACACTATTTACAAAGTTTTAAAAAAAGAAAGAAAGAAAAAAAAAAAAAAAATTCGTTAGGCCTAGTAACAAAATTATGTTAGATTTAATTAGAACTGATAAATAGATTATAATGTAAGTAATATCTTACATCTGTGAAATGATAATACACTTGAGTGCTCTTTTAAAAGAGTTTGTTGATTTTATATTTCGAATATCATTAGGTAAAGAATTCCATACATCTGGACCTCTGTGTCTGATTGATTTCTGGGCTAATGTAGTGTGAGGATTGACCACATGTAAATTCGATGATTGCCTTGTTGAATACGAATGAACCATGTTATTAGGTTGGAACATTGAAGATAATGACGTAGGTAATAATTTGATATTAAAACGGAACATAAATATGGCAATTTGGAGGAAGTTAATATCATCAATCTTTAAGCATTTCAGTTTAACAAATAGTGGGGTAGCATGGTCACGATAACCAGCTCGGGTACATATGCGTACAGCTTTCTTTTGTAACAGAAGAATATTATTAGTCACACACTTGGATGTTGCCCACAAAATATTACAATAAGAAATGTGTGGTAAAATTAGACTATTATATAGCATAAGTAATATTCTATCAGAAACAAAACATTTTATTCTATACAGTACGCCAATATTTCTGGAGATTGGTGTAACAATGTGTTTTACATGGTCGCTCCAGTCAAGTTTTTCATTGATATAGACACCAAGGAATTTCGTACATGTCTTTCTCTCTAAAGAAATATCATCTAGTTTAATATTAAGAGCAAGGTTGTCATTAGATTTTCTACCTCTAAAATGAATATAATTTGTTTTAAGAACATTGAGAGAGAGCACATTACTTGTAAACCATAAAGTCAACTTTGGCAGTTCCGAATTTAGTTTCTGTTCTAGAGTGTTGATTTCACGATGAGACAAGAAAACACTCGTATCATCTGCAAATAAGGTATAATTTAAAGTTTTAGATACATTACAAATATCATTGATATAAATAAGGAATAATAATGGGCCCAGGATGGATCCCTGCGGAACACCACATTTAAGATACAGAATGTCAGAGTTAACAGAGTTATAATAAGTGTACTGTCTTCTCATAGATAAGTAACTCGCAAGCCATTGTAAAGCTATGCCCCTTATTCCATAATGCTCTAACTTAGAAAGAAGAATTGAATGGTCAAGTGTGTCAAATGCTTTACTCAGATCCATAAATACACCAATGACATGCTCGTGAGCAGCGAGTGCACTTGAAACGCGATCATAAAATTTCAGTAGCGCAAGATCTGTAGAATGAGACCGCCGAAATCCAAATTGATCATGATTCAATGATTCACATTTATCTAAAAAACTGTAGAGCCTGTTATAAACAATTCGTTCCAAAACTTTAGAAAAGCTAGGCAGTAATGAGATTGGTCTATAGTTAGAAACGACCATCACGTCATCTTTTTTATGAACAGGAATCACCTTTGCCAGTTTGAAAGAAGAAGGAAACACTCCGGTCATCAAAGAGAGATTGCAAATGTGTACAAGAGGCGTTAGAATCGAACCAATGATCTTTTTCAATAAAAATGTACTGATTTCATCATGCCCAGAAGAGTGACTGTTTTTTAGCGATCTCACTACATTGAGAATTTCAATGTAATTCGTTGGTTTTAGAAAAATAGAAGTATTAGATGGTTCATTGAGGTACTGTGTGAAGTTGGTTCCATCTTTATTTATCATCTTGGCTTGATTTAGGCCAACATTGACAAAATAAGTGTTATATGCATTTGCAATATCTTCTGCATTTGTTATTTCTTTATTACCAAGAACAATTTTTCCTGGAACTTCATGTTTTCCTTGCTTGCATAAAATATCCTTTACAATTTTCCAGGTAGATGAAATATTGCCATTTGCACTTTCAAACCTCTTAGAGTAAAATAAACGACGTGAACATCGTATAATTGATGTTAATTTATTTCTATATTTCTTGTATTTTTCAACATTATCTTGTGATCGTTTTTTCATACTTCTTTTATATAGTACGTTTCTTCTTTTTATCGATCTAAGTATCCCTCTAGTAATCCATGGATGATTTCCTTTTCTCTTGTCGTTTAATTGCACATATGGAAAATGTTTATTAAAAAGATAATAAAACTTATTCCAAAATACTTCAAAAGCACTTTCTACATCGTCACAAATTATAACATCATTCCAATTTTCCGAGAGTAAATCTTCATTCAGACAAGAAACATTTTCATCAGTAATTTTACGTTTCTTTTCAATTCGCCTTTTTTGTGTTACATCAGTTTTGTGGTCAAAAAGTAAGCAAAACACAGGTAGATGATCAGATATTTCACAATAAAACAGACCTGATTGAGAAAAGCCTTTAGATGTTTTTACGAAAATATTATCCAACAATGAAGATGAATGATTACTAATTCTGGTTGGTTTATCAATCATAACACTGAATGCATTGGAATCTAGAATATTTCGAAGACGAAGTGAGTTTGGACTATTATTCAGTAAATCGATATTAAAATCACCCATAACACAAACAGATTTATTGAAAGAGTTGACAGTTGACATGAGCAATTCTAAATCATTTAAAAAGTCTACCATGTCTGTGCTGGGCGGTCTGTATATATAAACGCAAACAATAAAATTCTTTTCATTAGGAAGATCAACTTCAATACATAAGAGTTCCGCAGTTTCGTTTTGGAAAGAAATATCACGTCTGGGCTTAAAAGATAAAGAATCCGCGATATACATTAGAAGTCCGCCGCCCCTACCACTCGACCTGTCTTTACGTATTTGTTTGTAACCTTCTAAGGTATATAAAGGTGGAGATTGAGGATTTAACCATGTTTCGGTAATGCCTATAACTGAGCAATCGAACTGTAATGATGATAACAGGATATTCATATTTTCATTATTCTTACTTAGACTCCGAACATTACAATGTAAGAAACTAAGAAATTGTGTTTGTTGAGGTTGATCCTTTACAGGATTAAACTCATTAGGTACGTAGTACCTACAGTCAATATTTGGTTGTAATTGGTAATCTTCATTAGTCATTTAAGGATGAGAGTCTTGCAGAATTCGATATTTTGGTTGAATATAGTGACAGCATAAGTTGACACTGATTGGGGAGGCAAACTTGCCAAAAGAGCGAAATAAAATAAAAACAGAAAAGATATGAAACATATGAAATAATAATCATCGTTATGGAGTTTAAGAATGTTGATCGTAAATATTGCCTACTTTATTAACTTGTTGATATCGTCTACTTCAACTTCTTGATATCATCCTTGGTATGGATGATGATCGCAGGTTCCTTCTCATCTTTCCTCACGAATATCTTGCCGTTGACGGTCCACACGAACTTGAAGCCCGCCTTCTTCCTTTCGACGTTCACGATTCCGAGCAGCTCTCGGGTAACGCTCGTCAGGTTCTCGTTGACGTAGAATTTGTTTGCACTGCCATGATCAACTGTTTCTGATCCTTTCCACACCTTTTCTTTCACAATGCAATCGCATTACCAGTACTAAAGTTTATCTTTAAGAATTAAAATGGTATGGAGCAATGGAAGGAAGAGCCATGGAATAACTAATAAAATGTTCTTACTTCATAATCATATCAGGAGTAAGATCTGTCTCAGGTTTCTGTATCTTTGTGCTGAACTCTTCTCCTTTCTTGATCATGAAAGTATTTCTTGTTCTGTGGATAAAAACAAAAAATATAAAGAGTATATCAATAAAAGTAATACATAAACACAATTGAGGCTACAATGTGTACATGTACACGGTACATGAGCCTTGATAATAGAAAAAGACACGTGGAGAGAGAACTTGAGAAGGTGGGGTACAGAGAAAGGGGGGAGAACAGAGGAAGAGAGAGAAAGATATAAAGAGGGAGAAATAAGTGAAAAGGTTGGATATGCTGAAGAAACATAATATAAATGAGCACAGAAGGAGCATAAATGCTGACATCTGTTTAGCACCAAACATATAGTTCTGAACATTTTATATAAACTCCATAAAATACCACCGTTGGGAAATTGGCAAGAAAATGTAACAAGGGAAATGCTCTTGGTGGTCTCACCTGCATTACGCAATTGGATATTATTTATAGGCAGGGTGGCCCATTAGTAGGCCCCCAAAATGAAACCCTTGAATATAATCAGCATTTTGAAGTGAATATTGCCTAAGAATCATCAGAAGAATTAGTTACTATTATAAATAACAAGATTAATAACTTTCATGAAATATGAACAAATAACAACTAGATGAACCTTCGACTGCGCGCAGACGAAAAATGATGCCTCCGCCAAAGAGCGATTTTACAAACCAAAACAGAAGCAATTTTAAAAATTCAAGTTTGATTGTAATCCATTAACAGGTTCTCAGAATATTGTGATCACAAGCTTTATTTCATATACATGTACATGTATGACCCTTTGATCTTTGACCTCATGACCTAAAATCTAATCAGTTCATTGGCTCTGCAAGATACATACATGTTTTGATTTTGATGGTAATCCATCCATCTGTTCTAATGATAATGCGATCATAAGCTATTTTTGCATACATAGTTAGCCCTGTGACCTTTGGCCTCATGACCCTACAATCTAATCAGTTCATTGGCTCTGCAAGATACATACATGACCTAAGTTTGGCAGGTATCCATCAATTGGTTCTTGAGATGATGCGATCATGAGAACGGGACGTACAGATGGACGGACAACACGAAAACATAATGCCTCTGGCTACTTTGTAACGGAGGCATAAAAAATGATTTACGTATGCTCATATTAAAGATGAAGTTGAGTTCTGGTCATGCGATTGCATCGTGAAAGAAACGGTGTGGAACCGACCAGAAAAGGTTGATCATCTAGCATATAAGAATTTGTGTGTATTGCAAGGTTCTGGAATCATCAAAATGATAAGAAATTTGGCCAAGTCTTGGTAAAGTTACAAACACTTGCACAGAAAGATGTATATGGGACTACACGAACACGTGGCGTAAAAAGCCGGCCCCCGATTTTTACCATGTTACATGCATATTTAGAATATGAAGGCATTTGAAGAGCCATGCTTTTCAGGGAACATGTCTTAACTGATGTTCTTCCACACTTGCATAATAAGAATGAGTAATGCTCACAAATTATTTTTCACCTCTTCCCAGAACTCAACCTTCTCTTTAAGTTGTAAAAACATAATCCAAGTCTACTGACCTAAAATTACCTTTTACTTGACTTTGTGACCTGGAATTTGTGTCATATAATTTGTGATACTCAGAGCTGTCAACTTTGGGGAACTGCTTCGAGGGACATCGTATGCAATTTTTTTTTTTTTTTTGGCTCAACAGGGAAGGGGGTGGGGGTGTTGAGTAAGAAAAAAAAATCGCAGTGCTCACTACCCCCCCCCCCCCCCCCTTCAAAATCTTAATGTTGATGCCACAACAAAGTCTCAGTTTGCAGACCTGAAAGGCTGAAATTATATCCAAAATTCAAAATCTTAACTTTTGGTTAGGTAAGTTTTTGATGTTGATGCCACAACATAGTCTAAGTGTGTTGACCCGAAATGACCTTTGACCTCTACTTCGTGACCTGAAATTCTACTCACGTGATTGGGGATACTTGATAATCCTTTAGTTTCATAGAATAAGAACTTATACTTTCAAAATTATATCCAATTTCAAAAGCTTAGTTTTTGAAGTTGACGCCGCCGCCGCCGCTGCCGCCACCATCGGATAAGCGGCGCCTATGTTTTTCGCTTTTGTAATATGCAGGCAAGACAAATATTATACATATCTTTATTGCTTCTATTGTTCATAAATGAAACTTACACTTCAGTGATTAGCTTTCTCTTCTTAAGTTCTGTCCTTTCCTTCTCTGTAACTGTTTCTATGTTCCCTTGTCTAATCTTTTGGAGTTGTGCTTGGACTTTGTCTTCAATAGATGAGATCTAATGGAGAAAATAATGTTCAGTTCAATTGTTTAAAATACACATTCATTCATTCATTCATTCATTCATTCACTTATTCATAGATTCATTCATTTCTTCATAGATTCATTCACTTATTCATAGGCATTAATTCATTCAATCAAGATACTCATAAATGCTTTTACATGAAATCTGATGACAGGTCTATTCATGTGCTTTCACTTTCATTCATTTATAAATAATTTATTGCTTTCAAATTTATCAATTTTAAACAAATTCAGGAAAGTTTTAAGGACTATTTCATTGTGAATGCCTATTACATTTTTTGTTTAAACTTAACTGCCAAAACAAAAGCTTCAAATGTTGGATACTTCAAGAATTTGCAACTACATGTATATCATCATATTTAAATTTAACTTAGATTCAATTCAATCTAATAAAAAAATATATGAAAACTTTTGTTCCCAGTAAGTTTTTCATGCACAGGACAGGTGGTTTAACCCAGTCACTGAAAATCTGTAATTTTAATTTTGCCTCAAAGAGAGTGCATGGTATGTTTGATTAGCAAAATATGAATTGTATATTTTGATTTATATGAAAAAATAATTAACCATGCCACATCACAGAGCCAGGCCTTGTGATATCGCAATAGGCCTGTCGATAGCTTTGTACTGTACCATCAAATGGGGTATATTCTTCTTCCAGTTAAGTGCCGCTTCATGGTGATGATGATGAGGCCAAAAATAAAAACTTGTTGCATTGCCCTTTGCGACCGACCCAAAAATCTAAAAACCTACGGTCGGCATTTTAAAAAAGTTTTTTTTATTTACCGTTTTTTAGATTTTGTTATATTAATGAATACAAAAATATGTATTTTGTTTGTTTAAATGGGAAATAAATGCATAAAATAAAATTATTACCAAATTCTCACCAGTCTTTTGCCCTAGTTTTAATATCCTAGTATACGAGTGTAAGTAGACCCCGGCCTCTTGTTCGTGTTTATAGTTTGATACCATACACTGCACCAGCTAGAAAACTGAGAAATATCAGCCAAAAGAGGGCGGGAAAAAACAAAAAACGCATCAAAAACATTAAAAAAACTGAAAAATATCGGCCCAAAGAGGGCAACAACAAAAAAGTTTTAAAAAATAAAATCTTTTCCGACCGACCGACCCATGTTTTGGCACCTAAAGGGCAATGCAACAAGTTTTTATTTTAGGCCTGATGGTGATGGGATATACCCCATTTTACATCATGCAATATCCAATTTTTTTCCTTCATGGTGGAATTATTTCATGTGAGCCATCTGTGGCCAATCCTTGCACTCGGATTTTTGTATGTGCACATGAAACAGTAAAATAATTTCCAAGAACTAATTTGACCTTTGTTGACCTTGCTTACCTTCCTCTGTACTCTTGGACCACCTTCACACTTTTTATTCACCTCCAACCATCCTGCAGACATTGCCTTGCTGAATCCTATCTTAGCATTGGGAACAGTCTTCTACAATACATGTAATCATACAAATAGAAAAGAAAAAAAAAATTGGTCAATATAGAAGGTGAAGACAGTCAACATCAGGAGAAAATTAAACATAGAAAGAACAATTGATAAGCACATTGGAAAACACATGCTTGGGAATAAACTAGACAAATCTCTCAATAGAACTGAGTTAATTGTAAGTTTGTCATTAACCCAGTTATTTCTGAATTTTTTAATTCCCTTAGGCTTAATACAGGAATCACCTGGTTCCTGTAGGCAATGGGTTTACATGTAAATCATTTAACCAGTGATATTGCTTTAATTAACAATTAACAATAATTTATACAATAACATTGTTTTTTATCATTAACCATAACGTTGCATATCTGTAAGCTCCTTCAGCTATAGGTATGCCTATTGGCCATACTCTTTCCCTTTGAATTTGAAATAAATACAGTAATTAACAACAAAATACATAAATCACAAATACTGGTAGGATGATGGCCCCACAAAAATTTACCATGAGTTCAGCCTGAGAGATACCCTCAGTTGGTATGGCGTTGTACAATGCTGCTTCATGGCTGCCATTATTGACGATCTGCGTCCCTTCTGTAGTCAGCTCCCAGTGTTTTGAGGTCTGCTGCTCGGCCTCAATAAGCTGTGGAAAGGTCAGAATATCAAGAATGAGTGAGATATGTGTACTAGAGGTGTGTCGGTATAATTGCAATGACGACCTTCGTCATTGCCTTGTTTTCGTTCACATTCTGCCCTGTTAATATTCTCCTGGTTTTCCTTATCCTTATCGTCAGGAAATGGCATTCATTTTGCACGTAGTGTTTGTTATTCCTTGTTAGGTGCTTTCCTCATGTTCTTTTCCTTTCAAATTTCATAGGCATAGTCTCTAACATCTCATCAAGGTCACTACATTCTTCGATTCTCAAAATCACTCATGCATAACCGTCCTGGCGCCATTTTGTCCGTTTCTGGTCCATTTTAAGGCCTTTCTTTCTTCCTTCCTATCTCCACTATCCTAGATCCTACAAACTTCTAACAAATTCCTCTAGATAGTCTAATAGATGTTCTTTTATCTGCGACGTATAACCTGACCTTCAAAATGCCATCTTCGTACTCAAAATTCAAATCTGAAACCGACTCCGTCAAAAATCTTTCAAGTTCTTGAAAAATTGACCCCTAAATAATCTAAAACTGCCATAACTTTCTCATATGAATTCCGTTTTGTATTTAAATCTCACAGTATCTTTATCTCATAATTGCACATAGCCATGCCAAATTTCACGCTCCAATGGCTTTGCAAAACATAAATAGCACCCTCTAAAGTTCTGGGAATTGGCTTTCTTTCTGTGGCCGTATCTCCATTATGGCTTGGCAAATCCGTACCCTTTTTTGGATTTAGATACTTGAAGATATGCCCTTTCCAGCCATATACAAAATTATATACCCTAACACTGACCAACTTTGAGAAAATGACCTCCAAATTCGCCATTTTCAAGAAAATTCGAAAATAACTTCAACTTGCTCTAAAATGGCGATCTTTATACCTACATCAATGAAACTTGGCACACATATGTATCAATATACGTGACAACTGTCTGCCAAGTTTAATAAATTGTAATGCCTTCGTCGCAAAGTTATCGCCAACAATGATGAATTTACTATGCATTACGTAATAGCGCGTTTAATGCGTGCAATACATTGCGCGGAGACAACAACGGTGTCAAACTGACCGCAATGAAGTGCCCTTTTGGATGATACCAAGTATGATATATGTTCACACAGAAAATTGTGAGTAAATCGCATTTGAACAAAGGTCACTACACGAATTCCGCCGAGTTTCCGCCCAAACCTAACAAGTATCGGCTATGACGTCATTTTTTTCAGACTGCTTTTCGCCCCTTAAACATCCTTTTTTTTTCTTGAAAATTTGCAGTGACATGCCGAGTTCCAATATGCAGGGCACCTCGTGGCCGGATTTTTAAAATTGGTCAAGGGGGCCATTTCAGACGCCATTTTGTTCTATAAATCTATTTTACATCACATGTTTCGATAGGATTATCATAGAAAAAAAGAGAGTAATTTACAATAACAACCATGAAACTCTCTTTCTAATGATACCAAATACGGCCCGTAAAGAGACATAAAGAGAGAGAAAAAAAGACAATTTAACGCCGGCCATAATTCAGATCCTGTACCTTCTCCGCCCATGCATTGCACCCCAGAAGGATCTTTATTTCAATGACCAACATGCACCAAATCCCATTGGTTTTTGCACGCAGTGCTTGCGAACCCTTTCTAGGTTCTTTCCCCTATCCCAATTTCTTTCAAAATTCGTAGACGTAGTCACTACCATCCCATCAAGGTCACTGTTAAGGCCTCTCATCGCCCTACCTATCTCCAGTATCACAGAAGCTACAGACTTCGTACAAATCGCTCTGGATAGTCCGAGAGAAGCTCTTTCATTTGACACGTAGAAACATGGCGTCATTGCACGCACATCGTTGTGACACGATTGCATTTCTAGTTCTTCCAATTTGGAATGCTGCTGTTTGCATTTCAGATTTGAAATGAATAAAGTTCAAAACTATTTTTTTGCCATGGAACAGAAATACAATATGAGTCCCATTTGTCAAGCAAATGGTTAATCGTCCATCTCCTCTTCTTGTAGAAAAAGTGAAGAAACCGCTGTTGATTTTCCTTAGTTGCATCTTCTTCCGCTAGCCTTTGCAAATCGTCTAGTTTCAGCTAATGAGTGACCAAAATAAAATCGACCACCAAAAACTTGGTCCCAACGTTTGCTTTGTGCACGCAAAAATTAAATTTTAATATGCTGTGAAATATCTTTGAACTTCAATGCCCCATGTGAGGCCTTTTAAGAAATAAAACAAACCTTTTAATGTATGCATAACATGGTAATGTACACTGTAGCCTAAGGATCAAGTTTTTTTTAGTGAATTTTTGTACATTGAGTTTACACAGAGATTCAGCGCTCGTGACGACCAAGAAATGCACACAATGATTTCAAAGCAGCTGTTGAAGTGGGAGTTAAACTGATTGTCTTTTAGTTTAGGTGTCATCAATTGTCATTCTGGTCAGTTTTGTTTAGTGGCATTTGAACATTTTGAGAATCTATAGAGAGCATCTTAATTTTTTCCCAACACAACAAGTATACTACTCGTAAGTCATGTACCTATGACACGTACACGAGTGGCCAAGACTCGCAAATCGCATGAATGCCAAATTCGGACATGCCAAAGTGTGTATGAACTGATACTTGATAAAGTGATAATGATATCGACTTTGATTTTCACTGGATGATAATGTTGCTGATTAGCAAAGAATTTGTAGATTCTACTACTGGTATGTTTAAATAAGCGTTTAAACATTAGAAATATTTTGATAAGCTTAGGTTTTGACCTTGTGCTCACTGATGAATTGAATCTTATCTACGACATTGAATATTTGCCTCCCTTGGGGAGGAGTGACCACTGTTGTCTGTTGATTAACACAAGAAGAACCACAAGAAGAAAAAAAAGACTCTGTCTATGACTTCAACAAAGGCAACTACCGGTATGAAGAAATGAGGAGAACTTCTTATGATGTTAATTGGGATGATTTTTTTGCCAATTCTAGCTGCACTGATTCATGGAAAAAAACTCTCTGATAAAATTCATCAAAGGATGCAAGAAAATGTTCCAAAGAGAGTTATGGGGAAAGGCAAGAAAAGGAATATTTACATGACTCATGAAGCTTGGACTATCTCTAAGAGAAAGCAAAGATTGTGGAAAAGATATTTGGAATCGAGCAGCGCATGGGATTACACTACATATGCTCGTGAACTGAACTCATTACGAGATATGACACAAAATCTATGCAAGGATTTTGAATTGCAGTTAGCATCAGGAGTAAAGTTGAATCCTAAATCTTTTTGGAAATATGTCAATAGTAAAATGAAGTGCAGAAGCAAGATAGGGAATCTATCCAAAACTGACGGAGCAACAGCTACTACTGGTCAGGAAAAAGCCGATGTGCTGAATCAACAATTTAGTGGTGTTTTCACTATTGCAGACCTCTCTAGTATTGAAGACCTCTCTAGTAATCCTGAGGCTCCCAAATATTCAATTGACTCCTTTCCTGACAAAAAAATTTTCACAGCGGATGTTAGAAAGAAACTAATATCATTTATGAATGGTAAATCTGCTGGTCCGGATAATTTGCATTCTCGTATCTTAAAAGAACTTGCTGATCAACTATGTAAACTCTTGCCAAGATTTTTTAATATATGTCAGTCACTCACAGAAGGTGTCCTTCCTCTAGAATGGAAAGCAGAAACATTACGGCTATATAAGGTAGTAGGAAGGATGTCTGGACACCTACCCCCTGGATAACCACCCCCCAGACAACTAACCACCCCCCAGATAACCACCCCCAGATAACTACCCCCCTCCGGATAACTACGCCCCCCCCCCCAGAAAACTACCCCCAAGGAAAGTTGTTAGGGGGGTAGTTGTCCTAGAGAATGGTTGACTTAGGGGTAGTTGTCCTAGAGAGTGGTTATCCTAGGGGTGGTTATCCAGGGGGTAGGTGTCCTAGAACCCCAGAAACTACCGGTAAGATTGCGAAAATCTGATATCACCAATGGAAAGACTAACATAAAATGATCTATACTCCTACAGGGGGAATTTTCTCTGAAATCGGGTGTGAAATTTTGAAAATATTGACAAAAGATCTGCAAATTTTTCGGTCATTTGCGTCCGTTCTGAAAAATTACTAAAATACTGATAAGGGTCTGGAAATTTAAAAAGTAATAAGTGGTACCGACTGATTGTATGATATCTTGCCTTGCAAATTGTGAAATTTCCTTATTTTTGATGGATCACATTTTTGTACAAATCAGCTGTAAACCCCTGTGTGTGAAGATAGGTCTCGTTTTTAGATGCAGCGCGCACGCACGATCGGACATCAAATTTTTAGATCGCGATATCTCTGAAATCCTTTGACGATAAATTTTCTAGTTGAACCCATCTGGGCAATTCCACGGTAACGGAAGGACACTCAGACAAGATTTTTGAACTTCAGGTTCATACTAAAAGAAATGTTTTATTAGTATGTATTAAACTATGGGGAACAAAATGTGTTTCAGTCAAGTGGAAAGCTTCATCAACTTCACAAAGTTTGGATAAACACTAATTAACTGGAAAAACCATATCCATTTTTATGTCCTTCCGTTACCGAGATAATTAATATGCACATTCTTAAACTACTTAACTATAATGACAATTTTTTTGGGGAGAATTAAAGGCACTTATATAGGTATTATATCTGTACTGTTTCACATCTTATACTAATAAAACAGTTCTTTTAGTATGAACCTGAAGTTCAAAAATCTTGTCTGAGTGTCCTTCCGTTACCGTGGAATTGCCCATCTGTAGTAATGACTTTGCTGTCCATTTGGTAATAATTGAAATAAATTAATTTGTGTAGAATATGAGAAATCATAGATCCAATATCACATTTTGTAATACTAATATGTTCTAAACTGTCTGTGAACTTTGCGCACCCCTTCATCCGATTTTGAGTGAAATCTGTTGAGTTTTGTACAGTGGTGTTGAAAATTTTGAGAATCAATAGAACAGGTTTTAATACACAGCCAGGATAGTAATGCAGCTATGCTAGTATCCTTCACTCCCCTGTGTAGATGATGATTTTGTTGAGCCGCTCGCCTAGCAGTGGCCACACATAGCTGCATTACTATCATAGCTGGCTGTGTATTAAAGATAAAGACCAGTTATGGTCATGCGATTGCATTGTGAAAGAAACGTTTTGAAATCGATCAGAAATGGTTGATCATCTAGCATAGATGTACTGCAAGGTTCTGGAATCATCAAAATGATAAGAAATTTGGCCCAGTCTTCATAAAGTTACAAGTACTGTACACAGAAAGATGTATATGGGACTACGCACACGTGCGCGGCACAAGCGTTTTTATCTCTCACATGATGATAGATAAACTAATTTACCAAATACATCAATTACCGTATTTGCCGGCGATAAGGCATAGGCCGCACCTCAACTTTGACATTTCAAAGAGGAAAAAAAAAAAAAAAAGGAAAAAAAAAAACAACAGACAAAACAAAATAATCATAATTTTTTCGAAAACACTATTTTTTTTTTTACAAACTGATACCAAATTCATCCATATTCTTATAATTTACCGGAAGTTTAGCTAAAAAAGTGATCGCAGGCAGATTTGGTGTCCGATATACCCCTACCACAATGTACGGTGTAATGCGAAACTGCATGAAATGGAAAAACAAAATGGCGACTTCGGATGAATGCTTCGCGGCAGCTCCGTTAGACGGTTCCTTCCTTTACTTTTGCAATGCATTGGCACGAACTTAGATCAAGATCTATCGACAAATGTTGTGTTAGGACGTTTATTTTCATCTTCATGTCAACAATGCAAAATAAAATTGTCGGTAAGATGTTTGGAAATGTCCTGTACCATAGTGGTATTGTTATTTTACCGTTTCTAGTCCCATACGTGCAAATTTGTGCTAGTTTTGACTTACGTTTTTTTTTTTTTTTACTCTTTCGTCGTAAAGGCCGCACCCCGACTTTTTGATATTTTCTCTTCCAAAAATACTGCGGCCTTTACGCCGGCAAATACGGTAGTAGGCGGTGTCCCGGCAAAATTTTTATCATCATGTATTATTCAAAACATATTCTTTCACATGATTGGTAATAAGAGCTTCCATTTCATTTTTTTAAATTTGGGCGTTTCCACTAGTACTGGTCTTTCTTTACCTTTAAAAGCTGTGCTATTGATTCTCAACATTTCAAACACTACTTCTTCTTCCTAAAAAAGTGCAGGCTTCATGAAATGAAGATTAACGCACAGTGGGTTGATGCGCACAGTCAATAGTAGGCAGATATACACATCGTTTAGTGATGTGCGGTTAAAATAATAATAAAAATCTAAAAATAAAAATAATACTGTGCAAAACTCAACTGATTTCACTCAAAATCGGTAGTTTCCTGTTTTTACTAGTGCCTGTAGTTACAATCTCGCCAATTGATGACATCTAATAGCAATAAAATACAATTTTTTTCAGCTTACCGAAGTTAGAAAAAACAATTAAAAAATTCAAATTGTAAGTCTAGGTCTACTTGCCGATCAGCCACATCGGCATGATTGTGTGCATTTGTGTATAATGAGTGTATTGACTATTCATGTGTGCAAATGCTGCCTATTATTAACACGTAGTGCAGCGCCAGAGGTAAATACGCATTAGCATATGCTTTGCTGGAGGGTCAGTGCCTTTGCTGGAGTGCCAGTGACCGTGCCGCACTCCAGCAAGCATAGTACTACTTAGTAGAGAGTCAAGGCTAATGAGTATTGACCTCTAGCACTGCACTACGTGTTAATAGGCAGCATTTGAATACATGAATAGTCAATACACTTACAACACACAAATGCACATAATCATGAAGGAAAAACTGTGCGCCATCTACACGTTCGCAATGGCGTTATCACAGTTTTTCCTTCATTATCATTTTGCCTTCGGCGTAGACTAGAAGGGATGAGATTGATTTAGATGACTCCATGTACAGCGAGAGTTTAAAACGGCTTGCAAGATTTTCAACATGGATGTCGATTTTGACCCATAATTTCCTTAAAAGGGACCATTAAAAGGATTATTTCAGTCAAGTTGGTAAGTGGAACCGATGTATTGTAGCCTAGGCCTAATTTACGATATGCACGAGGTAAAATGACATTTTAAAATGGATTTTGGGGGCATAACAATACGACCTGAAATGGCCTTGGCGTTATCAAGGGAATGTGTATAAACGGTTTGCGTCTCTAAAGAGAGAGCCGACCCTACCCCAATAAGAGGCTAACGAACGAAAGAGACGGAAAATTCAGTCTAGTATGATACTAGACTCACAATTTGAATATTTAAATTATTCTTTCTTCTTCTTCTTCGCTATAAGTACAGGCCACCGTCGGGTGTATTCTCGTACTGATAACATCGAAAATTTGAATAAAATAGACCCTAGAGTAAAGGAGCCCGTTTTCGGCCACTTAAGACAAAATCCTATTTTTAGGACCCTTTACTTCCTATTTAATATCATTTTTTGTTCAAATCATGAAGCACATATTATTATTATTTAAACAAAACAAGAATCCCAGAAAAAAATCACGAATTGCCATGACAATATCCATTTCAATTTTCACTGTTTCGGAGTCAGTTTTCGGCATAGCGTACCAGTTTTCGGCCGCATGTACAAAGTCAATAGGAAGCGCGCGCCGTGCGTTTTCGCGCTGATCTATAGCACTAGCGGGCGGAGCAGATATTCCACGCCGGAGCTCCCCGGAGCTCGCCAGGCCGAAAACAAGTACTGTGGTGATCGGATATTGGAATCTGAATTAGACAGAGATATCGTGTGTGCGTTGCGGTGTGCGGCTGCATTGATTTAATACATGCGATGAGATACTTTTGAGCTTGCGACTAACACAAAATCCGGCTCTAAATCTGAAAAATACTTGAAATAAAGCTCATTATATGGTACCCATATTCTTACAGACACGCGTAAGATATTCGATTTTTCAGATTCGGGTAGCGGGACCGCCGATTACATCGCTAAAATGTGATATTTTAGGATATATTTTTCATTGCAAATGTGGTTCTTCAGTGACACTGGCATGGTATGGTATGTGTGGGATATGTGTTATGCTATTATGCGATGTATTTTAGAGTGATTTTACCTTGCATCCAACCAATCGGCCGAAAACTGGAGCTGGCCGATTACCGGCTCCTTTACTCTAGACCTAACTTTAGTAGTATTTTACTGCTAGGTGGTCTAGTTAGAATCTAGATCTTAGGTGTCATGTCATCAATCGCCACTAAAGTACCGATTTTGAGTGAAATCAGTTGAGTTTTGTACTGTGGTGTTTGAAATGTTGAGAATCAATAGCACAGCTTTTAATACACAGCCGGGATAGATAGTAATGCACTAGGCCTATGTGGCCGTGCCGTGGCTCCTTTCGAAAACACAGCAGTCCCGTACGTTGTATAATTTGTTCGCAAATTGTGGCAAGAGAAATTAGATACGATGAAAATACTCACTTTTCCTAGGGATTGTAGACTTTTTATTGCCCCGACAATCTGCTGATGATCCTTTTCAAGCCAGCTTGCTACATCTTCTGATTTTATATCTCCCACTCGCTCCACAATTTTCAGGATTTCTTCGAGAATGTCCCCCATGTTTTTGTGTGCATATGCTGCAAGCACGAAACCACAATCTCTGGCCTAGTTGGCGATCGATAGCGTATATAGCTCGATCTAGCTCGAGATTGCCACAGGCGCGGATCCAGGGGGGAGGGGGGGGGGGGGGGGTGTGGGAGGGCCGAGCGGGCCGCGTTATTTTTTTCTGCGGCACAGATTGGTTTTTTTTTTTTTAAAAGGGGTCTTGATTTACAGACTAATAGTGGTCGTGTGCGTACTAGTAGTAGAGGTCTGTTTTTAATAGTGTTACATGTAATCCACTACCGTATGGAAAATCATTACATCAACAATTAAATTAAAAATGGAAATCTGAAGAGGAGGCAGCACGTCAAAATGGAGAACATCACAATAATTAGTCAATAAAACTTAACTAACTTAAACGAAGAGAAATGTTCGCGATGGACCTTGCCCCCCCCCCCCCGGGCAAAAAAGAGAGAGAGAGAGAGAGAGAGAGAGAGAAGGAAAAAAGGGAAAGAGGGAAAGAGGAGAGAATTAAAGGGAAAGAAAGAAGAGGAAGAAGAAAAGAAAAGGGGGAAGAAAGAGATCGGGGGTGCCGAATGGGCCTTGCCTCCTAGGCTGATGCCTTGCCCCCCCCCCCCCCCCCCCACCTCAAAAAAAAATGGGAGAAGGAAGGAAAGGGAAAGAAGAAAGTAAAAGAGGAGATAAAGGGAAGGAAAAAGAGGAAGAAGAAAACAAGTCGGGGGATATCAGATGCAATTTCCCGCAAACAAGTTGTGGATCGGGGGGGGGGGGGGGGGGCACTGGCGTACTGATAGGGGGAGGGGAATTCAAATGTGATTTATTTTTAATTCCATAACGGTGATTTACAAAATAATGCTGAAATGACATAATTTTCCGAGATTTTACTTTCAATTATACTTTTTTATGCGTTCGTTGATAGGGGGAGGGGAATTCAAACGTGATTTATTTTCAATTCCATAACGGTGAATTACAATAATGCTGAAATGACATAATTTTCCGAGATTTTACTTTAAATTATACTTTTTTATGCATTTGTTGGAAATGACAAACTTACAGTCAGGCAAAAATATGCTTATTGAGATGCCTACATGTCAAGGCCCGCGGAACGGCGGGGATCGGGAGCCTCGAGCCCCCCCCCCCCCCCCCCCCCTCCCCCCTCAACCTTTTTTTGAAAAAGTATATTAAAGAGAAATAGAAAGAAAGAGAGCAAGAAAGAATGAACTGTCAATGTCACAAAATAATGAGGTATCAAAATATGCTCATCTGACTGTGATTAAATGCCTAAAACCCATGAGCTGCCGGGGGCTCTGCCCCCTGGATTCCACCTAAGGCCCTAAGACAGGCCCTTAGATGCTCATCTGACGGTAATTCAATGCCTATAACCCCTGATTTATGGGGGATCCACCCCTGGACCCTGCGCCAAATAGTGTCCTGCCAGTGTCACAAAATAATAAAGTATTCAAAAATGCTCATCTGACCGTAATTGAACCCCTGAGCTTCCGGGGGCTCTGCCCCCTGGACCCAACCAAGAGCCCTAAGGCGGGCCCCTTGATACTTATCTGACCGTCATTTAATGCTTAAAAGTCGAGAACCGTACAACGAATCGTCTTTTTTCTCTCATGATTTGATGAAATATAAAAGCTGCCGCGCTTCGCGCGGGAGGGTGAAAACTGAATTCAGACGAAGATTAATTAGGAGTCGAGAACCGTACGACGAATCGTCTTCTTTTTCTAATAATTTAAGGAAACGTCAAAGCTTCCGCGCTTCGCGCACGCAGGAAGGGGGAACCTGAGTTCAGACAAGGATTAAGAGTCGAGAACCGTACAGCGAATCGTTTTCTTTCTTTCGTGATTTGATGAAACGTAAAAGCTTCGGAGGGAGGGTGGAAACTGAATTCAGACGAGGATTAATTAGGAGTCGAGAACCGTACAACGAATCGTCTTCTTTCTCTAATCATTTAATGAAACGTAAAAGCTTACGCGCTTCGCGCAGGAGGGGAAAAACTGAATTCAGACGAGGATTAAGAGTCGAGAACGGTACAACGAATCGTCTTCTTTCTCTAATAATTTAATGAAAAGTCAAAGCTTACGCGGGAGGGGGGGGGGGGGGGACTAAATTCAGACGAGGATTAAGAGTCGTTCGAGAACGGTACAACGAATCGTCTTCTTTCTCTAATGATTTAATGGAATGTAAAAGCCGAAAGGGGGGGGGGCAACTGAATTCAGATGAGGATTAAGAGTCGAGAACGGTACAACGAATCGTCTTCTTTCCCTAATTTTAATGAAACGTAAAAGCCGAAGGGGGGCAACTGAATTCAGACGAGGATTATGAGTCGAGAACGGTACAACGAATTGTCCTCTTTCTCTAATAATTTATTGAAACGTCAAAGCTTCCGCGCTTCGCGGAGGAGGGAGGGGGACACTCTCCCCTCCCTGCACCCCAATAACGTCACTGCTGGTCACCATTATGTACCAATATTTGGCTTGAATAATTTCAAATTTGGGCCCCCCCCCCCTAAGAAAACCTGGATCTGCGCCTGCTGCCACCTCAACTTCACAAATTGTTTATTCGTGAGATTTTCTTATAGTACACAATAAATTTGTTCTTGTTTTTTTGTAGCAGCTAGTCACTCATATAAATCGACGGGGTTATTGTAAATAATATTTCAAAGAAACCTTGAATCACAATAATTTTGATCAGAGGGGGTTCTCCCGGGGTCAGGGGTGCAAATCCCACATCACCCATTTTTTTGCTGACTTCCAAAGTGCATGGCCCTTTTTTACATATAGGAAAAGTGATATATTTTACTTCTTCAAGTGCCCCTACTTAGGTAGGTAGTGCCCCTTTCCAACCTAACAAGTGCCCGTTCCCCTCAAGAGCCCCTTGTCCTTAGTAGGTAGTGCCTCTTTTCCTTCTGAGTGCTTGTTCCCCTCAAGACCCCCTTTACCTTAATAGGTAGTGCCCCATTACCTTCTGAGAACCTGTTCCCCTCAAGAGCCCCTTGTCCTTAGTAGGTAGTGCCCCATTCCCTTCTGAGTGCCTGTTCCCCTCAAGTGCCGCTTGTCCTTAGTAGGTAGTGCCCCTTTCCCTTCTGAGTGCCTGTTCTCCTCAAGTGCCCCTTGTCATTAGTAGGTAGTGCCCCCTTCCCTTCTGGATTAAAAAGTAGTTTATCAGCATATTTTTTAAAATCATTAACATCAGAAAGTGTTAAAAACTTGAAGCGAAAGAGTTTATATCAGTGAAGCACAGTGGTCTTTTGGATAAAAAATCGCTTCACAGTGCAGATGTACTCGGTTCGATTCCCGGCTACTCCTTTCTACCTCGCGTTTTTTCATCTCTTTGTTTGTTTAGGGGACACCCCTCTTCCTTAACAAAGGAGGAAAAGTAGTTCATCAGGATATTTTTTAAAGTCATTGACATAAGAAAGTGTTAACAACTTGAAGCAATCAAGTAAATATCAGTAAAACACCGTGGTCTTGTGAATGAGACATCGCTTCACAATGCAGATTTACTCGGTTCGATTCCCGGCTACGCCTTTCTACATCCTGTTTTTTATCATTTTTTTTCTTCATATTGATTTGTCCATCTCTTTTTTTTTGTTTAGGGGACACCCCCTCTTCCTGTACAAAGAGTAAAAGTAGTTGATCATCATATTTTTCAAAGACATTTACATCAGAAAGTGTTAACATCTTGAACAGAACAAGTTAATAACAGTGAAGTAAAGTGGTCATGTGGATAAGACATCGCTTCACATTGCAGATGTACTCGGTTCGATTCCCGGCTATGCCTTTCTACCTCCTTTTTTTTATCATTTTTTCTTCATATTGATTTGTCCTTCTCTTTTTTTTTTATTACGAGACACCCCCTCTTCCTCAACAAAGGAGTAAAATTAGTTTATCAGCATATTTTTTGAAGTCATTAACATCAGAAAGTGTTAACATCTTGAACCGAACATGTTAATAACAGTGAAGCACAGTGGTCATGTGGATAAGATATCGCTTCACAATGCAGATGTACTCGGTTCGATTCCCGGCCACGCCTTTTTACCTCGCGTTTTTTTTTTCATCTCTTTTTTGTTGTTGTTCAGGGGACACCCCCTCCTCCTCAACAAAGGAGTACAAGTAGTTTATCAGCACATTTTTTAAAGTCATTAACATTAGAAAGTGTTAATATCTTGAACAGAACAAGTTAATTACAGTGAAGCACAGTGGTCATGTGGATAAGATATCGCTTCACAATGCAGATGTACTCGGTTCGATTCCCGGCTATGCCTTTCTACCTCGTATTTTTTATTTCATCTCTTTTTTTGTTTAGGGGACACCCCCTCCTTCTCAACAAAGATGTACAAGTAGTTTATCAGCATATTTTTTAAAGTCATTAACACCAGAAAGTGTTAACATCTTGAACCGAACAAGTTAATAACAGTGAAGCACAGTGGTCATGTGGATAAGATGATCCCTTCACAATGCAGATGTACTCGGTTCGATTCCCGGCTATGCCTTTCTACCTCCTTTTTTTATCATCTTTTCTTCATATTGATTTGTCCTTTTCTTTTTTTTCTTTTTTACGAGGCACCCCCTCTTCCTCAACAAAGGAGTAAAATTAGTTTATCAGCATATTTTTTGAAGTCATTAACATCAGAAAGTGTTAACATCTTGAACCGAACAAGTCAATAACAGTGAAGCACAGTGGTCATGTGGATAAGATATTGCTTCACAATGCAGATGTACCCGGTTTGATTCCCGGCTTTGCCTTTCTACCTCATATTTTTTTTAATCATTTTTTTCTTCATATTGATATGTCCTTCTCTTTTTGTTTTGTTTAGGGGACACCCCCTCCTCCTCAAAAAAAGAGTACAAGTAGTTTATCAGCATATTTTTTAAAGTCATTAAAATCAGAAAGTGTTAACATCTTGAACCGATAAGACATCGCTTCACAATGCAGATGTACATGTAACCCCCACCGCCTTCTATAATATATATAAAGAAATAAATGCAGTCATAATCATAATGAAAGTATTAATCCTAAGATTTGATTGCTTTAATTGCTTTGATTTGATTGCTTTGATTTGCTTGGTTAGATTTGTTTATGGGGAAAATGTGTCTGAGAGAGTAACATACTAGAATGATAATGACTAATGTGACAAGAAGATAGACACGCGACAGCAAACGTGGGGTAATAAAATATTATAAGATGTGTTACAATGAAGAAAGAAAAAGAGAGAGAGAGAAAGAGAGAGAGAGAGAGAGAGAGGATCTTGTTTGCATGAGAGAGCTAGAGAGGAGAGAGAAAGAATTGAGAAGAAATTGTACATAGTGCTTGGTGTGCCCCCCCCCCCCAAAAAAAAAAAAATGTATAGCAATAAACTTATGATCATTTACAACTAGATGGAATTCGACTGCGCGCAGTCGAAAATGATGCCTCCGTCATAGAGCAATTTTACAAACCAAAACAGAAGAAATTTTTCGAATTCAAGTTCAATTGTAATCCATTGACAGGTTCTCAGAAAATCGTGATTACAAGCAATTTCTCATATACATATATGACCCTTTGATCTTTGACCTCATGACCCTAAAATCTACTCAGTTCATTGGCTCTGCAAGATGTCCTGAGTTAAATAGTAATCCATCTGTCAGTTCTAATGAGAATGCGTTCACAAGCTATTTTTGCATACATAATGAGCCCATGACCTTTGACCTTATGAACCAAGAATCTACTCAGTTCATTGGCTCTGCAAGTAACATACATGACCTAATTTTGGCAGGAATCCATCAATCGCTTCTTGAGATAACGCGGTCACGAGCTGTTTTTGCATACATAATGTGCGCTTTGGCCTTTGACCTTTGACCTCATGACCCCTAAATCTAATCAGTTCATCGGCTCTGCAAGTAACATACATGACCTAAGTTTGGCAGCAATCCATCAATCGATTCTTGAGATAACGCGATCACGAGCTGTTTTCGCATACATAATGAGCCCTGTGACCTTTGACCTTTAACCTCGTGACCCCAAAATCTAATCAGTTCATTGGCTTTGCAAGAGACATACATGACCAAAGTTTGGCAGGAATCCATCAATCGGTTCTTCAGATAACGCGATCACGAGCTGTTTTTGCATACCTAATGAGCCCTGTGACCTTTGACCTTTGACCTCGTGACCCCAAAATCTAATCAGTTCATCGGCTCTGCAAGATACATACATTACCAAAGTTTGGCAGGAATCCATCAATCGGTTCTTTAGATAACGCGATCACAAGAACGGGACGTACGTACAGACGTACGTACAGACGTACGGACGGACGGACGGACAACCTGAAAACATAATGCCTCCGGCTACTTCGTAACGGAGGCATAAAAAATATGCAATAAAACTTAAATCACATATGAAGCAGGACAGTATACAATTTCCATGATGGGCATTCAGAGTCACTAAGAAATTATTGCATTCTGTGAGGGATTACAGATGAATTTCTGGATGGGGCAGATTGATGTGAGTCGTTCATTCAAAACATGCAAATATGTTTCGCGTGATCTCGTTATACAGCTATTTATGATTTGTTATATGAAAGTATGCGTTGTTATTTGCTTGTTAACCGATTATCATTTCAGACTTGTTCTTGTTTATATAGCTGCTTGAGTGTTTCAGAAGTGGGGAAAACTGTAATATAAATGCGTTTTGTTTGTATTTGCCCTTGAATAAATTTCGTTCTCATGAATTCACAGCGTGTACCGCGTACCAATAAATTGGTAGTCTTCAGTATAACTAATTGATACGTTCATCACATGAAGAAAGGTAATTCATACACGCACTCATGAAAATATAACATCGCAATCCAACGTTTCAATGTCACTTATAGCGTACATATATATATATATATATATATATTATGTTACATATCGTGAACATATTTCATAATCACATGCATAAAACAATCAGCGTCAATATTTAAATACATTTAAGGTCACTTATTCGATTACTTTTTTTCTACGAACATTGAATTCCAGGATATTTGAGGGCGTTAGAATATTTACATGATTAAAAAGATTCCATGACATTTGCTCCGGCGACAATTGCTCCGCTGTAAATTTCATACACTAATCGAATGGCTAACTTCAACCCTGGATTCAACACTATACCCTACCCTAAACCTAACCCTAAACCTAACATAAAACCCTATTGAAACCCTAACCCTAACCCTACATCTTAGACGAAATAAAGCCCGGAGCAATTGTCGCAGGAGCAAATGTCGTGTCACCATTAAAAAATCGTCGACGGTCAACGAACCATCGAATCGGTCCCTCCTCTGTGTGTTATATAATTATATGGACCATTTTGACTGATTCGTCAGTTCGTGTGACCGCCGACCAATCATTTATTTGTGACATGTTGTATCCACATATGTAATAATGTAATTTATTTTTAAATGAAGAAAAAAGAGGAATAAGATGGTGGGTCTTAGTTTCGAAGATTTGTTTAAATTTCTATTTCTTTTGAAATAACCAGGTCTGGAGGAAAGACTACGCTCTATACCCATGTTATTCCAAAGGAATGAGATGGTGAGGTCTTAGTTTAAAGGGTTTCATTTTTTTTAAATAACCGAGTCTGAAGTAAAGACTACGCTCTAATCCCATGCTTTATTACCGGGTCTTAATTTGGAAGATGGAGGGGTCTTAGTTTAAAGGTTTTTTCTGTTTTGTTTTGTTTTGTTTTGTTTGTTTTTTTAAAACTTTTGAATAACCGGGTCTGGAGAAAAGACTACGCTCAATACTCATGTTCTTCCACAGGAATAAGATGATGGGGTCTTAGTTTTGAAGATTTTTAAAAAGTTTTGAAATAACCGGGTCTGGAAGAAAATCTACGCTCTAAACCCATGCTTTATTACTGGGTCTTAGTTTGGAAGATGGTGGGGTATTAGTTTAAAAGTTGTTTTTTGTTTTTTTACTTTTGAATAACCGTGTCTGGAGGAAAGACTACGATCGATTCTCATGTTATTCCACAGGAAACGGATTATGGCGTCTTAGTTTTGAAGATTTTTTTGATTTTTTTAAATAACCGGGTCTGGAGTAAAGACTGCGCGCTATACCCATGCTTTATTACAGGGTTTTAGTTTTGAACAAATTCGACAAAATATCACTTCAAATTTATTACATTTGTGGGTAAAGTCATTATTACATTTGTGGGCGATTCAAAATTTTACATTTGTGTGTAAAGTGTTATTACATTTGTGGGTGTTATTACATTTGTGGGTAAAGTGCTATTACATTTGTGGGCGTTATTACATTTGTGGGTGTAACAGGGGGTCGCATGTACATAAAAGAAAAATGTTTTTTTAGACTTTTCAATTTGAAGTTAAAATGATGTGCATGAGCCAAGTCTTCAATTTTCTGTATGAATTGCTATCTATAGGGTTTAACTCTTTAAAGGTACTATGTCCCATTTGCAGGCCCAAAAAATGAATTAAATGATTAAATTCCAACAGCATTTGAAAGACAATAATAATTAATTCAGAACTTCCTTCAAATCAAAAGGGCTTGAAAATGGCTTGTAGTGAAAAAATAATGACCATTAGTTGTCAAATCGACTGAAGTAATTGCAATCACCTAAGCAATAGTCTGATTTTCACACCCTTTTACCAAATGGTCGTACGTTTTGAGCTGCACAAAGATTCAATCAGTTAATTATTTTTGGCCATTACAAGTAGTGGGTTATTGATGTAAACAAATGCTCATGTACTCTTCATTGTATGTATGTTATTACCAAAGAAATAAAATGTCAGTCAGTCACTCAATAGTGTCGACAGTGAAGTCTAGAAGGTAAGCAGGTTTCCTTGCATAATTTTAATATACTAGGACACTCACTGCTTACCGGTATGTTTAAATTTCACAGATAGGACATACATGACATATTCCTAATTCCTGCAAAGTTCTACAGAATTTGATGTTGGCTGCAATTAAGAGACATAGTATCTTCAAGGATGTGTAGGATAGATGTGGATCAGCTACGTTAATTGCAATATTTCAGATAGAGATATATGTTTTGGGGTCGGATGTGCATTATGAAAACTGGAGAAATTGTGTACATCCAAGCCTCTTTAAACAGCACTTGCACAAAATCTGCATATCCTTTGTTCATAAAACCTAGAAAATCTTTACTCACTCTCAAAATATTATGTGCTTTAGGAACTTTCACATTGCAAGAAGCAAGAAATTTTCTGCAGTGATTTAAACTCACAGATATTTCATGAAAAATATCTTGTTGAAAAGTGGCTTAATGACAATCTTTCAGGTCTCATAAAAAGAAAAAAAAATCTGTTTTCAACTTTGAGAGATTCAGGTAGAACTTTGCTTCTTTTCAAAATTGTCAAATGTACTTATACGAAGGAAAAAAAACTTGTACTGCTACTAATAAATACACATAAAAAAACACAAAGACATACAGTATGAAAATATCTTTTTTATTTGTAAACACCTAATATGTTGACTCCAATGATATTTCTGATTTACAATTGAAATAATAATAAAGGCTTAAGAGGTTTTGATGCTCACCTGAGTTTGAAAAGATAAAGTCAGGCTTGATGCAACCTTCTTGTGGTATTAACAAAGTGAACATTCCTGTAAATGCCCATGCTCCATACCCCCCCCCTCCCCACCCCTAACATGTTACCCCTAATAAATGCCCTGCCATGCAAACATTTTAACTTTTTATATTACATTATTATATACAAATACATGTATATCTATATATATATATATGAGTCTACACAGTGTACATACATGTATTACTTTTTATATACCTGTAAAGTACATGAACAAAACAATTTGATTTCGCCTCTAGGACCAAGGGGGCAATGAGTACACCTTGCTCTTGAGCACGATTCCTGCCAAACTGGCAAAATTCTGACCATGGGATTGAATGAAGATTAAATTGTTAATGTTTACACATGACATACAACCTTGAATTGACGATGGATGACGGGCAATAACTTCAGGTGAAAGGAAAAGTTAAAAGAAAAGAAATTTCAGGTTTGAATTTACTAAAATCATTAGGACCATTAAAATTCAGGTTTAGAAGAACAGAATATCACGAATAGTTGGTCATCAAAATTAAAACATTAAGTCTTAAAGCATGTAAGTATTCTGACAAAAACAGCTGTTGAACAACTATATGTGGGGTCGGACAGAGAGGGCGAACACAACATTTGTACGTCTGACCCCCAGATTGTGTGCGGGAAATGAGACAACGGATTGATTTGACATCACAATGATAGTGCTTATTTACTTTACCAAAATAACAGATTCATGAAATGATATTGGTATCAACAGAGAGAGGGTTAAATTTCCTACAACTTGAATGTACATTTTTTTTAATACAACATACGGATGAGATGTTTAGTGGATCAAACATAGAAACAATTTAAACTACACACACTTGAACCAACCCTAAATTAAATTTGGCACGGAGGGGATTAGTGGCTGGCACAATAGGGATTAGCACTGTGGCACTGGGTGAATTGCATGGGGGCAGCTTAAGAGTTAAACAATATGGAAAAAGTTCATTTTAAACTTAGCTTTTTGAAAATACTAAATGAGCCACTGGTTACCATGGCAATTTTAATAGCTCATCACTACGCAGACACACAATCTCTAAAATTATACTATTCAGTTTCATAAACTGCAATTTTGTAGCTGTCAAGTGAGACAATATATGTTGCATTCAGTCAATTTTGAAATTTTGAACTAAAGGTTTTCCTTCGTCTATTCAGCTTTAAATGTTGAATTTTGTACACTTTAATAGCTATTAAGTTCGGCGAAACATTGCTGCAGCTAGCTGGATCCATTTTGAAAAAAATGATGTCCTAAATGTGATAAAATATGCAAGAACCTTCTGATAAAAGGAATACTGGTAGGTGGTAAATCAATAGTACATGATGAGAATGTCTTGCTAGTATATCTGAGGTCCATTACTATCTCTAGACCTGCTATATCCTTCACTTGATTCCCTCTAGATCAGGATGAAGATTGGCCCTATTCATCTGAATCTCTGAAACCAAGCTAGACTGTCTTCTGTATTTCCTATTGAAAGAAATAATAAAATGTAACTGTAAGCACACGATTTAAAGCATTGTATGCCACGTATGTAACACTTATTCTATAAAATAATTCTACAATACAGACAAAAAGAACTTAATATGAATTTGCATGAACTGCATTTCCAAGATGGGTATTTTTTACAAACACATGATGCAATATCGCAGCAATACTGCATAAATATTGATAGATCCACATTAAATGAGTGCAATGAGGCCCCACTCAGATATGTGTTACTGCATATGAAGAAACAATTCTCAAAGGATTACAGTAAATACATGTACGTCAACCCGTCCTGATTAATTTGAAGTTGGAAATGAAGCAGGGGTGAGTTCATTTACATGACAAAAACCCTTCTTTATCTAATGACAATCATAACAATGTCTGGATGTCTTGAAGAATTTTGAAACCAGAATGAAACAGAGGTGTTGCCAATTTGTATGACAAATCCCTTTATAACAATAATATACCTTAAAGATTGTCTACAAACTACAGCGTATACTTATTTTTAGTATCAAATGACTACACTACATGAAGCGTAACATGTCTAGTTATTTAAAAAAAAATTAACTTCCAAACGTAACAATTATGTTCGGTTTTAGGAGTGCCATGTCCGGCAAACTTCTGTTCATTTCGGCAAAAGGGCTACAGAACTAGTGAAATGTTATGAAAAATAAGTCTCCATAATGAGAGGACATATGCTGTCTTGTCTAACAAAAATTGAAGTGACAGAAGCAATTCAGTGTAATGAATATACAACAAAATAATTACTATCAGAATTCTGCAGAGCATTATGCATATTCATTCAAATGGGCTATAATTATGCATCAGGTAGGTAATTTCATGGTCGAAATCAAATATTGCTGTTCTATTTCGGTTGCACAACGTGGAAATGTACATACACTTGGATGTTGAAAGTGAAAACAATCACACTGCAATATATGTCAGTCTATATCTATCTATCTACGTATCTTCTCCCAGTTTGGAGGTTGATTGCAACATCTCTCCATTTTACTCTATCTTCTGCCATTCTGGTGCACTCTTGCACTTTTAGTCCACTCCAGTTCTTGACATTCTCTTCCCAGTTGGTTCTGGGTCTCCCTCTAGATCTACTTCCTTCCACTCTTCCTTCCAATACATCCTTTAAGAGGCTTTGGTGCCTTTTAACATGACCAAAGTATTTGATTTTTAGTGCAGGATAATTTTATTGTAAGATCTATATAAATTATATTACAGCTCCTCCAATTAAACATTTTATGTTTATATTAGATTTCATTAAAACTCATGGTCGGCTTTGAATTGTTAACATATTTATTTCGAATTATGTATATTCCTTTGAGAAAAAAACTACTTTCTATATCTATTTTATTGATTTCATTCAGAAATCTATGCGATGCAGATTGGCAATGAATTGTAAACAAAGTTTATACTTTTGGAGCAGACACCGGCACAAGCTTGTGGGCCGGCGCGGTCGCAGTTTTACAAAATGATAATTAACAATATTACCTAGAATGAGAGTGTGTTTAAAAAATCTATAATAAAATTATAATACATTACAATAGATAAAATCAAGACGTACAGCATTTGCACATCAATTACATGAAAAAGACAGGAGATGAAGATTAGAAATAGAGTACGGAGAGTGGAAAAGGAGATATATATGTGAGAAGGAAATGACACAATGGTAGAGTAAAAAGGAATTAGGATGATGAAGAACGAATAAGGAACTTGATAACTTGTATGGGTCAATCAAGTTTTTGGAGCTCATGAAGGATTCCCTGTTGCTGCTCATCTATTGCATGGTAAAGAGATAACAAATGTCATGATTTGTCCCTTCCTTTTTATTACCTGTAGAGGGCTTGTATTCCGCTCCTATCCAGCCATCGTAACCAGACTTCTCAAGCACATCAAAGATATAGTCATAGTCTATCTCTCCCTTCAGACTGGGCTCATTTCTTCCAGGAGCTTGTGATACCTGGATGTGACCTGTGTCAACCAAGAAAGGACAACATTCTTCAGAAAACCTCACCCCAAGAAATAAATTTAATTATTCTGAGAGATTTATGGGTCTTTCCATTTGGCATTTGCTGTACCACTTCTTTCTGACCCACCTGACACATTTTAATATGACCAACTTTTTTCCTTTTCATTTTCTACACGGAGGTATTTTCATGAGACAGCTTCTGTGATTGGCTTTTATGCTAGTGAATATTCATGACATTATGCAAATTTTTAAGACCGCACAATTCAAGAGCATGGTCACCTTTTGGTCGCACTAAAAATATGATCAACTTTTTTTAAAGTTCCTGAAAATAAATGACACTTTCCGAGACCAAACACAGCGCTAACTGAACCGCGAGAGTCGCAGAGACTCACTCTGCATGGAATCATGTGTTAGGTCCATGATATGAGAGAGAGGCAGGTACGAGCATGGAATGAGAGAAAGGTGGATACAAGAGAGAGAAAGAGATAGAAGGAGAGAGGTGCAGCAGGTATGAGAGAGAGGGGGAGATAAAACTAAAAATGGACGATCCGATGTCGAGGCATTGTTTGCGAGAGTGCAAAAATCGACTTGCGCCAAAGTGATGCCTACAGCATGTATTATGTTGGGATTAGCGGAGTGAGAGAATGAATTGAATATATCAAATGAAATGCATATGCTTTTTGCAGAAGCAAAGTCACACACACACATGCACAAGTGGTTGTCGATATTTGATATTTGTGACATGATTGATGTTGTTAGGGGTGTTATTTGGATCTGCAAAGACCGAATTAATACCCAAATTCTGATTGTTTTATTCAAACATCAAACAAGCAAGTTTGGCGCAAATCGGTTTTTGCACTCTCGCAAACAATAACTCTCTTCATTCAAGCGTGAACACATACCACACAAAAATGATACAAAATGATTTGGGATAAAACAATCTTTCATAAGATGTATCATTTACTGTTCATAGATGATTTTTTAAATAATTAGCAATTTTCTAGGTGTAAACTTTTTTTTTACTCACACAGTATAGTGGGTTAATATCTCAATACTTTCTGTGGCTTCAATATGTCTATGAAACACTTTTCAAATAAAATATGAGAATTCTAAGAAATGAGAGTACACGGTTTACTGATGAAAACTTACCTACATAAGGCATGTATTCCTTGATGATTCTCGTTAGATCACCATGGACAAGTTGGACATGGTAAATATCCTTATAAAAGAGAAAAAACAAACAAAGAATACAAAGTAAGATTAAAATACTCCTGCTGCATGTGTCCTTGGTTAGAAAAAAATTATCTTCTCAAACAACATGTTTTAAACATACTCCTCTTGAAGAGAGACTTTGCCTCTGAACAAAAGCAATTTAATAGTTGATGGCCTTCTCCGATGAAAATACAAGTAGATATCAATGGAAAGCTGATTGGACGTAAAATACAAATACCTCCTTTCATTTCGTTATTGAACAATAAGCAGATAAAGACTTCATTTTCACAATCAACTTCATTTCTGTCATAAACATTTTGTAGATGCTGCACACATAAAGTCATGCATGTACTTACCAGCTGCAGTTTCACATTGTCACAGCCAACTCTCTTGATTATATCAACAGCTGCAAACATAGACAAAAAACAGGAAAATCATAAATGTCACTGTTGCAAGTTAAAACTTGTCATCATATCATACCAATTGTAAGCAATATTAACCAAAGTTTTGAATGGGGGGGGGGGGGTCAATTTGACCCACACCCTTGGATCTCGGCCGCGATAGAACCAATCGATGCAAAATTTTGGCATAAAAGACAAATGGCAGTGTTATAGAGCACTTTAGGAAAAACAGTATTTTGTATATAGAGCTGTTTGCAAACGGTCAATTTTCATTCAATTTTAGGCCCAACATGTGACTATGAAACGATGCATGACCTTGCAACAGATTTGCAAAGCCACATAAAGGTAAGTTGTGATCTGCAGCATTTGCGCAAGGAGGTGGGGGGGGGGGGGAGGGTGGTTGTCAAATAAATCGCCCCTCCCTGTTCAGATGAGGGTTAAACAATGGAGCATCTTTCCTTCCTCCAATGCAAACCACTGAAGAGTCTCATTTAAAAATGTCAGAAATTATTAGCTTTGCAAAGTGTAGATCAGTTACCTAATGTACTGTCAGCAAAAAAAGAAGGAAAGTGGACACTCTTTATTTTTAAATGTTTTCACATAAACCATCAATAAAATCAATAAACACATGTATCAAATTAGAGGAAAAAATAAAACTCTACCAACATCAATTAAGATCAAGGTTTAAACTTTGATGCTTAGATGGGCACATTCATCTAACTGTTGGAAGGTCTGATAAAGAAAATTGCAAAAATAGAGCAAGTAACCATTCAAATGTTATTATAAGATGGGTAGAAGAATCCCTGCAATCTGATTGGTCAATTGCTGTGTAGTTTTTTTAACTGGATGCACGTGATATCAATGCGATATAAGGAATCAATATCCCATCACGTTTTAGTTTTAACAATTTTTTTTCCCTTCAATTTCATGATACGCTTCATGAAATCATGCTTTACTGTAATTACCGGATGCATGGCTATGGCAAAATCATGCGTCTGGTAATTACCGGAAAGCATGATCTTGCCATGGACTGGTAAATCTGTAAAATAACAGATTTTTGTATTTTTGATGATTTTTTTTTTGCCCCATTTTATATAACAGATGATGCACAGGTTTAATTTGTGGGTCGGTGGAATTGTGTGCATGTGTGCATGTGTTACCTTCAAACTTGTGCATTATTTGTATAATGACATGTGCATTTGAATTAAAGACTTTGTTCAACAAGTAAAATACCAAGGATGAGAAACATTGAGGACGATTGAGCTCTGGATGTCAACTGTAGTCTCAGGACTGCATGGTTTTAACAAGCACAGTCAGGATGCCTCTTCTTTTCACCCAATATCGTGGATACCTCCAATGCTCATCAACACTGAAAGGCCAGATGTACCATTTTTGCAATTTTCTCTCCGAAAATCATTTACTGGTATTGTTAAATGGCTATAATCACTTTTGCATGAATGGTATGATTGTAATTGTATATCATATTAAAGAGGATTAATTTATGTTTATCTTGATACATGAAAGATGTGTTCATATAAAATATTTGAAAATCTTAAGGTAAAGACCAGTATTGGAAACGCCCCAATTTCAAAGAAATGAAATGGAAGCTCTTATAATACCAATCATGTGAAAGAATATGTTTTGACCAATACATGATGATAACAATTTTGCCTGGAAACTGCTTACTAATTGATATATTTCGTAAATTAGTTTATCTATTGGCCTGTGAGAAATAAACGCACGTGTCGCGCGCGTGTGTACAGTGCTTGTAACTTTACGAAGACTGGGCCAAATTTCTTATCATTTTGATGATTCCAGAACCTTGCAGTAGTACACACAAATACTTATATGCTAGATGATCAACCTTTTCTGATCGATTCCACAACTTTTCTTTCACAATGCAATTGCATGACCATGGTCTTTATCTTTAACCATCTAAAGTGTCAACTTTCTCTATTCATTGAGTGTATTTACAATGTTATTGTCTATATCCCCTTGCAGAATGTGTTAAAAATATGAAGAAAATTAGGTGGGAAAGCATGTAAAGGAGAAGCAGAGGAGAAGTCAGAGAGTTTCACCTGACATTATAATATAATCACAAAAAGTGGAATCCATCAAACCTTGCACACTACCCTATTGTTAGAACAAAGCAGGCAACCAGTGAGTTTTTCTGGGTGTTGTTGTTAGTTTAATTTAGCGATGATACTCCGCATTTTCCTTCATACATGTACATATAACCTAGTCGGCATCAAACATCTCTTGATTCAGGTATGAAGCTACAAAACATTTTGAAACTGGTTCACTGTATGCATTCAAATAAAGACGTAGAACTTTTTTTATCATCATATGCTCACCTTGGTCTTGCCTTGTGAGAAAGTAGTTTGGAATGGTGTATCTATCATTGATTGGCTCTATGACAGCTATGATGTCTTCCTGTATCAGATAAAAGATGGTCTAGATTCTGTCTGTCTTTATATATGTTTGTATTCTTCAATCATCTATATCCTCCTCTCTAACGTCACGCATCCCACACACATCGCGCAACAACTGAAAATACACCTTAAAAAAAATACATTGTTTGCGAGGGTGAGAAAGAATGAGGGTGTGTTATTTTCTCAGCTTATTGGGCACACAACACTGAAACAGTCCAGGCATTGGACAAATAAAAGAAAGCAAGATCCCCTGATCCCTGTAATTATCCCTTCCTTTTTGAAAGTGTGGGGGAAGAAGGGAAAGAAGGGAGGGTGTTGATACATATAAGTTATTAAAAGAGAGAGGGGATACAGGAAGAAAAAGGGAGGAGAGATGAACAAGAATACAATGAGATAGAGAAAGAGACATGGTACAGAGATACAGTAAAGAGGAACAGAGATGGCAGGAAAGAAGAGAGAGATGGCAGGAAAGAAGAGCAAGATGGCAGGAAAGAAGAGAGAGATGGCAGGAAAGAAGAGAGAGATGGCAGGAAAGAAGAGAGAGAAATACAGCCAATATATGAGAGTTCTATGAGGACATAGGAAATGAGAAAATAAAAGAGAGTGAAAGAAAGACAGAGAAAGGGGAGATGGAGAAGACAGAGGGAGGAGAGAGAGAGAAAGAGAGAGAGAGAGAGAGAGAGAGAGAGATGGGGAAAGTAGGGTAGTGTGCATTATTTATCAACATTTCATTTACCTCTTAGGTCAGATGCTAAAAGCTATAAATACAATAGGGTTGGGGTTCTTTTGCAAATAGTATCAATGAGTAAAGACAACAATGTAATACAGTGAAACCTGTCTATAAAGACCACCCAAGGGAGACAAGAAAAGTGGTCTTCATAGGCAGGTGGACTTTATGTACAGGTTCCTATAATACATGTTTCAATGAGAAACCATTTTCAAGGGAAACACAAAATGTGGTCTTTGTAGACAGGTGGTCTTTCTATACAGGTGGTCACTAAAGCAGGTTTGACTGTAGTAATATGATTCTTTGATGAGATTCGATTTCTTCATAATTAATGGAGGGAGAAAAATAAAAAAGGGGAGAGGGGGAAATGGATAAAGATAGAGAGACATGCAGACAGAGAGAAAGACAATGGCCAGCATTCTTACACTGGGCTTATAAGCTTTTTCCTTAGACCCAGGGTTGGATTTAAGTTGTATTATTACAACATCACTACGCTGAGAAAATACAGACATTGCAAATACATGTATAGGCATAATTCTGATGGATATTCTCATTCATGCAATGATAATATATTTTTTTAATTATACAAAAAACAGACTCTAACATACCCTCAAAAGTCTATTAGCTGCATACTTCAAATTTTCCACCAGCGTTTCCTCCATCTGAGAGAGAAGACTTGACCTTTGACCTTCCTCATGAGCCAGAATCCTTCCAGACATTACATGCATCCTTGAGAAAAAAAGAACACAGGAGAATTTCAATAATACACTGGCACTGCACAGGCACGGGGTCTAACTTAAACCTAGTCATCTCTCATCTGTGGAGATGAAGTTTTAAAGGTAAAGTCCAGTTTTGGAAACGCCCCCCTCTCAAAAAAATGAAGCTCTTATTACCAATCATGTGAAAAAATATGTTTTGACTAATACGTAATGATACAAATTTTGCCGGGGAAACCGACTACTAATTGATATATTTGGTCAATTATCATATCTATCCGGCATGGATAGATGTCTCATAGTCCCATATACATCTTTCTGTGTACAGTGCTTGTAACTTTACCAAGACTGGCCAAATTTCTTATCATTTTGATGATTCCAGAACCTTGCAGTACACACCAATACTTATATGCTAGATGATCAACCTTTTCTGATCGATTCAACAACGTTTCTTTCACAATGCAATCGCATGACCATAACTGGTCTATACATGTACCTTTTAAGATACTATGTCCCTTTTGCAGCCAACATCAAATTCTGTAGAACTTTGCAGGAATTATGAATATGTCATGTATGTCCTACCTGTGAAATTTAAATGTTAGCAGTGTCCTAATATTCAAATTATGCAAGGAAACCTGTTTACTAGCTAGACTTCACTGTCAGACACTATTGAGTAACTGAATGGCTTTTTTCTTCTTTGGTAATAACATACATAAAATGAGCTGTTAAGGGTACATAAGCATTTGTCTACATCAATAACCCACTTCTTGTGATGGCCAAAATTAAACTGATTGAATCTTTGCGCAGCATAAAACTTAAGACCATTCGGTATAATGGTCTGAAAATCCGACTATTACTTACTGGCTCCTATAGAGCTATCTCTTAAGTCAATTCAACAACTAATAGTAATTATTTTCCCACTTAAAGACATCTTCAAGCCCCCCTTTTTTAAGGGAAGTTCTAAATTAGTATTTACTTTCAAATGCCGTTGGAATTTAACCTTTTCATTTTTTGGGCCTGCAAATGGAACATAGTACCTTTAAAGGGAAATCCAACCTCAATAGCAAAAAACTCTACACGTAAGCAGAACAATCAAAGAAGCAGACTGGTGAAAGTTTGAACAAAATCTGATAAAAAATAAGAAAGTCATGAAGTTTGTTAAAAGTAGTAGTCACTGTAGAATTGGGAACTGAAAATTGGTTGGATTGCTAGTGTCACTGTGATGAAGTGTCGGACTACTTTCTCACTTGTTCCAACAAAACAAGTATGACTCTAAAACTGTCTTTTTTTCTAATAGGACCAGTACTAATGTATTCTCTAGAATGTATTTTGAGTAGTGCCTCAAGGGTGAAGGCTCTTCAGAGAAAAACAGAATAAATAAGTGATAGTTTTGTATAAAACAAATGAGAGAGTTATCCATTACTAAGTGACAATCCACTGACAAAATTGCCAAATTGAACTTATTACAAGGGTTGGATTGCCCAAAAACTTGGTGAAATTAAATATGTTAAACCAGGATCATACACAGGAGGAATTTGTACTTAAGTACATTTTATGAAAGAATCTTTTATCTTTTATCTTTTATAAAAGAGATGGAGAAATGGAAAGACCAAATGGGCAAATCCAGTATAACTGAAATAGATTCCAAACACTTTATACTTATGAATGTTATTGCATTGTATAATCTATGCTGACTTTAATAAATGATGATGAAGATGATGATGATGATGATGATGATGATGATGATGATGATGATATAGTATGTTTAATTATGTTAAGTTTTGTTTCTACAAATAATTGTAGTAGCACCTTGTGACCTTGAGTGTCTATCTTGTCAGAAAGTGCGACATGAAAATCTATATAATATTATCATCTCAGACTGCTTTAAACAAAATAAAGAGTCCTTAAAACATCTTACCTCTTACAACAAAGAGCTTTGCAATATTCTATGGAAAGCTCAAGAGTTTCCCGGAATTCTTTCTGTCTACCCGGAAGGGCAGCTAGTCCAAACTCCCCCGCTGTCCTATCACCTACAGAGGGAGATAAAATAACAGATAAGATTAAATCAAAGTCTGCAGTTCTATTACAAAGTTTGAATGCATTCCCTCATGATTTCAATAAAATAATATTCCAATCCAATCCAGGAATTTATAAAGCGCCAATATCTAGTTACCTAATCAAAGGCGCTGATGAGACTGAAAAACTACCAAGAATGTCTGTTCATGATTCTAACTGGGAAAGACAAAAAAGCAGTGACTAATTGTAAGCAATCTGAATTAGGTATGTCTTTAGTTGAGTTCTGAAAGTGGATAACTGGTGATAAGAGAGAACAAAATGGGGGAAGACCATTCCACAATCTTGATTCAAATAAACCTATTCAATTCACAAAGAGAAAATGATTGAAATGAGTGATTAATACTGTCAATGAATGACGTCATCGGTTCATGCGCAGTAACAGGTTAAAATACGGCCGCAGGAATTTTAATATAGAGTTCACTTTCAATAAAGAAAATCCGGAAAAAAAGACCCTTAAACGCATCATACAGTCAATCTGGTAAGTGGAACCCATGTATATTAGCCTAGGCCTAATTTTCGAGAAAAAATTTGGTGACCAGATCTGGCCACCAAAGTTTATTTTGTTTAAAGGTAATACAAAGTTTTGGAAATTTGGGAATTTTGAAAATTGGGTGGATAGTGATGCTTTAAAATGTTGATATATTTGGATACCCCTGTGGATGTATTATAAGCACTAGAAAATTTAGCCCCTAAAACACTCTGCTTTCGAGAAAAATTGAATATAAAAATTTACCGGTGCTCCCAGTAAATTTTTATACATTTTGAATAGCGACTACGGCCGTACCATGAAAATCTCAGAATATGTAATTGTGATATATAATTTCCAAACGGGAATAGCTAATCGGTCGATTTTAGTCAAGAAACATTGTTTTATAGCTTAATTAATATCTTGACCTTGAGAGGGAGCTATACAACATGAAGAGTTTATTATCTAAAATTTCACAACTTCAGACTCGATTTCAACTGCGACAACGATCACTGAATATTGTAGGATCGCATATGTTTCCAATATATTCATTTGAACCAAATTCATGACCCCATACCAAAACTTTGTATTACCTTTAAGGGTCTTTTTCCCAGATTTTCTTCGTTGAAATTGAGCTATGTGTTCAAATTCTTGCAGCTGTATTTTAAACTGTTACTGTCATTGAATGACATCATATTCCTTCATGCGCAGTAATAATTTACGAGAATAAATGCATCGGACATGAATCCGCTAAAATTGAGTAGTCTAGGCCTACAGTAGGTCTACTTTGGGCAATGTTTGGTGACCAGATCTAGCCACCAAAGTTTGCACAGGAGACCCTCTACTCTAGGAGCCGATCCTACCCAAATAAGAGGCTAACGAAAGAGACAGAAATTTTCGGTCTAGGCCTAACTCCGACCCAGGGAGCTCCGCCGCACACCGCCGCCGAACTCCAGGGAGCTCCCTGGATTTTTGGTCTAGGCCTAACTCTGATCCAGGGAGCTCCGCCAAGCGCCGAGCCTTCGGCGGCGGCGGCGGAGTACAGCGCGCTCCCATGAAGCTTTGACATTTCATTCAATTATTAGGGAAAGAAGACAATTTGTTGTACAGTTCTCGACTCTTAATCCTTGTTTGAATCAAGTTCCCCTTCCTCTGCACATAGCGCTGGAGCTCTGACGTTTCATTACATTATTAAATAAAGAAGCAATTCGTTGTACCGTTCTCGACTCTTAATCCTCTTTTTTCCTTTCTTCTTTCCCTTTTTTTTGGGGGGGGGGGGCGGCATTTGGGGGGGGGGGGCGACTGCCCCGCCCCCCCCCCCCTCCTCCCCTTGGCTACGCGCCTAAGCCCTAGGGGTATCGGGGTGGAATTCCCATCATCTCAGTCGATGTTTTGCAAGAAATTTGATTTCTACACAAGCCAAGGGCAAGCTACCAAGATTTCGTCTGTCCTAATCTTACCAGGATAGCTGGACATCAAGACGTGTTCCACTTCTGCTTGCTTTCTTGCTGATGCTATTTCGTCTTTCGAAAACTCGAAAGGAAAGACACACTCCACAGCTTGAAATCCCGCTGTTTTAGCCGCGGCATACCGACTAGCGAAACTTGGTAGCTCTGTGAACATAATGGAAATGTTGGCTGCAAATTTAAGTGGCATCTTGATTTAAATATTTTTCCCTAATCTGGAAAGAAAGTCGAGATTTGTCGGACAGTAGTAACTAGTAGATCTAGTTAAATTAGTTTTAGTGAGTTCTTCAGCTTCAAATATCAACAGCTGATCTGAAAAAATGCACACTGCCTTTGGAGATCACCTTCTTCTGTTTTGGCGATTTTAGTCGTGTCAGCTGGGAGCTGAGCTGGGTGAGGGTAGCTAGACGTTTAAAAATAATTACCGTATGCCCAAAAAGGCAAAATATAAAAGGAAAAAAGTGTTTTCCCTAAAATAGGAAGAATTGCTGTTATTTGTGATTGCTGACAACAGACGAGACAATCGTAATGTTTACATTAACAGATATCATTCACATATATTGTTTGAACGTGTCGATGCATCAAAAAAGATATTGTGAATGTCAAGCCTAGGATTTGATTCGATTTGACTTGAAAAGGTATAAAAACCACATGGCAGCTCAACAGTACTTGAGTGGAACTTACATCTGTTTTTTTTTCATAATTTTTTTAAATAAATGCAATACAAAGTAAATATCATACAATTTGGTATTAAGACTTTTACATGATTAAAGAGAAACACATAATTATAATTGTTGTACTCCATCTATAGAATTTGTGAGAATAACTTGATACTCGTTGAACTTGGTCACATTATGCGACTATTTCTTTCAGCCTTAACTGTATATTATAGCACACCTTGACATTTCAATTTCTTAAATTAATATATTTAATGTTCTACTTTCAACGCCTTTTTTTTTTATTGAATTTGACATAAATCTTTGTTAATTAATTGTTGCGACCTTTTCCAAAAGTGATCTTCACGCAACACTTTGTCACTCATTTAACATGCCTAACTTAAGTAAAGCGCTTAATTGGTCGGACTGAGCGGGGGCAGTGAATGGGGAGCGGGGGCGTGTTTAATCCAACCCTTGACCAAGTCGAAATTTCAATTCCTTAGGTTGTAACAGGAGGGGAAAGTGTAGGAATTTCCCTCTCATCTATATGTCTCGCCTTAGAACAATCTTTTGGAATTTTGGGATTTATCTTTAAACTCTGTAAAGATAATTTAAAATTAATATTCAGAAAGGAAGCTACGCTTTGAGGGCTCTGATATGCATTAGTTACAGTTTTCATCTGCATTCATTATCCATTCAAACCTGTAAAAATATTTTGTGACCATGATTATGATAATTTCCGTCAATTTTGGTTTCTAAAATATGTCGGTCTATACCGGTTTCGCAATGCTTCATAACTCACTTTTCGCTTAGTGATCACGTGTTAAATGGATCAGTTGGTATCCTATGGCCCATTACCTCCTTGTTTTAACTGTCCAAGTTAGGCATCCGACTCAACCTAATATGCTGTTCGAAGTCACGTTGCAACCAAGCAGTAAAATTTCGAAGTGTGTTCCAGATCGATTTGTAAATGGACATTTTTTGAACAATTTCAGCGAGAAAAAAATTGTCTTAGTGTGCTAATCACAAGTGCGACATGAGTACAGTACTTTTATAAACATATTGCACATGAAAATTGAAAGTCTTTCGGTAATATTGGTCACAGTAAGAATAGCAGATAAAGAATGTTGTACTGTAAAGCATCACCAGAAGAGAAAGAGGTGGAGCAGAGGAGGGGAGGGGAGAAAAGAGAGAGAGAGAGAGACAGAGAGAGAGACAGACAGACAGAGAGAGAGAGAGAGAGAGAAAGAGAGAGAAAGAGAGACAGAGAGAGACAGAGAGGGGGGAACAGAGAGGGGAACAGAGAGACGAAGGGATCAAGAGGAAGAGGCAGGTGCAGAGAGAGCACAGAGAGACAGGCAGACAGACAGTCAGAGAGAGAGAGAGAGAGAGAGGAAATGGGATGGGAGAATTTCGGTACCTCATAGTTCTCATCTTAGGCAAGGACAATCAAGTGCATATAGATACGGCTACAGTCACAGACTCTGCTCTCAGGCCGGAGATGCATGGAGGAGTGATTCTGCAAATCTTAGAGAAAGGGATGCGCTTCTTTCTTTAAGAGAGGAGACGCCATGATTGCAGTTCATCATAAGTTTTTTTTTTTTAGAGTCAGGGTCAGTAATAATCCTGAGAGCTCTCTTCTGAACTCGTTCGATCGATGGTTACAGAATGGTTGTTTGTGATCCCTGAAGTCCAAACAGGTGCTGCAAATTCTAGCACTGGCCTGATGTACAGCATGTAGATAGTAGCAAAATCCTTGGTGGTAATGCATTCCTCCGAAGTATATTTAAAAAATAAATTCTTCTTGAAGATCAAACGGCTGACCTGCCCATCCCGTTTGAGATTATCCTGAAGGAAGACTCATATAGGAGTTTTAGGGATGAGACAGATTCCAACGTGGTAGAGCGGGGGTTGGCGAAGAAATGAAATCTGCATAGCTTTGCACTTTGTAGCATTCGGGACAATACCATTGGACCAAGGAGTCTAGATGCGACTGCAACTCAGATGGATGCGTTTTCTTCAAAACCTCCACAATTGTCAAGTCATTCACATTATAGACCCGATATTATTGTTTGTGAGGAAGGGGGCAACGTGCCTCAATTACGTATGAGGTTATATCACATTAATCATGTTATTTTTGGTACATAGCTTCCCTTAGACCAATTCCTTACAACTTTCTTTACACTTGGGAAAACAGAACTTATTTTGTTTTGTTCTAAAAGTAGTTCTAAAAAGTCATTTGAGTTCAAAGTGACACACAATAATCAAGTAATCAAGAGAAAAGAATCTGTGAAGTATTTTGGCATTGAGTTGGCTAGCGCCATTTAGTTTTCGTCATCAGTAGAATCAGTTGTAAAAAAAGTAAATTTTCGTCTGAATTTTTTTTATACAGATATCAAAGTTGTATGGATTTAAAAGCAAGACGTATACTCTGTTTTGCTCTTATTCAAAGTTTATTTGACTATGCTAACCCTGCATGGTATGGTATAGTAACATAAACAAATCAGATCAAAAAAAGTTGATACAGAACCAAAATGGTGAGATTCATCAACTGTTCACGGTCCAAGAACTCATGTTGGCTACAGCGAATTTTCTAAAGCTGGTTTTATTGAAGTCAACCAAAGATCAAAACGACTCGTATTGCATCACGTGCGTAAAAATCATACTAGGTCGAATCATTAAATTCGATCCAACTTCGATCTTGTCACTGACTTACATGAGTATATACAAGAAATAGCCGATTCAACTTTAACTTACCAGAACGAGTAGGTAGTTTTGGAAATTCGTTTTATTACAATTCCCTTCCTAATGATATAAAGGAAATATAAAACTTTGCTAATTTTAAGAGGAAATTAAAGGAATACCCATAACACTTGAGAGTCAGAGAAGAGAAGCGAATGACATGTTATATGATTGAAATTGTTATTCTTCTGCCGGTTCATACTATTTCATTTTGTAAACTTATGTTTTTGTATTATACTTTATATAGGAATTCTACGTATTCATCAGCATTCTCCTCTTTTTCTTCTTCTCCATCTTCTTTTTTTTCTCGTACTTATTTTCATTTCTATCATCACTTTAATGTTGTTATCTTTAATAATTTTTTCCTTTCTTATCTGTCTGTAAATATTACTATTTCAACTTATTAATTTTGTACATGTCTGTCGGGGACCTCACTGGAAATAAGCTCTCGAGCTTTCGTGGGTTATCCTGTTCAAGGTGACATAATTTTGATCTGTTATTCTTGTAGGAAGCTTGGCGAATACAAATCAATCAAACAACAGCCCCAAGCAACAAAAATAATATGTAGGCCTATTTTGGGGAGAACAAGGTATATTTGCAAATCAAACTCTCTTGACCGTTAAAAAAGCAAAAACAAAATACTTTGGCGATAGGTCCTTTTCATGCTCTGCTCCACGTCTGTGGAATTCTCTCCCAGCCTCCATTCGTTCCATCTCTGATATTACTTTGTTTAGATCAAAATTAAAAACCTACCTACTGGAAAATGCATATTCAACCTAGCTCTTAAATTGTTACCTAGTTCTTAAATTGTTACCTAGTTCTTATATTTTTACCTTACCTTGTTATATGTTTCATAATTTCACTTCATATTTGTTTTCTTGTCATTACTCTGTTTAGTTTTAATTGTATCAATATTGTAAAGCGCTTTGATATAAATGTTTTATGAAAAGCGCTATATAAGTAAAAGTTATTATTACATGCGGATAAACCCCGTATATGCCGGTTTGCGGCTATAGATTCAATCTGAAACGGTAATCCCCACTTCGGGAACGGAGGGACCGCATTCATGTTCCCAAATCTCAGGTAAAGGGGTACTTTTCACGCAGCAAAAAAAAAAAGGCCCGTATCGACTTTACACCGGACTTATATTAGGGGGGTGTTTCAAAAAAGGTGCCACACATTATGTAGTTAAAATGTCATATAATAGTTTTAAAAGCCTTCAAATTGAAAAAACGGATTTTGTCCCCTGATTTTCTGTATAGTGCTGTTAAAACCCGCGTAGGGCTACATGCCTGTTTGATTCAATCTGAAACAGTAAGACCCAGGCAGTAAGATATCACCTTTAAAATGGTGTCAGTCATTATTTAGTTACAATGTCATACGAAAAATCCAAATCTAATCTCTTCCTCCTATTGCCGTTCCCGTCAGCCGAGACGTGCAAAATTATCTTTTTCTTTTTCGAGTGTACGATTTAGAGACACTATAGCACCCATTATTGGTGGCTAGCCTCTTCCTTGGCTTACATGTACCCATGTGTATGGTCGACAGTTTCAAGGAGCTTCTTATAATTATACAAAATGGCGAGCTTCATGAGATTTTTGCAGCCCAAGAACGTGTTTGTTTACAACCGTTTTTCATCAGGTCTGCAAGTAAGTATGGTCACTTAACCAGCAATCTAATACTAATAGGCCAATACAGGGCTGTCTGCTGTCAACTTTGGGGAACTGCTTCGAGTTCGTGGGAGATCGTCACTCCAGCAAAGCATAGAGACTTAGAGAGTCAATGCTAATGCGTATTGACCTCTAGGCTCTAGTACTGCATAGGCAGCATTTGAAATACATGGATAGTCAATGCACTCACAACACTAAAATGCACATAATCATGCCGATCGATGCGGCTGATCGGCAAGTTTGACAGTAGACTCACAATTTGAATTTGAAATTATTCTTTCTATTACATTGGAAAGTTGAAAAATTGTATTTTACTGCTATGGTGTCATCAACCGTCACTAGTAGAACCTAGTCTAAAGTACCAATTTTGAGTGAACTTAGTTTAGTTTTGTACAGTGGTGTTTGAAATGTTGAGAATCAATAGCACAGCTTTTAATACACAGCCAGGATAGTAATGCAGCTATGTGTGGGCCCTACCTAAAATTAAAAATGGATAGGCTACGGGGAATGAATCGGCGTCGGCGTCAATAGCCGATCGGTGTCGATGCACCGATGCAAAATTGCAAATATAAAAATTATATAGATGTCTAGAGGTGTAATTAAGGTAGACATAGGGGTCTACAAAAATAAAAACAAAAACGATATGCATGTAACAAATTGCACGCAGACGGTGGTTAAACATAAATGCTAAACGGTTTTGATGAATACGGTCGTTTAACCGTCGGTTAAACGTTTTGACTCTGGCTTATCACTGACTATTCTGATTTCCGATCTGCGCATTGGCGATGCGAAAAACGGATTCCGCAATGATTTTCTTGTTCACGTTATGAGCAATAAATCGCCCGGAATACAGACAACTAAAATAAAAGTAGACGATGAACTGGGGGTATTTTGTTACGTGAAATTCGTTTTTTGCATCGCCAAGGTGTGGATTGGGAACCTTAAACCCACAGGGCGCCGAAGAAAAAAAAAAAGGTCTGCGAAAATGCGATCCTTATTTTTAGGATGCATTTTGTTCTTAAAGTGACTTGGTAACATGTAGCATTACAGTCACTACCTTGGCACCATTTTCTCTCATCTGAAGTCCCTTTAAAGGGAGTTAAGATGGAGAGCCTTTATATGATTTAACATACATGTAGCGCCGGTTGACCCTACCCGATAGGCAAGTACACTATTGTAGGAAAGAGTACTTTCCACGGTAGTCTGTAAAACTTTTGTAAACAAGTGCAAAACTTGCATGGCATTTTGATATAAGAATTTTAGAAGTCTAAGGCAATAAAGATACTAACTAACCGTTGTGGACAAATGCAAGCGAGAGAATAATCGGTTGTTTAATCTTGACTTTTATAACAAAATAAAAAAGGAATACCCCCTTTCAAATTTACTTGGCCAACTGAGTCCTGTCATGGATCATTTGGGGCGTCTATGTTAAATCAAACAAGGGTTCGCAAACTCCCTGTTCCACAAATTTGGAGTTTCCGACGTAAACAGAAAATGAGAATCAGGTTTTCTCCTGACTGCTTGTTGAAGGGTGCATTTGTTTAGGTGGCCATACAAGCTTTATGATTCAATCTAAATTTTGTTCATAGAGAAAAGTTGAGATTAAATTTTACAATTTGTCCATTTCCTTTTTAGTTAACATTGTTGACTTCAACAGTCCCAGATATCATCAATTTTCAAAAAGAGTACAAGTACACAAGTCTTGGGACTGATCATTGACATTGTGACTACAATTTCAGCTCAACTTGATATCTTGGCTTTATGAATAAAGGGGGACTCGGTCATTGATCCAATACATGTCTAATAGGAAAGTCACCAATTGAAACCTCTGTGAATTCATGCCCATATGTTTTGTTGATACCGGTATATATTTTGCATTTGTTTCAATGCAGAGCTCACTTCGACATCATTCATCATGCATGAACCAACAAGAGAGAAGCCAGCCATTGCCTAGCTGTCTGTGGTCCAGCTCAAGACCAACCAAGAGGGCAAAGCAATCAATGTCATGTTCTAGAAATGGACCTACTTTCTCAACAGCCATCAGACAGATATCAATTTCATCAAGTAAGCAATGTTCATGTTTTGCAAATATTTTATAGTTTCGACTGCTGATAAATTATGATTTTCTTACTCTTTCTTCATATTTCTCATTACTTTTTGTTGATAATGAATTATGAAAAATTGAAAACATGTCATTATTAATGTTTATTGGTATTTGGACAAGGTCTCTTGAAGGACTTCTATATACCGTATATTTTAGATGTTTTGAAAATCTGATTGTGAGGTTTAACTAAGCAAAAATATTCTGAGATGACAGAAAACATTGGCAAATCCTTTGTCATAACTAAGTTCTCACTTTGGTAATGGATGAACATCTTTATAAAGTCCTGTTTTCTTTGTAAGTTTGGCAAATGCATACATAAATAATTGCTTTACTTTCATGCATGTATCCAATTTTTTTTTCTCTTTTGGAGAGTAATTAAACATGATTGTTATACCGGTAGTTTTGTAGTTATCTTGCTGCCTATTCCTCTTCAATTAGGCCAACATGATATTCAAATGTTAATTTTGTCATATTAAACCAGTTGCAAGACTTGGGTAGGTACTGTACAATTCTATACTTGCTTTGATAGTCAGTCATTCTGCAATGTCAATATATACATGTAGGACTGATCACATAAGAAGTAATATTCAGACATTGTCTTGCAGATATAGGACAATCATATTGTTACTGATATTCTCAAATGTGCAGGATCCTGTGGTGAGGTTGTACAATTTAAGCTATCAGATATTGGAGAAGGCATCATGGAAGTAGTGGTTAAAGAATGGTAAGTGATCATTTTGTAGTGGGGATAGTATTACATAACTTTTTCAAAATTCATGCAACAGAGAGTGAGAGGGATGAAAGAGAGATTGATGACGAACTAGTCAAAGAGAGATACATACGATAAAGAGGTAGATAAAGAAACAATGAGACAAACACAGAGGTAAAAGAAAACAAGATAAACAGGCAGACAGAAATACCAAAAGAAATAAAGAGAGAAAGGGGTATATGTGGTTATGTATCTTTGATTCGATAGTAGAGAGTTCCTTCATTTACTACCAAGCATTGGCTTTGAGTTTTGATAGAATTAACATTTGTCTGTAGAATATTTCCCCCCCCTTCAGTTTCTGAGATAGTACTTGGTACACAAATGCACTGCTGTTGCTTGTTTGTATGTTAATACCTGTAGGTATGTCTCAGAAGGAGATACAGTTGCTCAATTTGACAGTATATGTGAAGTACAGAGTGATAAAGCCTCAGTGACCATCACCAGCCGATTTGATGGGGTCGTCAAGAAGCTTCACTACGAGCTCGAGGAGACCGCCAATGTCGGCATGCCTCTGGTTGACATTGAATTAGCAGGAGGTAATTTGAGATCGAGTAAAATACTGTTCACGTAACTATATGGTTAAAAAAAACTGGAAGCAAATGGAAGAGGTTAATTATAGATTACATAAGAAATGATGTACACTGGGATGATTTGGAATGATTAAAACGAAAAGAAATTGAATCAGTCTTGCTGAAAGTCACATGTCATGTGCACAGAATTTGGTACATGGGACTGCACTCACATTTTGCATTAATGTTTGGTCCTCTCTTTTTTCTTACATGTATCCCCCATGGGGCACCCAGAGATTTCAACTCCCAGGTATGGGGGCATTTGTAAAGGTGATTAATTTCATGGGACATGTTCCACAACATTCTACAAAATTGACAAAAAGAATGAAAAATCGTAAAAAGAAGAGAGATTTTACAAGTAATTGTTGCATCTTTGATAGAACTCCTCCTTCTCTGTCATGTCACTTTTTTAATTTTAGGTGCATCTGCGAGTCAAGAAGAGGATGTATCGGGTGAAACATCAAGTGACTCAGATAGCGATACAGAACGGGGAGCAGTGTCCACTACCAGAGGCAAAGCTAGAACTCTGAGCACTCCAGCAGTCAAACGTCTTGCCATGGAACATAATGTAAGCAATGTCTCATGGCTTCTTTATATCATTAGAATCATGAATTGAGCAATGGAAAAAAAGTAAACTGGCCTTTACGCAGTCACAGACGAAGTGAAATATGCACTAACTTTAAAATCATAGATGCAGATGCTACTAATATTTAACCCCTAAGCTGGCCTAAAAAGTCAAATTTAACAAAGGCAGTTGATATAGTAATTTGTAAATTGAGAATAATTAATATCGAAATTTAAGGTAAGAAACATGATTTTTGTATACCGGTAATATTTTTCTCAAAAAATTGAAATTGATCAAAAATTGTTGTTTTCCATATATAAAAATTGGAGAGGTGTCTTTATTTGTTACTTTTCCAGGGATTTTTACAAGGACAATATCCTGTGCAAAGGAGAGCCATATATATCTTTCAATGAAAAGTTATAACAGCCCACAGTTGTTCCCTTGATTTTCAAAATCTAATCTTAAAGGCCCACTGCACTACTTATAGCTACTTGCACCCTCTATATTACAAGCCATGCCTAATCGGTGACCATTGGTCCCCCATGATCCTCTTTTTCTTATGTTAACTGAGAGCGGTCCAGTGACCTTGCAGGGCAGTCTAATCCCTCCTGTAAACTGTGGAAGATACGCTTTAAAAATTAGACAAAATCATGTAAAATGAGAAATTCTTAGAATCAAAATCAAAGATTCAAACAACCCCATGCATCGCTATACAAATAATACACAGGTGTGAGTGCATAATGGTCGATGCAGCGCATGAGGGTATTCACTATGGTGCTATAAAATTAACGAGGTGTAGCCGAGTGTATTTTATGCCATTGTGAATACCCGAATAGCGCTGTATAGCCATAACGTAACGAACGAAAACCTGTGTTATTTTTGTTTTATAAAATGGGTCGACAATCTTACTTAGCAAGGCTGTAAACCTGCAACCTTTATAACAAATAACGTGTGCACACAGACGATCGCGGCAGCAGTGGTCTCGTTAACAAACTGTTCATTGCATGGTGCGACTTCTCCTAAGCATCCATTGAATGACACGCAGCATGCATTATGCCTTTTTGTTGCATCGTTTTTGCACGGTTGTTATCACCAAAATGCAATCCCCGTGCGTGTGTGGTCAAAGTTCATGCGCGCACGCATGATCCATTTTGACACTTGTCATTGGCTACATTCTTGAACCCATTTTATAATTATTACTTATGCATGCACTAATTTTTAATAAATAAAAAGGGACAGGAATTATCATGCGTTGTGGATTGACTGTTTGCCTTGAATAACAATCTGGACTGCCACATTGTTAAGCCTTGTGTATTAACTGAGCTCTGTGTTCAAAGATACGCAAATGTGATGCGTATTAAGTCATCATTGTAAGAAAATGCAGCAGTTCTGCTACATCATATCTGAATGAGCCTTGTAAGAGTAAAACCTTGTATATGCTACATGTTCAATGTTAATTTGTACAGTTTCTACGAAAGGAAATAACATCTTTTTCTTTTTCTTTTTCTTAGATATCATTAAATGATGTGCATGGCACAGGTAAAGATGGACGAGTACTCAAAGAGGATATGCTACGTCATGTAGAACAGCTGGAATCAGGAGTACCTCAGTGGAAACCAGGTATTTCTTGAAGTCATATGCAATTGCTTTTTCTTAAATTGGCAGTGGGATATTATTTATGTTTTTCTTTGTACATTTACTTCATAGGTTAGAAACAAAGCTCTGATATTTTACATTTGATAAAAACAAGTTTAACTGATTGATAATTATAATAATTAATTGTGAATGGTTCTTATAAATTACTTTACCAGTTAACTAACCAAAGTGCTTGCAGCATCATTGTTACCCATGTTACTTTATTCAATTACGAATCTGCGTATTACAGTGCACACACTCCACTCCACTGTGGAGAAATCCAGCCAGTCACATATTTACATGGATGCCATTCACTATTATTATTATAACTATCAATACAGTTAAACATGTTTTTATCAAATGTTATGAACCAAGAAATTATGCAAGAAATACTGGGACCTAGACAAACAAATTAGGCAAAAGTGTAAAGCGGCAAAAGAGACCTGGCTAAATGAACAATGTGCAGAAATTGAAACTCAATTTGATAAGAATATTAATGTTTACTGAAGAATAAATTAAATTTCAGGCAAAAAGTCTGGTTGCTCAAACCCTGGCTGTATGAAAGGAAAAGATGGGTCAATGCTATTTGAAAAGAAGGACAAATTTAGTAGGTGGATGCAATATATTGGTGAGCTCTTTGAAGATAGTAGGGAAGCAATGCAGAGTTTTGCAGATGTAGTCAAAGGGCAAAAAGTTCTTAAATCTGAAGTTTGTTGGGCAATTTCAAAGATGAAGAAGAACAAAGTAGCTGGACCAGATGGTGCGGTCACTGAAATGATAGAAGCATTAGAGGAATATGTTATTGATAGATTAACAGAAATTATCAACAAAATATATGATGAAGGAGCATTTCCAGACGAATCGGGCAAATCCATTTTCATTACTCTCCCAAAGAAACCGGGAGCTCTGGATTGTGAGCAAAATGGGAAAATCAGCTTTATTTGCCATATTACATATATTATTTTGAGGATATTGCTTTCGAGAGCATGAAGTAGAATAACACCCATGGTTAAAATAATGTTTCTCTCTTTTTTTCTTCTCTGTTACACATTCCTCTAGTTGCTGAGGAGCTTGAACCTCCACCACCGCCATCGTCCACAGCCAAACCTATCAAAACCCCAGTCGTACCCCCTTTCACTCCTACCCCTTCACCTCCAAGAATCCCTGTCCGGGCCGTAGTTGGCCAGGACCGGACAGAACCCATCAAGGGTATCCACAAGGCTATGGTCAAAGCCATGGTCCGGTCTAACGCCATACCTCACTTTGGGTACAAAGATGAGGTGGATGTGACAGAGTTGGTTGCACTTAAGTCTCACTTCAAGGCAGCTGCTGCAGCCAGGGGTATTCAGTTCTCTTTCACACCATTATTTATCAAGGTCAGTAATGTATGCTTATAATCAGTGACTTAGCCTGGGTCAAGGTATGGGGGGGGGGGACACTTGCATCATAAGGGCCACAAGTCTCACTCAGAAAATGTTATAATGCTAATTTACAAGGCCTTTCTCTAATTAAGGGGAGGATGAACAGATTTTGTGGAAAATTTTGTTATGTGTACCATCAGTTTCTAATAATGATATCCCAGATGCCCATATTTGCCTCATCAGTATTTGCTGTTCTCCCTGAGTGCCCAGCAATCAGCTTTAGATGAGCTACCTCGATGAGGTACTCAAGCATGCAAGAGATATCTTCTCACTGGGTACTCATCAACTACACTTGGGTGAGAGCAGCAAATGTAGCTAAACCCTTGCAAAAGTACATTAGTGCCAAGAGACATTAGATTGTGCATAACTACAGCTCGGTAATGATTGCAATTGAGCAAGAATTTTGTAGAAAAGATGTCTTGCATGCCTCCTCAGTAACTTTCAAGCTACAGACCGATTTCAAACTGTGCAAGGTAGCTGAAAGGGCACTCGTTACACAGATTCAAGATCTCCTTCTTCTGCATGACCTATATGCTAAGACACAGTCTTCCTATTGACTGCACCACAGCGTTTAAACAGCCCTTGTCCGTATACAGAATCAGTTATAAGAGTGGCACATGAACCTTATACAAGAATCCACTAATATTTTTTTTATCATTATTATGTTTGCTATCTGTAGGCAGCTTCAATGGCCCTCTCCTTCTTCCCTGAGATTAATATGAGTGTAGATGAACAATGTGAGAACATGACATATAAGGTAAGATCATTCAAATCAACATAAATACTGCTGCCTTCAGGCTTGGCATGTTTTTAAACGCATTTAAAAGAGCATTTTAAATCACCTGTTTTTCTTGTTTACATCAAAAACATCTCATAGACATATGTGTTATAAATTTCAAACACATAAATTGCTTTTCAATTTGCTATTATATTCTTGCTCAAATTTCTTGGTTTTGTATTTACTTTGGCTATAGCTGACAAAAATTAGCAATGAAGTAGCATTGGTAATGTAAGTGGATTCATCCAACTCAGTTGCTGGCTTTTATCATGCAGCTTTTTGAAAGTATATTTTGGCAGACCTTGCAGCCCACTGGGTGAGAAGCCATGTTTTAGAAGGTGGTTGCAGATCTACTGAACAATTTTCTTAAATTTGATGACTAATTTATTAATCCCCCCTACCTATCTTAAATCACTCAACTCTAGGCAGCTCATAACATCGGCTTTGCCATGGACTCACCTCAAGGTCTAATAGTACCCAACGTGAAGAACGTCCAAGCCTTGACCCTGATGGAAGTAGCCCTAGAACTCAACAGGATCATGGCCCTTGGGTTGCAAGGCAAGCTGGGACAAGCTGACCTCACAGGGGGCACATTCACACTCTCAAATATAGGCACAGTAAGTTCCATCAGTTTAAATTATTCTATTAATGGTTGGTCACATAGCAAATCACCAGTCACTAAGTCTCATAGCTACTTTTATGCCTCCGTCATGAAGTAGCCGGAGGCATTATGTTTTCGGGTTGTCCGTCAGTCCGTACGTCCCATTCTCGTGATCTCGTTATCTCAATAACCGACTGATGGAGTCCTGCCAAAATTTGGTCATGTATGTAACTTGCAGAGCTAATGAATTGATTAGATTTTGGGGTCAAGAGGTCAAAGGTCACAGGGCTCATTATGTATGCAAAAATAGCTTGTGATCACATTATCATTAGAACAGATGGACAGATTACCACCAAACTCAGGACATGTTTGTATCTTGCTAAGCCGATGAACTGATTTGATTTTGGGGTCATGAGGTCAAGGTCAAAGGTCATGGGGCTCATTATATATGCAAAAATAGCTTGTGACCGCATTATCATTAGAACCGATTGATGGATTACCATCTAACTCGAGCCTGTATGTTTCTTGCAGAGCCAATGAACTGAGTAGATTTTGGGGTCATGAGGTCGAAGGTGAAAGGTCATGAGGCCATTATGCGAGTAAAAATTGCTCGTGAACGCATTCTCATTAGAACTGACGGATAGATCACAATCAAACTTAGGACATGTATATCTTGCAAAGCCAATGAACTGATTAGATTTTAGGGTCATGAGGTCAAGGATCAAAGGATCATACCATGTACATGAGAAATAGCTTGTAATCACGATACTCTGAGAACCTGTCAATGGATTAACCCTATTTAGCCCGGGGGGGGGGGGGGGGGCTTTAGAAGCCCCCCCCCCCTCGACATTTTTCGCGATAATTTTTTAACGCAAGAAAATCTTGCACTGAAATTTTGTGACTTTTTTCTTTAGAGTCTCGCGCATTTTTTGAAAGAAATTTTTTTGAAAATCGGACCTACCATTACAAAGTCACGTGTCCTTTTGTCTTTGCATGTCAGCCCGAAAATTGCTCATTTGCAAATTTTTGCGGCGATCGGGCGATTCACGGCCGAGATCATAGGGGGGGGGGGGCTTAGAAGCCCCCCCCCCCCAGGCTATGCAGTTTCAAAATAGCCTGGGCTAAATAGGGTTAAAATCGAACTTGAATTTGTAAAAATTCCTTTTTTTATTAGTTTGTAAAATTGCTCTATGACGGAGGCATCATTTTCGACTGCGCGTCGAAGTCGAAGTTCCATCTAGTTTTGTTCATAACTGTAAAGATGCTTTTATTGTGAGAAATTATTCATTTATATATTTATCAAAACACATTTCATAAGGACATCATAATTAGGGCAGTGACAATTATAATTTATGGTTCTGTGTAGCATAAAAAGTCCCATTTGCAGGCCAAAAGAATGATAAGGTTAATTCCAACTGCATTTGAAAGATAATACTAATTTTGAATTTCCTCAAGACAAAAGGGCCTGAGAATGTCTTTTCAGCGAGCGCGGTCGTTAAATTAAATAGTCTGATTTTCAGACCCTTGTACCATATGGTTGTACGTTTTGTGCTGCACAAAGATTCAATGAGTTTAATTTTAGCCATTAAAAAAGTGGGTTATTGATGTAGACAAATGCTCATGTACCCTTTACAGCTCATTTTATGTATGTTATTACCAAAGAAAAAAAAAGAAGTCAGTAAGTCACTGAATAGCATCTGACAATGAAGTCTAGCAAGTAAACAGGTTTTCTTGCATAATTTGAATACTAGGACACTACTAACATTTAAATTTCACAGATAGGACATACGTGACATATTCATAATTCCTGCAAAGTTCTCCAGAATTCCATGTTGGCTGCAAAAGAGATACACTACCTTTAAAGAGGAGCAATCTATATTTTAGATATTTGATTATATTATGCAACACCTACGCATGTGTATAGAGCCAGTGGGATTATGGTATTTCTCAGATTTTCATCATGACAGGATTATCAATTTTTTTCACTCCTAAAATATTCGAAGATTTAAGATGACTGTATGCATAAAGCTTTAAATGTGGGCACGTTTAAGTTGCTCAGGCGTGGGTATATAGAGGGCAGCACACATACTATCGCACAGGAGTGTAATACCCGTTGGCTCAGTATTATGTGGTGATCGCCAAATTGCCTACTTATATACCCACGCATAAACATCTTTAAGAGTATTTCCAAATTGTTTATTTGGCAGTAAAAGAATGAATTAAAAAAAGACACTTTCAATATATTGAACTACAATATAATAGATGAGCATATTGTCTGCTGAGGTGTGAACTCTCATCATTTAATACAGAGGTGACACCCTCTGGGTCTCAGACAATATTTTGTATAGCACTGTTGTTGCCTCTAGTTAGACTGTTCTCTTTTCCACCCTATCTTTCTTATTAGATTGGCGGAACATATGCAGATCCTATCATTTTTGCACCAGAGGTAGCTATAGGAGCAATAGGACGAATGCAGGTAAGAACATTGAACAGGTTCATCATCAATACATGCTGTCACACAGATGTTCAACAATTAATTAAAGTGATAAGAATTAAAATCTGGAAAAACAAAAAGATAAAAGAAATAAGGTTAAGTTTGTATTCTTTATTTCTTTAATAGTATAGATATAAAGACTGCTATGAGAGGGAAAGTTGTTTTTGTAGGCTCAAGGGGACGTTACATCCTGTTATCACGCTAGGCATGCCGAGGGTTGATGGCAGGATGTAACGTCCCCGAGAGCCTATAAAAACAACTATGCATCGAATATTAAAGCAGTCTTTATATCTTTTATATGTCGAATTGACACAAAGATATACCAAGAGTTCTTACCTTATCCTTTTCTTGAGTAAAGAATGATTAAAACATCACAGAAAATCTGAGCCACTGTCTGTAAATCTTCGCTGTAAAGTTGCCTGAATATTACAATCATTTGGGAATCGCACACACACTGCACTCTATTTTGTATCTGCGCTCGCACAACTGAACGTTTTACACGTAAACCAATGGGGATCTCACCTACTAGTTAAGTTTGAAATCTCTCATTTAATTTGCATTTTTTAAGATAGAATCATACCTCAGGATCATCAGATTCATTCTCATTCATCTTCATCTCTGTAATAGCCATTCTTGGACTCCTGTGCCTAACATGTGCAAAATAACCATAAGCATAGCCAGTGTATTGAACTGCACTAACTGCTCAGTAAACCATCTTGATGTATTAACTCTGTATCAACTGTTTGACGCAAAATCAGTCAGAATATATTGTGTACACAAGTGTAACAACAGGTTTTCCATGCCCCCCCCCCCCAACACAAAAGATGTTTTATCCATTGATTTTAAATCCCACCCTAAAAAATGTTTAAATGTTTAACCCCCTTGAACATATCCCCCTTGAACATATCCCCCAAGCAAGGACTTGAAGTAGTAACCCCTAATAAAATTACTTGCCAATGATCATTATTATTTATATTAATAATTGCAAATTTTACAGTTCATGAAAACAGTCAGGGTACACGGCCTAAATGCGTTTTAACAAACTCAACAAACATACCCTTTTCCTGGAATTTTGGCTTATTTTACTACCCTTTTCATGCTTTTTTTGGGGTCGCGCATTCATACAGCAATGTATAAGACTCCACCCCTTGGGGAAGGGGGGCCTTTCTGTCATGAACACTTTACTCACCTAACCCTTACCCTGAACCTCACCTAGAAGCCATTCACAACACGCGACCTAACTGTATATACATGTATTTGATGGAATATGTGTAAATCACATAGCAAACGTCCCCTCAGCAATTATTACCTCACCACTAAGATGTACCCAATCTATATGATCCATTGATTTCTTTCTCCTTCCCTCTCAGGTACTACCTAGGTTTGATGCAGATGGTGACCTGGTCAAACCACTAAGATGCACCCAATCTATATGAATCCATTGATTTCTTTCTCCTTCCCTCTCAGGTACTACCTAGGCTTGATGCAGATGGTGACCTGGTCAAACCACTAAGATGCACCCAATCTATATGAATCCATTGATTTCTTTCTCCTTCCCTCTCAGGTACTACCTAGGTTTGATGCAGATGGTGACCTGGTCAAACCACTAAGATGCACCCAATTTATATGAATCCATTGATTTCTTTCTCCTTCCCTCTCAGGTACTACCTAGGTTTGATGCAGATGATGACCTGGTCAAACCACTAAGATGCACCCAATCTATATGAATCCATTGATTTCATTGTCCTTCCCTCTCAGGTACTACCTAGGTTTGATGCAGATGGTGACCTGGTCAAACCACTAAGATGCACCCAATCTATATGAATCCATTGATTTCTTTCTCCTTCCCTCTCAGGTACTACCTAGGTTTGATGCAGATGGTGACCTGGTCAAACCACTAAGATGCACCCAATTTATATGAATCCATTGATTTCTTTCTCCTTCCCTCTCAGGTACTACCTAGGTTTGATGCAGATGATGACCTGGTCAAACCACTAAGATGCACCCAATCTATATGAATCCATTGATTTCATTGTCCTTCCCTCTCAGGTACTACCTAGGTTTGATGCAGATGGTGGCCTGGTCAAACCACTAAGATGCACCCAATCTATATGAATCCATTGATTTCTTTCTCCTTCCCTCTCAGGTACTACCTAGGTTTGATGCAGATGGTGACCTGGTCAAACCACTAAGATGCACCCAATCTATATGAATCCATTGATTTCTTTCTCCTTCCCTCTCAGGTACTACCTAGGTTTGATGCAGATGGTGGCTTGGTCAAACCACTAAGATGCACCCAATCTATATGAATCCATTGATTTCATTGTCCTTCCCTCTCAGGTACTACCTAGGTTTGATGCAGATGGTGACCTGGTCAAAGCCCACATCATGAAGATCAGTTGGTCAGCGGATCACAGGGTCTTGGATGGAGCAACCATTGCAAGGTTCTCAAACCTATGGAAATCTTACCTAGAACAACCTGCTACCATGCTCATGGACATGAAATAATATACTCATATGCTGCAAATCTACAGTGTAATATAGTACATGGTTTCTATGGTGTGTGTCCCCTGAACACAGTTCACTTAAGCAACATGAAGCCAACTTCAAATCATCATTTTCTTCAGCTGATGGTGGCGGGAGAGTATTCACCCAGGCAGTGAATAAAAGAATATGTCTGCTAGAGTTTGCATGTTGATTGGTGTCATGTGTAAGATTGAACCATTATTTAGTTATTCAGGGGGGTGTTTCACAAAGATCCTAAGTTGAACTTATCTGAAAGTTGGACTAAAAAATTATTGAAAGCCATTAGCATCTTTGAAAATATTTGGTAAAAGTTATTTTGAAAGGCATAAAATGTTGATTCAAATCATTCATATTTTCTATCATCAAGTAGATTTCATGTTATGGATATGGAATTTATAAAAAGTCTAAAATACTTGAATTTCTGCTTTTAAATATATTTCATTTTAAGGCTCCAATGGCTGTCCATAATTTTTAAGTCCAACTCGGTGTTAAGTTCTACTTATGATCTTTGTGAAACACCCCCCCTGGATTGTAAGAGTGTCTGCAGTGTGTGTAGACTCCTTCCTCAGTGTGTTTCATAAATATGAGGGCCATTCAAGAAATGTATTCAAAAACTTCGGTAACCCTAATACATGGAGTATAATTCTTTGTGAAAGAATTACCAATCTGTTGAATAATAAATCTGAAACAACTTTGGCTGGAGGCTGTCGATGCAAGATACATATTATACCAAAATCAGCTTTATATCTAATGGGTTTAACATTTTTGGTCTTTTTCTATACTACGTGAATTGTATGATGAATTTAGTAATTTGTAATATTTTTGAAAAATTAGTTTTGGCTGAATCTCCTTTCTTTGCTTTTTAAATACGGGTTTGTAGCTGTTGTGAGGTCTAAGGATTCCTCAAATTTCCTGCCTAATACAAATTTTTAGTGATTGTGTACTTGTTATATTGCATCATGGATATATCAGACTGGATTTATTTGTGAAATTATCAAACCAATTGCGCAAATTCAAAACACTAAATGAGAATTATCGAGTTTTCTCTCCATCTCTCTTGTATCTGGCAAGTTATTGGAGCTGATGTGTGCTATTTTGTATGATATATACAGACAGACAGACCTGCCAACCTTTGGAGTTCAAATACTGTATTCTTTAATCCCAAAAGTTGTATTTTATTGACAAAAGTTGTATTCTTGAAAATGAACACAAACTGTTGCGCGGAGCAATGCCTCTTACAGTTCCTACATACAGGAAGAATTTTTTTAATTGGATCATTGGTTGAATATGCATGATTTCGTCATGACTGGTGTGTTCGATGAACCAATGAATATCCCCAAATGGCCAATGTGAGATTCTTGAAGGATACTTTACAGGACAGAATGGGCATTTTTGCCATTGAAAATGGCACACAAACACACACAAAATACAAAAGAAAATATTTATTTTAAACAAAATTGTACCGTCGTATTTGCTTCTAAAGATCGTACAAAATACGACTAAATCATACTGGTTGGCAGGTCTGTACAGAAAGATTCACTCTTGGATTGTATTGTTCTATTAAATATCATCGTACATTGTCATTCACATAAGTGTATCTTTAAAATTCTTATATCCCAGAGGAACAAATAAAAAAATCTGTATTTTTTATTTTATATGTACATGTAGTTTTAATGGTCATCCTTTTATTTTGCATTTATGATAGCTTTTTAAAGGTATAGAATGATTTGAGGGAATTTGCTGCATTTTGTGTTTTTTTTCCTATTATCCACAAAAAGGATAGGAATGTCCTTTTGTCACTAATGATACTTTAAACATGATCTGCATGTTGATGCATTTGATTGTTCATTGCCAATGTTTTCTTTGGGAAATATTACAGCATTTTTTGTTAAGGTAGCTAGTTAAATTATTGAAAAACATTAACGATTATGAAAAAAACTATTTCAGCTCTCTTTTTTTGTAGATAGTTTAAGCCTCGGTCACAAATGCCATTACGAACTGTTACGAACAGTTTTCAGACAATGGAAATTTGGGAAGACAATGGAAAAACGGAGATTCGTACAAAATAATCGTTCGTACGAACCTTTGTGACCGTAGCTTTAATCATCACAGTGTGTAGCATAAATCTACTAATCAATATTTATTGTGCAATTTTCTAAATTTGTCTGGATAATGTGGAAAGGGTTTGGATATTTTTTTCGTTTTGATATACAGTGTTTCAATAAAAATAAAATAGTACTCCAAACTGATTTTTCTAATAAAATTATGGTTGAGGGTCTATTTAATTGGATACCACTAAAAATATTGACATTATTTTATGCTTGTTTGAGTACTGGCTAATTTTGAAAACTCACAAAAAAAAATTTGTTTGCGCAAAATTGTCTTGAATAGGAGCTAAGTGCATATCAGGCATCAATTGCAGTTGCTCTGTTTATCACTAATTGATTTGAACAGTCATTTGATCCCCATAAACCCATATCTAGCTGTTCATATTAACAGCCATTTGATCCCCATAAACCCATATCTAGCTGTTCGTATTAACAGTCATTTGATCTCCCTAAACCTATACTTAGCTGTTCATATTCCAAATGGCATATCCAGAAATAAATATTGGAGGAAGGTTTCTAAATGTTTTCACTGCAAAGTAAGAACATGAGGTTGTATGGCATGGTTAAAAGAATGAATGCAATTTGTAGTATAGCTACACAGTTCCTAACTCACCAATGGTACACGTGTATGGACATGGTACATACCGGTACACCCAAGTAAGCTAACAAGTAAACTTAGGCCTGGCTCCAGGAGGCTTACAGCTAGCTTTCATCCTCATCAAAATGAGGGTTCCTGGATATGTAAACGGGAGAATATGGGGGGAACTACAGTCAAATTATATGAGAATATGGGCTTTATCAACAAATATACAAGTACAGTGAGTATATACCTGTGATATACACATTTCCAACATAATATGACTAATTAGAAGTGTCATTATATGATTTGCAATATCAGGTATTGCAATCATCCTATTTGAAATGTAAATGTGTAAATAAAAAAAACATAAAACTTGTGTTCTCTTTCAATCATTGCATTTACAAATCAAAAGTATTAACAATGATATATCACTCTTTCACAACAAAGGATTCATCCTTTGATATCAAAGGTACATAGTGATAACATGTTTAACATGATAACGAGTATGATAATCAGTGCAGTTTAATAAATTTCATCTTGGGCCTCGAGATGGAATTCATCATATTGGATTTTTTTTAAAACTTAAATTCCTTCATCTGGAAATATCCACTTCAACGATGCAAGTGGGATGCCTAACAAAGTGAAAATAATTTCAACAGATCAGGCTTTAGATGCAAGATAAAGAAAAAGAATTATTCTGATAATTAAAAAGAAAGGAAATTCATATAGAACATTTTACATTTCAATGTGCTTTGCCTAGTCTTAGATAAAATGGAAAACAAATCGTACATATCAAATTTTAGAATTGTGCATTACTGCTACGATAGTAAGAAATGCTGTTCAATGATATGATAGCATTGTTACTACAAATTACCATGCATTACAAATGTTACACTCCATAACTTAAAAGGAAACATTCGAAACGTAAGCTATATGGCTTCATATTTTACCTTAAATTATCAAGGTGATCATGAAATAAATCATGCCCTATATTAACAATCACACCAATCTTGTTTAATTCATTTCAAGATTGTTGTTAACATTAATTTATTATTTCAAAACAGTTTTTAAAAACAATTAATGTCACAGCTATAATTATGACCAAGTCGCACTATTCAGTCAGAGCTAGAGATAATCTTATAATGTGGTGATTCAGGGAATTGTCCTCTAATATCATTAATAATGCAAGGTGAACTGTAGACAAAACGAGATATTCCTTTCAATTGGCATATGAATAATAATAATAATATTTAGCTTTTATATACCGCTTAATACAAATGTCTCTAAGCGCTTTACAATTATAATATGCAGGTTTGTTGCGGCACAAATTGTCGATGTCAGCAAATTATGCCGGGAAAACAAGGTGGCGGCACTAATTGTTGCCAGTCGTTGAATATGTAGCGGTGAAGATGACAATGATGAGAAACATGAGTCGAGACTGGGGGTGGGGGGGGGGGGGGGGGGGAGGGGGAGATAACATATACCCCTCTCAAAAAAATGAGGTAGGGGAGATGTGAAATTTTATCCCACTACATTTAAAAGTTGGTAACAATGATGATAGTAATACCACTGCTATTGTCTACGCCAAACTGAGTTGTCAAGGGGAAAAGAGACGTGTGGAAGTGGGTATGTGTACGTGTGTGGGTGTGGGAGTGGGTGTGTGTGTGTGTTGGTATGTGTGTTTTTATGTTAATAATTGAACTTTGAGTAAATTTGATTACACAACCAATTGGGGGTCTGACCACTTGACCAAAGGGGCATGAGACCAGAGGCCAGCGACCCACATCACAAACACCCACCACCTTCCCACCCCCATTCTCCATGCACACACCTTGGCTGTTTGTTTGTGTGCATGCATGCATACATGTGTGTCATGATATGAAGTTATGCCACTTACGGCTTTGAACTTGATCGTTCTATGTTATGTGCTTCATCATGACTGTCAACAGTTTGTACCATCAACTCCCGCACAAATTGTCGCTGTCAACAATTTGTACCATCGGGTTGTGAAAAAATCGGCACATATTAACGTTGCGGCACAAATAGTCAACAGCAACAATTTATGCTGGGTATGATGGTACCATTGTCGACAGCCACAATCAAAGCACATTACATTGAACGATCAAGTTCAAAACCGTATAAGTGGCATAACTTCATGACACATGTATGCATACACACAAACAAATGCAGCATTATTATTATTTTTATTCTATTTGGCAAAATCAAGTATACAAGAGAAGTGTATAAAACAAAGTAAAGAAATTGCAACCACTGGAATGCCAGCACTGAATAACTAACTGTCTGTATTTACATTGCCTTGGAGATGTGCTCCATAAATGACACTTGCTAATATATATGTACCGGTATATTTTCTCAATTATATTCGCATCATGAGCATACAAATTTTTTCTAGCTGTAATCGCACCAAAATATTTCCTCAGAGAAAGCATCTATGTTACATATTTATTCCTGATTCGTGTTAAACGGAGTTGAGTTTTGTTGCAGAGGGCGCTAGACAAAGTAATTTTTTGTGAGATGATGAAATACCGAGTGTCAAATTTGAAAGAACGTACATTTTATGTGACAAAATCATCTTTGTTTGATAAAAATCGGTTCAGACACGGCAGAAATATTCATAAATATAACTGTTCTAATATTTGTGGTGCCCCACAAATATTTGATAATTTGAACCAGCCGATGAAAAAATGAGATAGCGCCTTATACATTTTATACCAGCCAATGCCGATGTTGGCTTTTTATAGGCTTTTTTGTGTTTGTTATAAAACCCACAACCAGCCGGCCCGTGTATTGTTATTATTAATTAATGGTCACCACATTTTTTTAAAGTGGAGCTGAATCGGTAAGATCGTATTGGCTAACTGGATTTCACACATTTTGGGGTCTAAAATTATCTTCAATGTAATTTTAGGTCCTAAAAGTAAGAGCAATAACAATGCACTTTGAAGGCATTTGTGGGCTGAAACAAAAACTCTACTATCCCTTTAATCATTGTGTGTTATTATATGTACATCGCCCTCAACATGTGCTGATAATGCCCAATGAATTACACTTGCTAATATACGTTTGGTGGGAATCCATTTATCCCTTCTTGAGATAAGGCTATCACGAGAACGGACAACCCGAAAATGTGACTCCGTTGCGGAGGCATACAAACTTGAGACCTGTAAATGTTGCACATTAAGAATCCACTGCACTGTTCATATAAGAGTTGGGTGACCCCCTGGTGTAATGGTCCATCTTTACACTTCCAGTCAGTCAGGGGCGGATCTAAGGGGGGGGGGGGTTTTGGCGGTTAAAAGAAAAAAATTAAAACAGCATGATTTTTGGAAACACCTGGATCCGCCACTGGGTCAACCCCCCCCCCCCCCCCCTCCCTTGGCAAAAAGCTAGATCCGCCCCTGTCAGTTATACTGGAAGGAGAGACTCAAGGGTAACAGCGTTTCAGTTCACTTTCGCCTTTCAGGCATAGGTGGCGCCAAATAACAATAATCATAACAATAAGTCTTAAGCATTAGTGTTTACACTGTGCACTTGGAAAAATGAAAATACAACCAATATACTTATAAAGTCTCACATTATTTTATTTTCAATAAAATTTTATTCATAATACTTCTGACAGGTTTCAATAAATGAATACATGTACAAAGCCATTGAGTTTCTACATACAAATGAAACTGGACAACATGAATACATATTCTTAATCTCCATGTGGAATATGTTTTCTCACAGTTAGAAAAAGCATAACGTTAAACCCGGCTTATAATAATGTCATGTCATACAACAAATAGAAATGGCAACTTTCCTTATCAATTAAAAAAATCTTTTAATTCTTAAATGAAAATACACATACATGCAAGGTACACATCAAGGTATGCGTCTCGTGAGAGAACACAATACGCATATGAAAATGTTGACATTTCAGGATCTGAATTTGGTTCTGGCAGTTAACACTAAGCAATTAAGGCACTGTTGCATACACTTTATCCCTGGAAAATAAGAGCTCTTAACTCTTCAGGTATGAGAGAAACCAAGGTTTTTCAATTGTGCACAAATAAGATCTATGAATATCCCTGAAGTGAAATGTTTCACATTTGACCCATCCGATGACCCCCAAACCTCTTGACAAGGTTCATGTACATGTAGATAATGTGATGGAAGTGCGCATTATTTTGTGTACAGCGTTTTTTATGGAAAGTTCATTGACCTTTGACCTTGGTAAGATTTGACACATTTTTAACTTGACCTGCGCCTTCAAGAGATGTACATGTACCTGTGGTACGAATTAGGTGATACTACCTCCAAGCTATAGAAAGTTATTTCAAGTACAGCATAATTGTTGACAACAACAACGAAGCCGGAACTAGTGACATATGAAATCTTGCTCCACTACACAGGCCAAACAACAATAAACCATAAAGAGGTACATAGAAAAGAAAGGACAAGTCTGACCCATTTGCAAGTTGAATTGAATAAATAGAGAAAAGAAAAAAAAACATTGAATGTTATTTCATCAAAATCGGACAAAAATAAGAAAGTCATGGAATTCTAAAGTTCTCACATAATTTCATGAAAAAGTGTAAAGCAAATTAGTGAGTTGATGATGTCACCCCCTCACTATTTTCCAAATATTTTGTTGATGAAATTTCGTTTAAAATAGTTTTTGATTGGACACGCCTTGTATCCATTTGACCTTGACATTACACTAAGTTTTAGTAAGGAGGAGTTTGCACATATTTTTGTTCAATTTATATACACAACATAAAGAGAAAAAAAGGGGATGATATCATCAAGTCTATATCACTGTTGTATGAAATGCATAATTTCAAGCTTCTATAACTTTCTTTATCATTCAATTTTCATGAACTGTAACCGCTTTGTTCTGTTTTTCTCCATTTATTCACTTAAACTTGCAAATGGGCCAGACTGGTTCTTTAACTGATGGCATGAAATCTGCTACTGACGGCTGTCAAAAAAAATATGCAAATCAAGTTCTCAAAATACTGATAGTAATTGCAATCAAAGTTTCCCTTTTCAATATTAAATTTAAGTGCAATAATGTGAGAATTATTATGTAGCTCGTTTGTTCAGAGTAAAGGTGTGCTTCTACCTCTAGTTTCAGTTTTACTAAAAAATCATTGAGGTAGACAAATATATTTCTATACTACAAACAGCCATTAAAAAGACTTGCATTTTGGCAAAGATTTGATCAAAATAATTTGAAAAGATTTTTTTATGGGTTTGCCACAAGGTCAGTACAAAAATCCACAATTTTATATACTACATATAGAAGTATTTTAAGTCAGTCATATTATAAATGTATAATGTCCAAGTCTCTATATCTTGCATATCTTGCACACAAGATCATCTGTACATGGTAATTTACAAACTCATATATGACATATTTAAGAACATAAAAGGCATTTGGCAGTGTATTACATATACCTGTAGTTGAAATAGTAACAAGACAACAACAAAACTCCTTTAAACTGATATATATTTACCAAGTTATGGAACTAAGTTATCGATGATATATTGTGCTAAATGAATTGACTGTTGTTTCATAGATTTAGCAATCGCTTACAATGTAACATGTCTTATACATGTATCTCAAAATTAAGAATGCACAAATCACTTGTGGAGTTGCTTTAACGTTTAATAACAATTCATTATTGCTTAGAGTCTCAAGCATCTGTTGACAGAAGGGTACTGTATGTTCAGCGTCAAATTCACAAAGCTAGGAGCTGCCAAAATAACAGTTTCCCCAATTAATATTCAGAATTGTACACAACTCAAAATTGTTACTTTGTGGATATGTGAATATAATTATGTAGTTCAATGAGATTCAGGTGTGAGGGCCGGGGGAGATGGTGGAATACACCTCCCTAAACAGATCATCATTGCATGCTCATACATACTCCATCCAAGCTTAGTTTAAGTTCATTTCATGGTTCCCAGGTTATCATGGTAACAAAAAGTGGGATAGACAACCCAAAATACAATGCCTTTGGTACCACCTTAGGTGACGTGGCATAGTAAAACAAAACAAAATTATCTACTGGTTTCAAATACTTTTGGCAACTATCCAACAAAATACAGCAATTTAGAAGACTTGCATTTTGGCAACAATTTGACCCAAAATGTATGCCTTCCAGTTTGCAAAAAGAAGTCTAATCAAGGCATCTTCAGACAGCTGGAGCACCAATTAAACAGTTTTAAAGGTGGTTAATGGACAACACACACAATCCACAAAGGACAAGATCTTTTATAAATGACAAAAAGAAAATTGAGCTGCATTTCTAAAGGCACTCAATCCAGCCTTTTTTTACAAAATATAAAATTTAAGGCACAATAAACTTGGCCCTTACACCAAATCGCATTTTCTTCTTACATCTTTGAAGCAAATTATTCAAAATAATTTCTAAACAAGTATAATCCCTTGTAAAAGTGGGTGTCTCATCAGTTATAAGAAATTTTGTTTTTATATTTTTCCCCTGAAAATGAACGATTGATTAAACAAAAATTACAAATTTTATGGTTTCGGCTCTTTAAATTTGCAATCATAAGCTCAATAGAAAGAACAAAATTGCTGCACAAGTCATTTGATATAAGAATTTGTAAAATTGACAACATTTTCTATTATCATATACAAATTTTAAATTATCTGATGTGAGAAATTCCTGTCAATGTATTTTCTCTTTAGATTACCGTAATAACTTTAAATAATACATTTTAACAGTAGAAAAATAACATAGTTGCCATTATAAAGATGAACAGCTAACCAGTTTCACCTTTAATAAGTTCCCCATCATTGGCATTTTAAGAGATAAAAACGCATTCTATCAATAAGATAGCATCTTATAAGTATTCAAACATATGCAATAATAATTTTAGTAAAGAAAAGCAAAATAATGACATAATTTCCTGAGGCTTTGGCACATATTAAGGTGTACACTAATAGAATACAAAATCATGGCCACTTGTAAAATTATAGGCAGTTTGCTCATGTTAAAACAAGCTGTAGGACCCATAGTCTACAAAAGATAATTCAAAAAGACATATCTATATAATTTGCACACATATCTAATGTTTCATCAGACATATAACAGACACACACGACAGACAGACAGACAGACACACACACACACACACACACTCATTCTCTCCAAAAGGGTGGATGCATACATGAAAAACAAACGTCAAGGAATATATATCTTGCCTGAAAAGATAATACATGTTGTCAAATTTAACTCTGCTTTTTACAGAATTTGAACCAAAAAAAAAAAAAATTAAACAAGTTAGATTTCAAGAGCTGAGTTTTTTTTTAATTTAGAAAAGTTTGACAGAAAAAAAAGGAAAACAAATTTAGCAAAGATATACCAAGATATCCTTTGCTCTAAAAAAAAGTATGGTACATAACTTTGTGTGAAAGATTCACACAAAATGGAACTAGTTATAAGGCTGATAATTTTTGTAGTACAATTTTCAAATAATAACCTCTGAAATGAACTCTTCCCAGAAATGGTCCTACCTATTGCTATCATACTTAACTTACTTTTGCAAACTTTTCTAAAGAAGCCGATCGCAGAATTGTGTCGCCTACCTGTGACCACATTATATGAATGTTCCTGAAAAGCATCTCTGACCCAAGTTTGGTTGCACTTGGAACAATGTATGCAAAGTTATCTTTTACTGACAGTTGCCGGATGATTGTGTTTGGAAATAAGTATTTTGCAAGTATATTATCTTGTGCAATACTGGGGTGGAAATAAGGTGTTCAGACTGGTTGTACCTGAACAATAATCTAGAATAAAGCTTTGATGACAACACATTCAGATGAATAGATGTATGAAGTGGCAATGGATTGATGGTAGACAAAAATATGTAGTGCAAAATAGTCACCTATTGTTTGCAAACTGATTTGGTCACAATGGGATTAGCGGTTGCAAAGTTATTAGTTACAAGAGAGTCTTACATGTAAACTTTGATATATAACCTCAAATGACCTTTGACCTTAGCCTGTGACCCTTGACAGCACCATAGTGCCAAAGTGCATCTCTGACCTAAGCTTGGTCACAATATGATTGATGGTTGCAGAGTTATTTGTCACAAGAGAGTCTTGCAAGTAAACTTTAACATTTGTGAAGGATGGACAACGGACGGATACCATTTTGATTCCTTAGTTTCATCTCTACCTCAGCTCGGTGAGACAAAAAGAGATGGTGGGGTTTATAAGTAACTTATACCGGTACACAATATTCATATTACTGTTTAAAAATACATATATTATAAGTCATCTATCATGACATAAAAGAGAATATTTTGGCACATGAATATAACAATATTTACAAGGCCTCTTATACAAGAGTAGAAGAAAATTGATGAACTATGTTGTTGCTGTTCATGAATGAAATGTCAACCATAGTTGTACACTTCCTCGAGGCAAAAAGTGTATACACGTTTTGCATACTTCTGTACATTCAGACATAAATACAACATATCCGTATACATAAAATAGTCACATTATATAAAATATTTACCGAGGTACATGGTTCCTTATCTTATCAATTCATTAATGTACAATACTGGCACTGTATACAAAGATTGTATGATAATGACATAAAAATATCTTAGGTATGAATGTTTGTACAAGTTTTTTCTGCATAAAACATCTTTTATACATATAAAATAAGACAAGAAAATGATGAGTGCAACAATGAATACAAAAGCTATATGAATCATACAACTGATTCGCGTTGTTTCTGTGAACACTCCAATACCATATATAAATAAATAATAGATAACTCTTTACAGGCCTTTGTCTATATCTTTGATTACATTACATTTTAGTCATGTTTTGATTCCTTTTGAGTAAAAGGTTAGCACCACAAGTACAAGTCTCAAGTCCTTTTTTCTCTCCCGTTTGTAAAAGATATATTTGAAGAGCTAGTTACAAATGTTTTGAATGATAGTCAAGTCCATGAACCCACCACCTGGTAGTTAAAGACAGACGACAGGGACGTGGCATCCATCCATCCGCCAAACAGAAACAAGGAAGACAGCTGCTTGAATCAATTGCATTCTCATGCAACAATGGCTTGGAAGAGTTTCTAATGCTCCAAGTCTGTAAAATTACAATAGAAAAGAAAAAGCAGTGTAAGTTAGTCATCACATGTAAATTCATTTAATTTCTTGAATATATTAGAATTGAAAATAGAGTTTCATAAAATGGTTACAAAGTGTAAATGGAAATGGAGTAATCTGTAGTAATCTTGTAGTGCAGTAGAATATATTGTACAATAGCTAGGCTGGATAATGCATAATCACCCAGCAATTCTAACACACAACTGATATCATCAAGACAAGTTTGGTACACATTAGCTGTTGCTTGAACTTTCAATTCTTGAGAAAACAGATGTCTTCTAAAACAATCTTATACGAAACATATGCATAGATATCCAGTGAACAGTAGGAAACCAAGTAACACTCACCCATGCTACACTGTTGAGTCCCGATGTGTATCACTACCAGCATCCTCCTCTATCTCCATCTCCTTCATCCTCTGCTCTTCCTCTTCAGCCTCTATGCATTCCAACTTCACATCTCCGTCCTTGGTCTCCCGGGCAACTGCATCCTCACCCCGCCTCCTCCTCCTCTTCTGGTACCTGGGGTCATCAGCCAGCACCGTGCAGGCGGCGCCGTGGACGATAGACACCCTGGCGGTTGCAGTAACTGTGGTGACGTGCCTCCCAATATGGGGCGAGTCCGATAATGATGAGGATGATGAGGAGGAAGAGTTGTTGTTGAAGGGGAACGACTGATGGGCAAAGTGGGGGTGTTGGTGATGGTGGTGGGGGTACTGATGATGAGGGTGGGACTGACGGTGCTGGTGATGCTGTCGGTGGGGGTACTTAGACGATGTCCTTTGAGGTCGCGTCTTCTGTGTCTTGGGTGAGTTTGAATGTCCTCTCGTTTGATGAATCATCTATTTTATAAATGAAGAGAGCAAATAGTTTTAGTGTTACAAAGTTGTTATGTATAAACAAATACATTGCTCCTTTTTCCTGGAAATAAACACAACTTAAATGATACTCTTATTGAAAGTAACTGGATCAACCATTAGATATGACAAACTTTTTCTTGGGCCTCCTATCTGACAGTCTAAATAACTTGTTAGAAATTATGACATCAAATGTAAAATACCTCTACACCCCCCCCCCCCCCCAAACAAAAAAGGATTACAGATCTTTTACAGAAATGTATGTTTGGTACCAAACATTTCATCTTCGAGTGAGCCTTACTTGCCTATTCATTCAAACAATCACCATTATAATGCTAGTGTGAATTCCCCCTGGAAGCTTTAAAAGTCCTTTGAATCTTGGTTGCCCCAGCAATATATATGATTGTGCACGAAAAGAAAATTCTTTTATCAAAGCTGGTGCTTCGGTCCAATCCAGAGGATAGGGATGGTGGGCCCCCGGGGTTCCATAGGTAAGTAAAGCTCAATCATAGATAAAATGTCTGTTACCAAACATACACATCTACTACATTTTGTATTACTTGCCTACCGGTATTCATTTTACAATTGCCAGATTACAACAGATAGCAATGGGTGGTGGTTTTGAAGCAATGTCTTTACTTTGGATTTTGTGGTGATTTGTGTTTCTGTTTATGCTTGAGTGAATGTGTAAGTTTTTTATTGTTGGAGCATACCCTTTCTGTTAACAGGTCTGGTCTGGAAAATGGAAGTTTGATAAAGACTATTTCTGCTTCTTTCTCAAGCTTGAGATGTTCAAGCTAGTACACATGCATACTCAGCAGTGTATGGTGCAAAACAAGCAATACAAGCAGCCTATTCCAATTGAATATCACAGGTGCGAATGAGCCAATTCAATAATGGCCTAGGCAACCAAGAACTTTTTTTAAAGCTACCACAAGCACTTCTAACTGGCACTTGAATGTCAATCGTTAAATGAATATGTAAGTAAAGCAAAATGAATGAGATTGGCCATTTGAAACTTACCTCACTAACAAGATGCGGATGATGAACACTAGTTTGTACCACAACCTCTGGAGGATGAATCTCTATGTGTTCTCCTGAGGGGTATGACCCTGCAGGAGGCTCACTGTCCCATCCACAGTGTCTCATCCTAGTAGCCCGCTCAGCGGGAGGGGTGGCAGGAGGGCTGGGGGTGGGCAGTCTGTTCGCATTAGCCACAGGTCGCACCTAAATTGTAAAATGAAATGAAACCATAATGGTTATGAAATTCATGAAATGTTGCAATGAGGAGTTTTTATCTTAAAGGCATCGTTTAACAATTTTAAATGTGAGATGCATGGCTCTACGTGTTATCAGTGTCTGTGATATGGTGTAATATTGAAGCCCTAAATAAATTGTGCTTCAAAATGATCATAAAGTGCCTCAAAAAAGTAAACAATCTTGAAGTGACCGGTTTTACCATAATCATTTTCCCCAATAGACTGTAGTGTTATAAAAACTGTTCGGAAAACAAATGAAATTTCGATTTCCAATCATAAATATGTTGATAATCATACAGCCAGTCGGCTGGTAAAAGTCATGGGATTCCTGACAGACCTAAAGGCTTATAATTATGATTGCAGCATGATAATTCATTTAATCAGTTTAATTTTGGCCATTACAAGAAGTGAGTTATTGATGTAGACAAATGCTCATGTACCCTTTACAGCTCATTTTATGTATGTTATTACCAAAGAAGAAAAAAAGCCAGTCAATCACTCAATAGTGTCTGACAGTGAAGTCTAGCAAGTAAACGGGTTTCCTTGAATAATTTGAATATTAAGGACACTGCTAACGTTTAAATTTTACAGATAGGACATACATGACATATTCATAATTCCTGCAAAGTTCTATAGAATTTCAAGTTGGCTCAGGGGTGATAGTGAGCACTAAAAAACAATAGGTTTTTTGTTTTCCCCTCAACCACGCCCCCCTTGAGTAAAACAAAAAAAAGAGGATTCGTGGGGGGAAAATGGCATCTAACAACATTCCCCCCTTTCGAGTAAGAAAATTAGGACAAAGTTGGGGAAAAAATAGGGCAAAATAGGGAAGAATAAAGAAAATAAGAGAGAAATAGAGAAAATAAGAGGGAAATCGGGAAAATCAGGACAAAATAGGGAAGAAGAAAAAAAAAAAAATCTGAATTTTTTTTTTTTTTAAATCGGGAAGAAAAAAATTTGGGAAAAAATCGGGAAAAATTAAAAAAAAAAATCAGGAAACCGATTTAAATCAGGTTTTTATAAGGCCTGGGTTGGCTGCAAAAGGGACATAGTATCTTTAATGTCTACTTGGTATGAATTTTTTAAATTATATATTTTTGTATTTTTGTATTTTTTTTTATAGAAGTTTAGAAAAGATCTGTAACCTACATGGAGAACAATTACCCTTCTTTCAGCAAAACATTTCTGGTTGATTAAAAAAAAAGATTTCTGGTTTCACTTACCTCACCAGGCGGTCCAAATAATGATAAAAGGACTGGTAACAAGACTAAGCCATTCAAGACTCCAAGGATGATCAGAGCCAGGAAGACATAAAAGAAGTAACTGTGGAAAGAGGGAGGAGAAAAATAGATGCATATAAACAAGGGGGAAATGTGAAAGAATGCAGAAAATATAATATATAATATTAAAGGGTTCTTGTACAGCTCTCATGTCTGTCAAATTTGACACTCCTGGTGCTCATCATATATAACCTTAGCAAGGACATGGCTACCATTATGGCACTCAAACATTTCAAGGAATCTTTCCTGCCAGGTACCCATTCACCTCACCTGGGTGGAGTGTGGCAAATGTAGATTTATGTCTAGCCAAATGACAATAGTTTTGCGGCGGGACTCCAACTGCAAACAATGTGATCCGCAGTCCAGTTGAGTAACTACTAGACCACGACACCTGCATAGAAACAAATGAGCATGCATGGCAGATGTGATGCGGTCTTGCTGCTATGAGTATGAACAAGAGCACGGTTTCAATGTGGACCTATTAGTCCGTTCTAAAACACATTCAATTCCTTTTCAGCAGTAAATATGAAACCGTATAAGAACTCAACAGGTGGTACCACAGTCACACCGCCAAACCGACTCCACATGACCACAGTCACACCGCCAAACCGACCCCACATGACCAGTCACACCGCCAAACCGTCCCCACATGACCACAGTCACACCGTCAAACTGACCCCAGTCACCCCACATGACCACAGTCACGCCGCCAAACCAACCCCACATGACGAGTCACACCGCCGAACCGACCCCACATGACCAGTCACACCGCCAAACCGACCCCACATGACCACAGTCACACCGCCAAACCGACCCCACATGACCACAGTCACACTGCCAAGCCGTCCCTACATGACCACAGTCACACCGCCAAACCGACCCCACATGACCACAGTCACACCGCCAAACCAACCCCACATGACCACAGTCACACTGCCAAACCGACCCCACATGACCACAGTCACACCGCCAAACCGTCCCCACATGACCACAGTCACACCGCCAAACCGTCCCCATATGACCAGTCACACCGCCAAACCGTCCCCATATGACCAGTCACACCGCCAAACCGTCCCTACATGACCACAGTCACACTGCCAAACCGTCCCTACATGACCAGTCACACCGCCAAACCGTCCCCACATGACCAGTCACACCGCCAAACCGACCCCACATGACCACAGTCACACCGCCAAACCGACCCCACATGACCACAGTCACACCGCCAAACCGTCCCTACATGAACACAGTCACACGGCCAAACCATCCCTACATGACCAGTCACACCGCCAAACCGTCCCCACATGACCACAGTCACACCGCCAAACCGTCCCCATATGACCACAGTCACAACGCTAAGCCGACCCCACATGACCAGTCACACCGCCAAACCGTCCCCACATGACCAGTCACACCGCCAAACCGACCCCACATGACCAGTCACACCGCCAAACCGACCACACATGACCACAGTCACACTGCCAAACTGTCCCTACATGACCAGTCACACCGCCAAACCGACCCCACATGACCAGTCACACCGCCAAACCGTCCCCACATGACCAGTCACACCGCCAAACCGACCCCACATGACCAGTCACACCGCCAAACCGACCCCACATGACCAGTCACACCGCCAAACCGACCCCACATGACCAGTCACACCGCCAAACCGACCACACATGACCACAGTCACACCGCCAAACCGACCCCACATGACCAGTCACACCGCCAAACCAACCCCACATGACCAGTCACACCGCCAAACCGACCCCACATGACCAGTCACACCGCCAAACCGACCCCACATGACCAGTCACACCGCCAAACCGACCACACATGACCACAGTCACACTGCCAAACTGTCCCTACATGACCAGTCACACCGCCAAACCGACCACACATGACCACAGTCACACTGCCAAACTGTCCCTACATGACCAGTCACACCGCCAAACCGACCACACATGACCACAGTCACACTGCCAAACTGTCCCCACATGACCAGTCACACCGCCAAACCGACCACACATGACCACAGTCACACTGCCAAACTGTCCCTACATGACCAGTCACACCGCCAAACCGTCCCTGCATGACCACAAACACTCCGTCCAATTCGGGGTGATGTACACCATTCTGCCCAACTATAGACAGAATATATATTACAAGTATGGCCTGAACATTAAAACAAACAACAACAACAAAAAGAAAAGAAAGAATGGGCAATAGCTCTGAATGTATACGCACTCCGGGCTCTCATACCCTACAAGACCATGTCATGCCTTGTCCCCATGCTGGGTCCTTGAAGCTGAATCAACAATCAAATTCTGGGGTTGTGTGTATCAGGGAGAATGTGCCCCCCATGTCCAGCAGGGACACTACAGTGCGTCTCAGACAAAATGAAACCCGAAAACAAACAATAACTTGATGACATTAAGTCACACACGCTTCACTGAGCAACATTGTTTTGAAAATGACATTTCAAAATCCATTTGTGCATGATTTGTGTGAAACAGTTGAAATGATCGTTAGTATCATGCAAAAACATTGACCGAACATGACCAGAAGGAAACATTAACTTCAAAACTGAACAAGAAAATTGCTGTCATGTGATTCATTTAATAATGAAGAAAGATTAATGCCATAATCATAAACAGTAATGGGCATATTTTGTAATTGAATGGATGTGCAATTGTTATGAATTGTAATTTAAGCATTTTTTCGGAACAAAGTAAGGAGCAAAGAACATTTTGATAATGGAGGAAATATGGTCCAATGTGCACATAAAGCAAAAAATAACCCCACTTAAATATTTAATTTGCCTCTCAAGATTTACTGATTGACAATGGTCAATCAGTAAAAGGGGCACTTTTTCATTGCTCCAGGAAGTTTGGGAAAATAGAAATGTAAAGATGGAAGGTAGGTCTAATAATCTACCTTTTCACAGAAATGTATTTTATATAATTCTAAAATGGTGGCATAAACACATTTTACACGCTATCATTTCTTATTTCCTCAAAATCTAAGCAGACAAACTGAGAGCGAGAGGGGGTTAGGGTGGAGATATAATATATTTATGAACATATGAGGAAGAAGACATGTGAACAAGATGAAAAACAACAGAGGAGCAATTTCTTCTTCCCAGGGGGTCAAGACAAGTCATGTTCAAAATGGGGGGGGGGGGGTGGGAACACAAGCAACAAGGAAATGTTAGTAGTCAAAATATGCTGAAAGTTAAGTAAAGAGGATCAAAAGAGTGAGAAATGAAAAGGTCCCAAGGTAAATAGGCCAACATTTTTGGCAATTACCGGTCTCTCTAGCGAAAGACCATAAAGCCTTGTGTGTCAGGCCAACCCAAATATGCCAAAACCAATTACCGTCAAAGCCTCCCCACTTTTTATCCCCCCTTCGAACTTTCCTCATCTCCCTTTAGGAACTTTATGCAGTTTTTCCCTGAAGCTCTAGCTCCCATCATCCTTATTATCTTTGTTGGACCAAAACTTTGTTGGAGAGCAGGGTGATTATTATCCGCGTTAGGTGCGGTGGCATTTTTCACTATTATTAGGGGGTGTTGCATTTCTAATGGAAGACAATGCAGTGTATGGTGTGGATTCCTGTTCTCTTTAACCACATTTTTCCCTATCTTGCTTGTTTTTATAAATCTTATTTCCAGCATGGAGCAAAAGTCCTGGTGAATTTGGAGAATAGGACAGACAGATGGGAAACATGCCCAGCTTTATATAAAAAATATTCATTTTGCAAGAAATTAATGTCAGGTTTACTTCAATAAGCTAATGTCAGTCCCACACATAATCTAAGTGAGCTTACTGAGACTTACTTGTAAAGAGCTATCGGTACCACAGACATTTATTGTACAATGTGTTAAAAAGCTATTATAGAAAGCCTCATTGCTTTTGAAATATTTCAAAAACTATGTTGTGACAATGGAACAAATGAGTGGAATTCACAAAGAGTGATTTTTTTCCACCTAATTGTAATTTCCAACCCCAACTCGTTTGCTAACTTGCTCCCGCTAGCTTTGTTGGGACCCCGGACAGCTGTCTAAACACTAAGGCCCACCAGTGAGGGTCAAGGGTCAATGGATTGATCTATTATTCAAAACAGGGGTTTAGTTCTTGTACAAAAGTGAAGCTCACATAATGCTTACACAAGTCCACCGATATGTTTCTGCATTCTCGAGGCATTGATAAATTCCGTTGTTTTTGGAATGTTGTATTCTTATATTCGCCCCTTTTCCTCGCTGCTGACTACACAGCCATGCCTAAATTAAATTGTAAGGTAACTTATCTACTATGACTGAAGGGATGGTGGCATCAGTGGCTTATCATCCTTGCTGTCAGTTGACTTAGTTACAGACAGTGCTACATTACTTACATAGTAAGGCTTACTGCAGAAACTAGTTTTGTAAATTAACTTGAGTCATATTTTAGGATACCCATTTCATGAAATGGAGTCAGTCTACTTCAGCGAAATGGTGTGAGGGATAATTCTAATAAATGTGACAAAAGGATGAAGGAAAAAGAGAAATCAGGGGCACACAACTTGGAGTAAAATGTTGTCACTCTTTATTTGTCTTACCTAACAATGAAGTCAAACTCTGCTCCAGCCAGCATAACAACACCAAGAAGGGTTGAAACAGCGCCATCTAGCACTGGAGAGAAAGTATGTTCCAAGGCAAATGTGACCCTCCTTTCGCGGTTGCCGATGGATGTCAAAAAGGCCTGTTTAATAGGTGAATGCAAAGAGAAATATGTGGCTCTTATTATCTACTCTAGTCCGTTAAGAATGAAAAAGGTAAATTGGCAAACATGATAATCTCTCTTTTGCATAATATGAATAAAGTATCATCCACCTAACTAACCTCACCTAGCTTTAATTCAAAATGAAAAAAACAAAAAAGATGGATAGCTATAAATGATTATACCAACCAAATTAAACCTGTATTCATTTAAATAAGATCAACTTGCTAGAGATAAGCTCTGTCTACATCCAATTTTAACAAAGGAATTTACGACTATGAATAGGTTTTTCCTTTTTTAAAGAGGCCTTGTCTCAGAGTCAAGTTTCAATGAATTAGTACAAAACTGGACAAAATGTCCTAATGGGAATGTTTTAAACAGTTCTTGATGGTAGCGTAGTTTAGATAAACTAGCAAATGATAGGTAGATACATTGATTTATTGTGGTAAATGTCATACTTACATAGCAAGTATGAAGGGTGAACTCGACGCCGATGCCCACTGATACAATAAGTGTAGCGGCTGGTATTGCACTAAGCTTCAGGCCTATCAGTCCCATGAAACCAAACAACTCGACTGTGATCATCCCAAGAACAAATATCTGCACAGGGACAAAAATAATTGACAATAAATTCAAATTATCAAAAACTATTCTTAATCCATTTGACTACTAAATTCTCTCTTTCCCATAGATTTAATACAGGATCCACCTGTTCCCGTAGGTACTTGGTTCAAATAATAGACAGAGGTAGTTAACAGCAGCAAGACTTTGAACATTAAAGTTCTTGGGACAATTGTGACAATGAAATACAACAAATTCAAATTCTTTGATTATGAGACTGGTTTCTAATATTAACAGCCAACAGCTAGAAAAGTGTTGATTGAAACATCCCCTAGGCCACAACGATCATTTCAATTCCATACTTGATCATGTTTTCAATTTCAAATCCTGGCTATTCCCTGTGTGAGGTTGGTTGAAAGCCCCAAAGCACATGCTGTTCAACGTTTATTGTGTAATTGCCATTTCTTTCAAGAAAAGAGCACAGAGAGCTCCATGCACCAACAACAATCCCAAACTTACCAAGATGAGTGAAGCCCATGGGTTGACCAGCATGAGGGTAATGATGATGAACGATGCCCCCAAGAGGCTGACGAGGGAGAGTGCCAGGTAGAAGCGTAGGTGGATGTACTGCTCCCAGAAGGTGAAGGGGACACCGAGGGGGTAGTTTGGCAGACCCTCGGTCTTGTAGTAGTCTGAGATGTTGCGTACAGCCTTGATGACCTTGACCACTTTCTGAGTTGTGTTGAGGTTGTTGAGGTAGAAGGGAAGCTGGGTGTAGTTGAGAGGATTGGCCTTTGGGACTGGAGAGAACAAATAAAGGTGTGATTTCCTTGCAGCTTCGCAAGTCATTCCACCAAGACCCAGTAATCCCTCAGTGGTATGCTTTACGAACTACATCATGCAATCTATTCAACCGTTACAAGCCTTAATAGTATTTGAAAGTGAATGTGAGGATATTCATTATTCAACATCAGACCGACCACGATCAGTAATACAGTATAATCATATGCATTTCTTACATTTCAGATTGCTAAACAAAATCAAATACATACATCTCATGGTAGTAAGTACTAATTGTAAGACAGTGACATCAATCAACTTTTCGGGTGTGGAAAACAAAACATCATGGATGAATTCATACAATTATAAAAATCTTTAATAAAACATATATGTCATTGAAACCTCTGTTGTTCCAACCACCTCATCAACTTACTTGTGACATCGAGATCAGCCTTGCCGACTGGTGTCCAGGAGGGTGGGGCTGGGTGGAGGTTGCCATAGGATGCAGTGTAGGAGATGGCATCATAGTTGTACCACACTGTCAGGTAGTTGTAGAAACCATTTGCATAGATGACACCATTCTCATCAACCAGCCTGCCAGTATAATACTGGAGAGATGAAAAGAGATCATATGAGGAAGGATTAACAATCATATCAAGCTCTTTGAATAAATGAAGGATTTACAAACAAAAAAGAACTCTATTGTACAAATCTAGAGAATGTATGTATGTACCCCCCCCCCTCCCCACATGTTACAATGTTAAAGCTGGGGAAATGGGTTGAGAAGGAACAGGGGGAGAAACAAACACGTTGAGGGTCAAAAATATTTTAAAAAGAGAAATGGGATGAAAAGCTACAGCATGATACATATAGAGCAATGAAAGAAAGGAGAACACGTCTAAGGTCTAAACCAGTAATAAACATAATAGACATAACGAGAACTGCGCGAACCACAAATATGCCTTAGCCATCGGTACAATTACAATATTGCACATTTCACCAGAAGCTTATTACCATAAGGGCTGTGAAATTCAATAACCATGAATACATACTTTAAATGGCATACTCATAAATAATTGATCCAAGTTTGGTTAAAATCTGTTCAATGTTTCTTGAGTTATCGGGGTAATGATAAGCGGGACGGACAAATCAAAAACAGAATGCCTCTGGCAGCACCTTAGGTGGCAGCTAGAGGCAGAAAAGGGGAAAACTTGGAAAGGAGGGAACTTACCCTGTTGATATCTGCAGGAGATTCAGGAATACCTGTCTGGAGGATCATCTTGTATGCAATCACACCCTTGTCGGTTGCATTGGGATACCACCTGTCTGTCTTGATGCTGTACCTGTGCTTCTCCAAGTCAAACGCTTCTTGCATTTCTGGTGATGAAAGTATGCATTTATAACATTATTTGTTCCAAAAGCACAAAGATCTCACTCCTGTATCTGATGAAGCGGTAATATATATTTTTTCTACACCCAATTCCAGGAAATACATTTTATTGTTCTTGAAATGTAGGTGCTAGAAAGAAAGGAAGACAGCACTTAGACATTTAGTTAAATATTCAGTCCACTTCTATAGGGTTCCAACTGGGTAAAATCTGTATGCACATTTATCCACATACTTGGATAACAAATGACTACGCCTATGTCTCTGATATGTCTCCGCCTACATGTAAATTCATTGATCAGTGATCATGTGACCTTTAACATCTGACCTCACAGACCCAAATGCTTATTTGATGTGCTAAGTGATTTTACATACTTGAGCTCAGTTTGGTCACTTTGGTTATATTTAAAAATTAGAAATTATCTAAGTCATAAATATTCTCTGGGATTTTTAAAAATGTTATGACCTGTGACCTCTTACATCTATAATCTAATCATTTCATCCTTCAACAACAACAAATCTGTTCAATGGCAAGTAATCGCGGTAATGAAAAGCGGGACGGACAGACAGACAACCCCAGAATATGCTTTCGGCACCACCTTGGGTGGCGAAGGCATAAAGAATGCTTGAACAGTCTTATCTGTGAAATCATGGGAGTTGAAACTGCTTTGCAATGTATAAGTTCCTCAATCCTCACCTAGGAGCCAGTCCCTGAAAGTCTGAAGCCAAAAGGTTGGCAGACTACCATCTGCTTCCCTGATGATCTCTGGAATGGCCGAGAAGGCACCGTGAAAGGCATGTAACTGCTTCTGCCGGGAGGTATAGTCAAAGTCCTCCTGCGTCACCGCATACATGTTATAGAAGCTGAAGTATCGGCTCTGTATGGTAAGGAACTCTTCCTCCCTTGTGCCGCGGGGTACCACGTCAGTGATCTCTAAGCCATCTTCCATGATGAGGACACCATAGATGCTGGCACCGAGGAGACAAGTGAAGAGGACAAGCACGCTGATCTGTAATAGATATTATAGAGATGTGTTTAGATAACATTTTTAGACCTTTGCTCTTCTTTACAGGTGGTTCCTAAAGCAGGTTTTAGTCTATTTGTGTTATACCACACTTTATATTTTGATAACATTAATTGTACGGCAATATATTTTCAGGTATATAGATGATATTCTCGTTACAAATTTGAAAGAAAATGTTAATAAAGCATGCAATACAAACTAAAAGTAAATCTAATCATTTGACATATGGTGGCATCAATGGTTGATTATCTCACCTTGACAAACGTTTTCTGAAGGAAAGGGGCGTAGCAATCTCGTGCAAACTCTGAAAAATTCCACCTCCAGAACCGTAGCTTCTTTAGACAGTCTCTGCATGAGGTCTTCTCCATCTTGAGCAACGTTCTCATTGATGCTACCGAAGCTGCTGTGCTGGGTGGGGCCGAGTCATAAGGAGGAAGGGGCGTGGTCCTTTCAGTGGTAGTGGAGGCCGAGGGTATAACCTCCGTGACGCACTGGCCACTGTATCCATCATTTGGTGCGTGCGTGATGGTCTGGACTGTGGAATGGAGGGTGACGTCTGTGGTCCTGTTTGGGGTAATACGTCTAGGATGATTCCTAGGGTAGTGATTAGTGAGGGGTGACTCCCTGTAGGGGTCAGAACCACCGCAGAGGGGACGAGGCTGCACACCGATCACTCTGTGTGCTTGTTGACTGCAAAAAAGACAAAAATCAAAGAATATCTGAACAACAAATTCATACTGCTTGTAAGTGTTGGCTTGCATGGTGATGTAGATATACATGTACAGTAGGCTTGCGGGTGCACCAGAAGCCTCTCTCTCTCTCTCTCTCACACATGGTGCACCCGCAAGCCTACTGTATAACAAATTCATATGTTATATAAAAACTTCTGAATGTCAATTACAGACATATCAACTCTTTGTCTCCTTTGGTTGACTAATGGAACAAACATCTGACTGCCACAGTCAACTTTTGTCACATGTTCAAAGTGTATGTATCGTATCCTGGCACTCAAGGTTTTCAGTCTGCAGCAAAAATAGCTTCAACCATCTCAAAAGCTGTGTAACATATTATGGTATCTTTAAAGATCAAAGAAATAAAGGGAACCACCTTACCTTTGGACACAGCAAAGGAGATCTATCTTCTTCTCTTCTCTCCTTTCTACATCCAGGGCAAGGATTGCTGGGAAGACTAGAAGCATGACCAGGAGGTTAAAGGTCAATACTATGACAAGCTGACATAGAAAAGGAAAACAATATGTTTATGTTAGAATACCAGTCTATCTGGACAAACTTACAAAGTCCAACCCTTGTAATAGGTTCACTTTCAAAAGTGAAAGAAAAATAAGATAAAAAGAAAAGCACAAGTTTGAAACATATCAAACTAATAATAAAATTATAAATGTTTTAAATGTAAGATCACTATTAAAGTCGATGCAAATCCCAAATTGGCAGTTTGGTCAGTGGATTGTGAAGTAGTCTTGGATAACTCTCCCGTTTGTCATGTACTGTATAAAGATAGCATTAATTTCTGTTTTTCTCCTAAGTGCCTTCTCCTTCAGGGGGCTACTCATGATACATTATGGATATGGATTCAGCCAATTTGGAGAGCCCAATAATTATAGTGATAACAACTTTCAAAAATGCATTACTTTCTAATTTTTTGTCAGATTTCTTTCAACTTTCAAAAGTCTACTTCATTTTTTTTACCTGCTCTAAAGTAGTTTGCTATCAAGTTCAACTCAAAAAGTCCAATGGGAAAAAAACAAAAACATAGCAGAGCTGAATTACCCATCAAATAGTGAACTGCTTTTTGTTTTTAGTGTTTGACACATTTTGAATGTTATATTGAGAGCAAACATGTATGTTGACTTACTTGGAAGGCAAGTGATCTGAGTGCTGGGATTGGAATGATGGCGGCTGCCAAGAAGGCACAGATATTATTGACTGACGTCAGGATGACGCTAACTCCTGCTCGGCGCAGGATCTCACCAGTTTTTTGCTGTAAAAAGAGATAACAATGAGAAAGAAAGAAGACAAATTAACCCTCTTGTAATTATTAACCCAATGAACCCAATGTAACATTGGCAGTTATATCATCAAATACAAGACTTGGCACAAAAGAGCTCTAATACACCCAAGTTCCAAAATTTCGCTCTAGACCAAAAATGTCAAAACTGTCTTAAAAAATGCTTCAGACTCCCAGGAAAAAGGTTAATGTAGGTGGAACCATAAAACAAAACGTATAAACAACATTCCACAACAGACTGGTAGAAGAAACCCATATGAACACATGATATCATGAGAGCCAGAAAGTCTTTAACTGAAATCACTTTGCCTTTCTCACACAAGCACATAATATCAACCAAACTTCACTTTGAAAATATCCTCAAAAATTATGATTTTAATAATAATAATAATAATAATAGCCTAATAAGTCCACTCCAAATTTTATTAAACCGAAACGGAAATTCTTTTTGCCCAATTGATCGTGAGCCCGGCAGCCACTGAGCAGCGCCAGATCGACGTTGCTCTATCCCTTATTGTTGAACGCCAAACCAGGTAGCAACAACTCCCATCTTTTAACGTCTTTTGGTATGACGCGGCCGGGGTTCGAACCCACGACCTCCCGGTTGTGAGGCGGACGCTCTACTGACTGAGCCAACACTCCGGTTTAAAATATCTGCATGATTTTTCCTTATGAAGTTTTGGGTGAGGGTCTATTCAACTGGATGATACTAAAAGATTTGAGGATATGTTACGCTTGAGAGAGCACTGGTTGATTTTGAAAACCTTGCAAAAATATGTTACAGCCTGGAATTTTATCAAAGTGCAAATCAGGCAATTAATGCATGTGCTCTGTTGAAGCCCCTCTAAAGTGTTGGGAGCCCTAAATTCGCCAAAATGTTCACTTAAATTGTATTATAATGTGAAAGAGGATATCATTTAAGATACACTTCTGCAAATTAGATTCCCCCCCCCCCCCCAAAAAAAAAAAAAATGTTTGAAAACCAATACTGATAAAAGAATACATAATTTGGGTTTTCTGTTGTACAGCAGAAAAACCTACATTTTATATCTTTCATCAATATTCGACTTCAAATTATGTTTGTTTTGGAAATCCTAGCAGAAATGAGTCTTAAAAGACCTCCTCTTTCATATTATGATACAAGTTAAATAAAACTTTGCTGTAAATTTTTTGGGCTCCCAACACTTACTAGGGGGGGGGGGGGGGGCTTTAACTATCAAATATCTGATGATAAATAGCCCTATACCTAGCTGTGCATAAAACCCAGTGATATATCATTATCAATAATTTGGAAGGATCTAGCACAGATCATCTGCATCAATATTCATTTTTGTCCAGATAGTTCTGGAATGAATAAATGCAGAAACATTTACAGATTCTCTTCTTTCTCATTCATCTCAAACTCACAAAACCAAAGAAACAACAAAAATCTAAATACATGACACTCGAAGTTTTCCACATAGTTGAGACAGCAAAGCAGCAAGAAAATTAGGTAAAAGAGATGTGAAAAACAAAGGAACTAATTTACATGTTTAGCAAGGCAAACTACAAGCTTCAAAACACAACATGCATATGAAAATGATGCCATTTGAATGTAGATTTTGGTTCACATATTAACTGACATACAAATCGTCATACCATTCTTTTGTTTATGTCTAAATGCATAATATATCTCACCCTTAGGTACCCCTAGCTCTCTCTCTCTCTCTCTCTCTCTCTCTTTTACTGAACAGGTCTTGGAATAGTGCTGGGAAAGGTTGGGAAAGCTACAAGGAGTCAGGAATCTTGCAGCAGGGCCGGGTGCAAATATTTATCTTCAGACATACCGCAGATATAAACAGAACAGTCTTTCAGCTTTTAGATTGCTCCAAAGGCAGAAGGTGATAAACAAATCGTAAATTTGGCCTGCATGTTTGTCAAACTAGAAATGGCAAAAAGAAATATGCTTTAAGTTCCCAATTTAACAGTAGAAATGGATCGTGCATAGTGTGATTGTACATACCAAAAAAGCAATATGCATCATCAAAGATCTTGATGACTTGAAATCACTTTTTATCACTAAAAAACCATTGTGTAGCCAAAGTTGTTAGTTTTTATATGATACTACATATCAAATTGGACAAAATGATGTCAATAATTATGTTTTTTAGATACAAAATTTGTTTACAAGCAGAATATTTGTCATACTTGTCCTAAGATTGCATGAAAACAAAAATATACCTATCGTGAGTTGGCTAGAGAAGATTAAATTCATGTCATTGATACACTATAATGCACATTCATTCAGTGGAAGAATCAAGCGAAGGAGAGAGGGTTGACACAAACAGTTCATGCCCATTTTAAAGCTCAATTGGGGTGGCATCATATCCAGATATTGAAGAGGTCTTTTGGACCGGTCCAGAGGTACATTTCCTGGCACGGCTTTGTCTTCACACTCACGTTAGTCCACTTTTATTAAGACCTGTTCATAAGAGATTATTTTCACCTTTTTCAGAAGTTACCCTTCTCTTTAACTTGTCTACTTTAACACAGACTTTATACCCTCCTGGCTCTGAGTCTGAATATAAGATATTGTCTTAAGAAATTGCAGACAGAATGAAGACAATAACCTTCAAGAGTAAGGTGAGTCATCCCAAACCTGGCCAGAATTTGGCTCATGTCTAGAATGATAGTTAAAATGTCAATCACTATATCAGAGGGGACCTACAAAGGAGGCTCATTTCATTTCAAAGGACCATTCACACTCACCCTGTTCCACTGGTCTTAGCTGGAGCGACCTTAATAAGAGAGGTCTAACGTGAGTGTGAAGACGCAACTGTGAAAGGAAGTATACCTTTGATTGTCCAGAAGACCACATCGGAAATGTCTTCTACTGGATTGGTCGCTTCCTACACGGCTCTAACAATGCAGTGTGAAGACAAACTATAACTGGTAGCCTACTTCAATAGCAATATGAATGGTACCTGTTCCTATGGCATCACAGGTCTCATTAGGGAAAATGGTGTAACCATGAGTGCGTCCGTCCGCAGTCCCAAACTAAAAGATAACTTACAAGATTAAAAACCACCACCAAGTCGACTAAGAGTTGTGTGAACTTGACTTATGTCTAGTCTGTTGTGGTGTTACATGTTTCTACCTCTTTCTTTCCAGTCCTCCCCCCCCCCCCGAAAAACAACAAAACAAAAACAACAAAACAAAACAAAACACAACATATATCCATTTCTACTGCCAAAATAATTTCCCCCTTCATAATGTATTTCTCATTTCATCGTCCAGGCCTCTATTCCAAATCTTTCTTGTGAGGATTTCTCACTTGTCGGAGATGACCCCTTCCCCCTTCCTGCATTCTTCTTACAGTGTGCCCTTTTGATGGCTGAAGCTAGGAACGATGTGTTGGGGGGGGGGGGCATTTTATAGTAGACAAGGGGGAACAATGAAGGAGGGTAAAAGGGGAAAGTGAATTAGGATAAACGATGACCAAGGAAATCTCATCTTCCTCTCATGTGATACAGATTATGATAGGGACCATTGCAAGGAGATCAGTGATGAAAGATGTCTCAGTTTCTAGATTTAGATATAGCTCATGTGTAGTTTCAGATACGCCTTGAATGCTCAATATGGAACAATGCAAGTCATTTCAGTAATAACAGAAATTCCTTGATACTCAAAACTATAGAAATTTCAAATTTCAAAATGTACTACTCAAGATGGTATTTTCTCTTTAGAGGACATATCAAAATATGTTATCTATAAGAAGTGGTCCAATGGAGAAGGCACTTAATTAAGAAAAAACAGAAATTAATATTTTTGTACACAACAAACGGAAGGATAGTATGTGTCTATAGCTGCATTTACACAAGCAATCAAAAATCAATGATTTTTCCCACATTCCTGTGTTTTGTCAGTACTGGAAAATAGGGCTGTGCACAACAGTGTAATGAGGTACATTTTGAAATAATCACTCCTACAGCGATGGAGGTGCTACAATGTACATAAATATCCTATATTTCCCCTTTTCAAAGAATACTTCCATGTGTGTATCATGGAGTGCACTGCTTGTGCATAAATGAATAATGATTACATAACTTTCATGAGCACGTATTCAGTATTTTACAATTTTGTCTGCACAGACCTTTATCTGCTTTATTTGCATAGAGTTGGTTATCTCATATTTCAAACAATTCTCATATTATTGGTCTGATTTATTTCAACCTTTTGCCATTGTCTTTATCTTCTTTTTCCTGCTTTCATACAAATGAATTTTTCAATTCATTTCAATTCAATGTGGTTTATTAGAAATACAAAGAAGTAGTCAAGGGATTAATTGCACAATGTTTACAATGTAAAAAATCATCATAAAAATAAGATTAAAGGTAAAGACCAGTATTGGAAACGCCCCAATTCCAAAAAATGAAATGGAAGCTCTCATTACCAATCATGTGAAAGAATATGTTTTGACTAATACATGATGATAAAAAATTTGCCGGGAAACTGCCTACTAATTCATATATTTGGTTAATTTGTTTCTCTCATGGTCTGTGAGAGATCCCATATACATCTTTCTGTGTATAGTGCTTGTAACTTTATGAAGAATGGGCCAAATTTCTTATCATTTTGATGATTCCAGAACCTTGCAGATGCTAGATGCTAGATGATCAACCTTTTCTGATCGATTCCACAACGTTTCTTTCACAATGCAATCGCATGACCATAACTGGTCTTTACCTTTAAATAAATGAAAACATAATCTACACAAATCAAAATCACACTTTTATACACTAATCAGAAGGGTTAGATTGCCCTTTGTATTTGACACGATACACTTTGCTCACTACCAATGGCAGAACACTGCCTACCACATAAACACCACGCTAGCTGCCTCCCAGTACCCCCCCCCCCCCCCCCCCCACTATACACACCACCATGCACATCTCCCCTTTCCCTGGTTCCAGTGCTAGTTTACCCAGGCTGCC